CGGATTTATTCCGAGTCAATTTTTGGCATATCCCATAGGGGTACCATCACAGATTTCGGGCGATTTTTCCGAAATGCTATTTTCTTTCGATTCTGGAGGTTGCAGATCAAGCAATCAGGCCGAGGTTATTCTCCAGCGATAATGAAGTCTATGGATCCTATTCTCCACGAATGATAAGTCCATTAAGCACCGATTTTGGCCAATTTATTTTCGGATGACATTTTCATTATTTTTGGTCGACGTAATGTCATTTTCTTTTGATTTTGAAGGCTAGAGATCACGGATTCGGCCTAAGGTTATTCTTCAACGTTTATTAAGTCCATTTACCACCGATTTGGGCGTATTTATTCCGGGTCAATTTTTGGCATATCCCAAAGGGGTACCATCACATATTTCGGGAGATTTTTCCGAAATGTCATTTTCTTTTGATTCTTGAGGCTGCAGATCACGGAATCAGGCCGAGGCAAATCTCCATTGATAATAAAGTCTATTGATCCTATTCTCCACGGATGATAAGTCCATTAAGCACCAATTTGTGACAATTTATTTTTGGATGACATTTTCGTAATTTTTTGGGCGACGAAAGGCCATTTTCTTTCGATTTTGAAGGCTACAGATCATGGATTCGGCCTGAGGCTATTCTTCAACGATGATTAAGTCCATTAAGTGCCGATTTGGGCGAATTTATTCCGGGCCCATTTTTGGCAGATTCCAAAGGGTACCATCACAGATTTCGGGCAATTTTTCCGAAATTCCATTTTCTTTCGATTCTGGAGGCTGCAGATCACGGAATCAGGCCGAGCCTTTATCCGCCCATAATGAAGTCTATTGATACTATTCTCCCCGGATGATAAGTCCATTAAGCACGGATTTGGGCCAATTTATTTTCGAATGGCATTTTCGTAATTTTTTTGGCGACGAAAGGCCATTTTCTTTGTATTTTGAAGGCTAGAGATCACGGATTCGGCCTGAGGTTATTCTTTAACGATGATTAAGTCCATTTACCACCGATTTTGGCAGATTTATTCTGGGTCAATTTTAGGCATATCCCATAGGGGTACCATCACAGATTTCGGGCGATTTTTCCGAAATGTCATTTTCTTTCGATTCTGGAGGTTGCAGATCAAGCAATCAGACCGAGGCTATTCTCCAGCGATAATGAAGTCTATGGATCCTATTCTCCACGGATGATAAGTCCATTAAGCACCGATTTGGGACAATTTATTTTCGGATGACATTTTCGTAATTTTTTGGGCGACGAAATGTCATTTTCTTTGGATTTTGAAGGCGACAGAACACGGATTCAGCCTACGGCTATTCTTCAACGATGATTAAGTCCATTAACCACTGATTTGGGAGGATTTAATTCGGGTCAATTTTTGGCAGATCCCAAAGGGGTACCATCACAGATTTCGGGCGATTTTTCCGAAATGTCATTTTCTTTCGATTCTGGAGGCTGCAGAGCACCGAATCTTGCCGAAGCTATTCTCCACCAATAATGAAGTATATGGATCCTATTCTCCACGGATGATATGTCCATTAAGCACCGATTTGGGCCAATTTATTTTCAGATGACATTTCCGTAATTTTTAGGGCGACGAAAGGCCATTTTCTTTAGATTTTGAACGCTACAGATCACGAATTCGGCCTAAGACTATTCTTAAACGATAATTAAGTCCATTAAGTACCGATTTGGGTGGATTTATTATGGGTTAATTTTGGCATATCACAAAGGGGTACCATCACAGATTTCGGGCGATTTTTCCGAAATGCCATTTGCTTTTGATTATGGAGGCTGCAGATCACGGAATTAGGCCAAGGCAATTCTCCATTGATAATAAAGTCTATAGATCCTATTCTCCACGGATGATAAGTCCATTAAGCATCGATTTGGGAAAATTTATTTTCGGACGACATTTTTGTAAATTTTTGGGCGACGAAATGCCATTTTCTTTGGATTTTGAAGGCTAGAGATCACGGATTCGGCCTGAGGTTATTCTTTGACGATGATTGAGTCCATTTACCACCGATTTGGGCGGATTTATTCCGGGTATATTTTTGGCATATCCCATAGGGGTACCGCACAGATTTCGGGCGAGTTTTTCGAAATGTCATTTTCTTTCGATTCTGGAGGTTGCAGATCACGCAATCAGGCCGAGGCTATTCTCCAACGATAATGAAGTCTATGGATCCTATTCTCCACGGATGATAAGTCCATTAAGCACCGATTTCGACCAATTTATTTTCGGATGACATTTTCGTAATTTTTTGGGTGACGAAATGCCATTTTCTTTGGATTTTGAAGGCTAGAAATCACGGATTTGGCCTGAGGCTATTCTTCAATGATGATTAAGTCCATTAAGCACCAATTTGGGTGGATTTATTTCGGGTCAATTTTTGCCAGATCCCAAAGGGGTACCATCACAGATTTCGTGCGATTTTTCCGAAATGCCATTTTCTTTCGATTCTGGATGCTGAAGATCACGGAATTAGGCCGAGGCTATTCTCCACCGATAATGAAGTCTATTGATCCTATTCTCCACATATGATAAGTCCATTAAACACCGTTTTGGGCCAATTTATTTTCTGGTGACATTTTCGTAATTTTTTTGGCGACGAAATGCCATTTTCTTTGGATTTTTAAGGCTAGGGATTACGGATTCGGCCTGAGGTTATTCTTCAACGATGATTAAGTCTATTTACCACCCATTTGGGTGGATTTATTCTTGGTCAATTTTTAGTATATCCCTAAGGGGTACCATCACGGGCGATTTTTCCGAAATGCCATTTTCTTTCGATTCTGGAGGCTGCGATCACGGAATCAGGTCGAGGCTATTCTCCAACGATAATGAAGCATATGGATCCTATTCTCCACGGATGATAAGTCCATTAAGCAGTGATTTGGCCCAATTTATTTTCGGATGACATTTTCGTAATTTTTTGGGCGACGAAAGGCCATATTCTTTTGATTTTGAAGGCTACAAATCACGGATTTGGCCTGAGGCTATTCTTCAATGATGATTAAATCCATTAAGCACCGATTTGGGCGGATTTATTCCGGGTCAATTTTTGCCAGCTCCCAAAGGGGTACCATCACAGATTTTGGGCGATTTTTCCGAAATGCCATTTTCTTTCGATTCTGGATGCTGCAGATCCCGGAATCAGGCCGAGGCTATTCTCGATCGATAATGAAGTATATGGATCCTATTCTCCACGGATGATAAGTCCATTAAGCACCAATTTGTGCCAATTTATTTTCGGTTGACATTTTCGTAATTTTTTGGGCGACGAAAGGTCGTTTTCTTTCGATTTTGAAGGCTACAGATCACGGATTTGCCCTGAGGCTATTCTTCAATGATGATTAAGTCCATTAAGCACCGATTTGGGAGTATTTATTCCGGGTCAAGTTTTGCCAGATTCCAAAGGGTACCAACACAGATTTCGGGCGATTTTTCTGAAAAGTCATTTTCTTTCGATTCTGGAGGCTGCAGATCACGGAATCAGGCCCAGGCTATTCTCCACCGATAATGAAGTCTATTGATCCTATTCTCCACGAATGATAAGTCCATTAAGCACCGATTTGGGCCAATTTATTTTCGGATGACATTTTCGTAATTTTATGGGCGACGAAACGCCATTTTCTTTCGATTTTGAAGGCTACAGATCATGGATTGGGCCTGAGGCTATTCGTCAACAATGATTAAGTCCATTAAGCACCGATTTGGTCGGATTTATTCCGGGTCAATTTTTTGCCAGATCCCAAAGGGGTACCATCACAGATTTCGTGCGATTTTTCCGAAATGCCATTTTCTTTTGATTCTGGAGGTTGTTGATCACGGAATCAGGCCGAGGAAATTCTCCACCGATAATAAAGTCTATTGATCCTATTCTCCACGGATGATAAGTTCATTAATCACCTATTTGGGCCAATTTATTTTCGGATGGCATTTTCTTAATTTTTTGGGCTACGAAAGGCCATTTTCTTTGGATTTTGAAGGCTACATATCACGGATTCCGTCTGAGGCTATTCTTCAACGATGATTAAGTCCATTAATCACCGATTTGGGCGGATTTATTCCGGGTCAATTTTTGGCAGATTCCAAAGGGGTACCATCACAGATTTTGGGCAATTTTTCCGAAATGCAATTTTCTTTCGATTCTGAAGGCCTTAGATCATGGAATCAGGCCGAGTCTATTCTCCACCGATAATAAAGTCTATTGACCCTATTCTCCATGGATGATAAGTCGACGAAAGGCCATTTTCTTTAGATTTTGAAGGCTACAGATCACGGATTCGGCATGAGGCTATTCTTCAATGATAATTAAGTCCATTAAGCACCAATTTGGACGGATTTATTTCGGGTCAAATTTTTTGCAGATTCCAGAGGGGTACCATAACAGAATTTCGGGCGATTTTTCTGAAATGCCATTTTCTTTCGATTCTGGAAGCTGCAGATCACGAAATCAGGCAGAGGCAATTCTCCATTGATAATAAAGTCTATTGATCTTATTCTCCACGGATGATAAGTTTATTGAAACCGGTCACGTTTGGTCACTCTCCGTCCAACTCCATTAACTTTTGCTTACGTGGTGGTCAACGCTAAAAGTTGACCGTTAAATGTGTGACGTGGTAATTTAAAAAAAAAGTAAAATTAATTTTTTTAAAATTGTCATCTCATTTCCACCTCATTGTCACTTTTATCTAAAATAAATAAAAAAATCCTAATTTCTTTTAAGAGCAATGATGCCTCCTCCTCCTCCTCCTCCCTCGTCGTTCTCGCTTTCTCCACTCCCGACCCCCCTTCCCCCTGCGCCGTTGTTGGTCGACACCTCACTAACCAACTGCCGCCGCCTCGGGTTCCTCCTCTGTTTCCGCCCCGTCGACACCCCCTTCTTCCCTCCTTTGTTCTCGCTGGTGTACTCCTTCACCGCGTCAGCTCCCCTGATCACCGACCCTCCCCTGTTCTGCCGGCGCGTCGTCGTTGAGGGAGCGAGTAGAATCATGGCTTCTTATCGGAGGAGATGAGGCCGAGGCGTACGAGTCCCAAGGTCGGGTTCGGGCGGACCCATTTTGGGTTCTGGTTGGAGAGCTCCGCGTCGGCGTCGAAGTTGTCGATCGACAGGCCGGACATGAACATTCGACTCATGGCTTCGTCTTCGTCGTCATCGCCGTCGTTGGTGTACATGGAGCTCGTGCAGACCGACGGCCTAGAGAGGTTGTGGTGGGAGTGAGGGTGGGAGGAGTGGAGATCGTAGCCGTCGTCGGGGTCGAGGAAGTCGTCGACGAAAGAGAGCACGACAGAGCTTTCGTCGGACGCCATAGAAGCACCAGTAGTAGTAGTGAGTGGGAAAATCACGGACCAGGAGTTGGAAGAAAATGGAATATTTAAATCGGAGAAAAGGAGAAGCAAGTGGAGAAAACAGAGCTTAAATAAGAGATTTGATGGTTGGTTCTTCCGTGAATGATTGTTCTGTTTGGGTTGGGTTGGACTTTGGAGTAGTGAATGATTAATTGCTCTAAGAAGAAATTAGGATTTTTTATTTATTTTAAATGAAAGTGATAATGAGGTGGAAATGAGATGACAATTTTAAAAAATTTAAGTTTATTAATTTTATTATTTTTAAATTGCCACTTTTACACATTTAACGGTCAACTTTTAGTGTTGACCGCCACGTAAGCAAAAGTTAACGGAGCTAAACGGAGTGTGATCAAAAGTGAATGGTTTCAGTAAACTGAAGTACCACCAATAGATTTAAATATTTCAAGTGACTTGAACGTTTTTATAATCTCAGTGACCAACGCAATTAACCCTAAAAAAAAACCTATATCATCGTTATGCAAAAACTTAATTACGAGATTGTTGGATACCATTGTTCTATTGGGCCCATTACTGGCCCATACTTCGATAATGTCACCATGAAAAGAGGCTAGGGCCCACCCAGCCAGAACACGAAAATGGCGAGAAGTGCAAGCATCACCTATTTGGGTAACTAAACTAGATGAAGGCCCATTGTCTGCTAACTCGGTATGGGCTTGGTCTTAGTAGATGGGCCCGTTCGTCATTTTTACCCAAAAAGACCCCATTCCACCCATCTTTACCCCAAAAGACCCAGGCCAGCCAGCCAGGGCAGCGGCCGGCCTTCCGCCTCCTGCAGGCAATCAATTCAATTCAATATATTTGCATGCACCTCCGTAATAAATTCCTGCACCAAAATGGTAAACTTGTTTTTTACTCTGCAGTATATAATTTCCCCCTTTATTTCGTCAAAACAGTTGATATGTCTGCATCAGTAGGTTAATATATCCAGACCTGCAGGAATAATTAGAGAGCCTTGTCTTCTCTGTTTCTTGTTTTGGTACCAAGAGGAGGGTAAGAGTTTAAACATCTTACGTTTAATCTTTAATTTTTTGGTAGAATACGTTTAATCTTTAAGGTAAAAAGAAGTTGTAACGCATTAAAGTAACCAAAGGGGTAAAAACCTGTTCTTCTTCTTTGTTATAAGAATTATTATGTATTGGCGAGTATATGTAGGATGATGACAAGGTGACTATGCGAGGGTTTGGACGAGTTCTTTTATACCATCCTCATTTCCAAAATATGGGGGGGAAAAACTTCTAATAGTCCCCATGTGAGAAGGAATTTTCCAATCCCCATCCTCCATCATATCCACGATTTGTGGATATCGACGAGTCATACCCGCCTTATATATCCAATTTTATTATACATATAATTAATACAACAAAGTTTAGTAAATATGTCAAATTTGTTGTTATAGCATCAAATAGATCTAATAAATCATATAAAGTTCACCAAGGTATAATCATTCTTCATTCAAATTCAAAGCATTTGATCCTACGTACAACATCTACAGAATCTTTAATACAATCATAATTTTTAGCATCCAATGATTAGTTTTTTGGTAATGTCTATCTATTACCCAAATCTTTTCGGATTCTTTTATTTTAGTCAAATCTATTGAATTACCAAGAATTAGCCAAACGTTTTGTAACACGTCAAAGTATTAGCCATTTTAACGTTACCATTAATAATTTTGTAATTCTTTTCTTAGTTAAAATACTAAATTTTTGGAATGTTGACCTCCATGTGTCTCTTCCAAGTCAGTATCATGTTGCCAAGTCAATATTACTAACAAAATAGCTAACTAGATGTTAACATTTGGATAATTATTAGTAATTCAACATGTTTGGCTAATAAAAAAGAATCTGAAAAAGGTTTGGCTAATAAATAGTCATTACCCTAGTTTTTTTTATACATAAATGTTTTTTTGTGGTGTGGGTATGAGTATGAGGGGGAGGAGTCCAGAAACATACTGATATCCATCTCCATAAATTTTTGTGTTTTACACATACATGCCCCGTACCTAGTCAATGCGAGGATTTCCCGTGTTGATTGGGTCGAGGGAGGCCGGACACCTACGATCGTGGGTTTCATTGTCATCCCTATTTATATGTACGTATTAATATTTGCAATACCGTACCAAACTTACGGTGTGATCAGAAAAATTATCTATCAGAACCCAAATTGGTCAGCGATTATATATAGAAATAATAAAACACTTGAAACATAATTAAAATTATGATTTTAATACAAAATACCATATTTATACAGCATTCGGGTAGCTGAAAAGTTTCAACGGTTTCAAGTTGAACTATAATTGACAAATATTACTTTGGAGATTTGGAATGTGATTCGCGGTACGCCATTGTCCATGGTTGATTAAACGTAGAGAGAGAGAGAAAGAGAGAGAGAGAGAGTGCATGGAATTTTCTAAGGCAGTGAAATGAATCAACAGTGCGGTGTGGGGTCCGGCCAAAGCCTCCGACCACCTGTTGCTGCTGCCTGCCACTATAAACATGGCCGCGGAAGTCGTCGGGAGGAATATTATTATTATAAATTTGCACCACCATTCTATTATATACACTATTCATTGCGCCACTTCCGACTAGTCCTAAATTTAGGGCTTCCAATAAGTCAATTCAGCGTAGTCTAGTCTAGTTGAGTCGAGTTTATTCCTCGTTTGAGGTTGGTTCGTGCAATCGACAAAATTATTTAAAGCTATGCCGCATATCAAAGATCATACGCGCGAGATTTACAGGATGGTCGTCATTCTTTGGCTGCGTGCTTACTTTGTGATTCTGTGAAGTTGTTCCATTACAAAAATCAACTCAGAAGCGCACTAAATTACGGAGCTAGAAATGTCTGATACGAGAAATAAACCGCGCGAGTTGCACACGGAAGAGAGACGACACACTTTTTTTTAAGCTCCATATCCGAACAACTACAACAAAAGAACAAAACCAAGCCCGCGTACGTACGTACGTATGAAGAAACCCCTCAGAGCCCAACAAACCCTCTGTAATACACACACGACGATGCTTGTGCTTTCTCGAGCAAACATTTCGTAAGGCAGGATCCATGGATGATGGCGTCGATTCATGATTCAGTCAAAGCCACTGCTTTTTCTCCACCTGTCTCTAAAATGAGCTCATGATTGTATCGAAGTGGTCATCAATGGAGAAAACAGAGTAACTGCTACTACTACTTTCATTAGAGGGCCATGGTGGAAAGAAGGTGGTAATGATGATGATGATTAGGTATGTTGATGATATAATGGTGGTTACAAGTAGTAGTAGTTGGTTGGCTGGTTGGTTCAAAATATATGACCCCTCTCTCCTCATTGTATTGGTATTATTAGTTGGTTTAAAGGTACGATTCTGTTGTCATTTCAAGCATTTTTTTTATTATTTCAAACATTTTTTTTTCCCAAACATAAACTCGATATTTACAAGCATTTTTTCCTACGGCATTGTGATGAAAGATTGATAAAAAGTATAGACTCGTGGCTAAAGAGAGGATGATATAAGATTAATCATTAACATTCTTTTAACCATTTAAGTTATTTGAATGAGTTTGTTTTTAACATGGTATAAGAGTTTTCGATGATCGAAATCTCTTGTGTCAAACATGTGCAAACTTCGAGTTCATGGGTTGCATTTTCTTTTTTATGGATATACCAGTAAAGGGTGTAAATGCAGTCAAAATCACTATTCTACGTAGATGCGTTTTAATGATCTGGAAGCGTACAAACGTAAACTTTTAAGCGTACATTTTGACACCACCCTTTGTAAGGGAAACGCTCGATTCTACATAGAGACGTTTTTGATTAACCTTGATTTTGATTGCATTGATTGGAATCATTTGGTTAGAGAGAATTTTAATTAACAAGTCAAGACGATAAAATTACATATATAGCAAACTCTATCCCTTGGCATGTGGACGGTTAGGGGACCGTTTGGTCCATAACACACGATCTCAAAAGGCATCGAAGCAGTGGATCTAGTGGACTTTGAATCCGTATCTTGCTATGAAGTCGGAACTGACGTAACTACACCTTTCATCCCGTCACTCAAGCATCACGTAGCTAGATCGCGCACCCTTTAGTGTTCTATTTTGTTGTAAGGAAGGCTTACTGTGGTTGTTACAAGGGAATAGCTTTCCGGTTGTCTGCTAGCCTGTGTAATAGTAATAGCCCCCGGGGCTGATTAATTAGGTTAAGGAAAATATGAGGCGAGTTCTTGATCGCGATTGACCTTAGCTTTATCAACGTCGGAGTCTATTGCATGCTTTGAGTAGAAGTATCGAAATAGTAAAATGTAACACATAATTAAGGGTCGGTGTACATTTATGTGGTTTTATTCGTTTTGATTATCCCTTTTCCATATATATGTGCATGCCAGTTGCCCATGCCACGTAAACTGAACCATCACTATTCCCATTAGTTCCAAGCAACTTAACGTCTCCTTTTTCTCGTCCTCTTTTTGACCACATAGAATTACAACTATCCTTGAACATGAAGGATAAAACCCATTTAAGGACAGAAAGTGATGAATCAGCGCGGAATGATCAGAAGGAATCATCTTTGTATTATTGATCGTGATACAATATAACTTGAAGTATAAAATGTTGTGAGCTTGATTATATCGATCGAGTACCGTTGCGTAGAACGACTTATGAATAGAAAGAGAGAGAGAGAAGGATGAGAAAAATCATAACGACATCATCGTGATAAGCTTTTCTTCTCAGAAAATGATAAATAAGCAACATAATCAGAATGAATTGACATCGTATTATTGGTCAATCGTAAATAAAAGTAAAAGCATATTGAGCTTGATCGTAAATCGACTTTCATGCAAACTGCCTTCAAAATAAATTACGAGAGAGAGATGGCGAAAAAAATCATATCGGTTCCTAATTATTTGAAGCATCAGATTCTAAATCCGCCCTCATACTTGTCTATTTAATTCATGTGGTATATAATTTACGGTAACGTTTTACCAAATGAAATAGACCGCACAAACCCAAGCTCTAGTTTAGTTGGGATGAATATTATTTATACGATTAATTCATTGAAGGACAATCAATGTACTAACCATCAGTGAATTGGTAAAGTGAAGTCACTTTCCTCAAGTCAATATCTTTGTGATGAAAACTTTGAAGGTTTGAAATTATTCCATCCACCCATTTAATTTCTGTCTTTCTGGAAATGAGCGGTAAAAAGGAAGAGAGTAAAAATCCGAGACAAAATCCAAAATGGGGAAAGTTTCACCAACATGATCAACCGCAGGCTAATTTGTGTTCTTTTGCTACTTTTTACCACCATCAATTAGGGTTTGCCTATTAGTGGTAAGAGCTTTTGTATATGGCCGGTGCCTTTGCATGTCCATTGCCATGCCAAGAATTTCAAAATGTAAATGTCATCTTGTCAGGACAAAAATTAATTGCATGGTGCTTTAATTAGCTAGTCGATGTCATATTCCACATAGCCGGCCAAGTGGTAATTCGTGAAAACCGGAAACGATAAAAAAAAATATACATGATGATTTTTATCGTAATTAGTATATCTAGCAGTATTATATATTTTTTCCGTAAGAAACGATATTGAGACCTTCAATTAACCAGGTTTTGAGGTATGATATTATACTTTTAACTTAAAGTGTAAACCCTAGAATCTAATTTTTATACCTTAAATTCTAAATCTTAAAATAGTGTGTCGATTATGTTAAATATATATGTCAATGGATGAAATGAATCAAAACCGTCGAGTATTAATTATAATTAAGTGTATGATTTGCAGAATTATGACCTAAATTTTACTTATAGGGTTTCGACTATAATATCGTGTTCAAAACTCCAGTTAATTTTAGATAGAATTTGTTAACAGGGGTATGCAATACCCTCAAATTTATCCTGAGTATCATACCACTCTCCATTCATTTAACGCTAGTCTTATTTGTTTAGTGTCTCGCATCCTAAATTTTAAACCCTGAATGACAGCAAGTTAATGGTATTGTAGATGGTGGATGATGATATATGTATGCACATAAACTTTTAGGATTCGGAATTTTTCACAATGGATGGTGTGGTGCTCATAAATCATAATTAATTAGAGAGTTTGGTATTAGTATTAACAGGCAGATAATTAAATTCTTGATCCAGCTAGTTGCCCTAAACACTTATGATTATGTTGGGCCCTGTAATTTACAGGTTGAATTATGAAATGACCTTACTTTATACTGGTGATCGGGCCTGAGGTGATATAAATTTGAATTGTTTGAAAAAGGGAATTGTGTAATTTATTATTATCAGAATAGAGCAGTTTATCTGTAGCACTCTTCCCATTTAAAAAAAAAAATCCCTTTAGACAACAAGAATCCAAACTAAAGAGCACAATCTGCTGACCTAGAAAGAATGAGGAGAGTGAAATCTGATGACTTTGTCCGCATCTTCACTTGGTCAGCATTGCATTTGCAAAGCAAGCTCACGCCCTAAAATTAATGGATGCATACACCTCTCTATGCAAATTACTTATGTATTATCACAAGAGAATAATAACTTAAAATTGGTTATAATCCTGGCCGTCAAACATCACATCAATATAGTGGCGGATCCAAAAATTCTAAATAGGGGTGTCCTATATAAAAAATTAAATAGAATTAAATATTAGAATTAAACTAAATAATTATTAAATATGAAAATATCGTACTAGTAAAAGTTACATTAAAAGTTCGAATGTGTTTCTTTATAAAGATTGAGTTCTCGTGCTACATACCCATCAAGGTGTTTGCTAGCAGTATTATTGCATCTATCAAAACCGCTATTAATCTAGTGCTTCATGATTGTATGAAGCATTACATTCGTTGTAATTGCTGGTTATCTTGTGAGCTTCTTATCATTAATTTAAGGGAGAGCTATTAGTGGCGGCACTATTTTGTAATTGTAACGCCATGTTTCGATGTGCTTAGGGTTAACATAAGTTGTATCGGTGACTTATAGCTTTGCTTGTACGATTAAGGAGTTCGGAGCATTAGAATCCAAAGCTATGATGATCTCCACTATAGTTTCAACCACATTGAGTCAATCATGTTTTCATTTCGTTTTTTCATATTATTTTAACATACACAAAACGCGACTATAGGTCGTCCACAGTTCAAACAACAATGCCGAATTGCCGACCTATCAACTTTTTTTCCTAATAATTATCGACTTCATCAAAATTCGACCAATATAAATATTACTATCTCCACTTTATCGTTGCACCTGCTGCCCTAGAGATATATGGTGAGCTTTACCATGATTCTCAGAAATTTCGAGTTTGAAAACTTTTGCCGTTAAATTAAACATTAATTTGGGGACAAATATTCTCCCACGCATGATTAGGTTAAGAAGAAAAAAATGAAGAAGAAGAGGAAAAAGGGTATTTTTCTATGTTAATCGAACTCTCGATCTCCTTCTCTTTCTTTCCACTCACTCTCTCTCTCTCTCTCTCTCTCTCTCTCTCTCTCTCCTCCTCCTTCTTTTTCAGATGGCAACACATACACAGAAACACAACCCATAAAGCAAAGTGATGGCCTGCATAAACTTCCACTACACAGCTCAAAGAAACCAAAAGCTGGACAAAAGCAAAAAAGCATAACCCTTCCCCCACCACTGCAAACTTTATTTCCCCATAACCTTTTAAATTCCTACTTTTTGATTCTCAGCCACTCCCCTTTCTTCCTCCCCCCATGTTCTTCCTCTGAACCAGCCACCACCAGCCACCAGCAGAAGATCAAGCAGCTAGCTTCCCAGTTTCCCACAGTCAATAATCATTCTTGTGTTTCCATATCTAGCTAGAGCTTAATTAGACCGCAATTCAGCCTCCATGGATACAGCCCAGTGGCCGCAGGTAGATATATATGCAGCTAATTAGAATTTCCCCATCTCGCCAGTTTCGATTATACATCTTCTCTGGAAAGCCCACCAGGCGTTCGACGTTTGTCCCCTGAGAAAGTTCTTGTCTTTATATTTCTTTCTCCCCTGCCCTTTTCTTTCCCTTCTGTGATGAGATAAAAGCTAACATGTAAAGTGAGAAACAACAAAAGAAGGAAAGCAGAAGAGCAAGGAAAAAAAAGGCAAAAGGAGAAAGAAAGTGGGATTAGCTGAAGTTGTTTTTTACTTACTTGTTTGTCTCAGCTCTCTCTGCCCATTTGTAATAGGAGCCAGCAGCATCCACCTGCTTTACCTCCCCATCCTTTTTCTGTCTGGTTTTGGGTTTTTCTTCTTCTTCCTTTGATCTTGACCCAATATAACTCCTCTTTCTCTCTTCCTCTGTCCCCCCCAATTCCACAGGAGATAGTGGTGAAGCCATTAGAAGACATAGTAACTACTACTCCTCAAAGGCCTGGAGGAGGGTTAACACCAACTTCATCAGGAGGAGGTGGTGGTGGGAGCTTGGAGAGGAAAGCAAGGCCGCAAAAGGAGCAAGCTTTGAACTGCCCAAGGTGCAACTCCACCAACACCAAGTTCTGCTACTACAACAACTACAGCCTCACGCAGCCAAGGTACTTCTGCAAGACCTGCAGAAGGTATTGGACTGAAGGCGGCTCGTTGAGGAACATCCCCGTGGGAGGCGGCTCGAGGAAGAACAAGAGACCTTCTTCCTCCTCTTCACTTTCCTCACCTCCTGCTGCCACCGCCACGAAGAAACTCCCTGGTTTGATCTCCTCCCCTGCTGCCGCTGGTATTGCAACTACTAGTACTACTACAACAACAAGTAGTTCGCAAAACCCTAATCTTGGTAATCATAAGTTGATTCAGGAAGGCCAGGATCTGAACTTGGCCTTCCCGAGGAGCTTCACGGAGTTGATTCATCAGAATGGGAACCATCATCATTATCATCAGAATGATGAGAACAAGAGTCAGATTTCAGCCATGGAGCTGCTGACAGGAATCTCATCGTCTAGGGGTGGAATATTGAATAATCCTAGCTTCATGCACATGCCACCACCACCACCACAGCCATCATCACTTGTTCATCATCATCATCAAGCTGCAGCTAATCATGGTGGGGGTTATAATGCATCTGGGTTGAGTTTCCCGGTGCTGCAACAACATCAGGATCATTTCAAGCCTAGCGGGTTGAGTTTCTCACTGGATGGGATTGAGCTTGGGATCAGCAGTGATCATCATAATGAGAGTGGTAATGGGTATCATCATCATAATGATCATGAAGGTGGTGGTGGAGGGAGGCCCATGTTTTCGTTTGAGGATCTGAAGCAAGTGCCGAGCAGCAACACTAATGATAGTAATGGGGAGATGGTGAGTAATGGTAAAGATCAGCAAGCAGATTCAAGTGGGTACTGGACTGGGATGTTGGGGGGTGGATCATGGTAACTTTTACTTTATCAAAGTTGAGATTTACAGTCCTTTTGCTTACCCTTTTAGTTTTTCTTTCTCTTTTCTTTTGGGATGAGAGAGAAGGAAGTAGAGAGAGAAGGGGGAAGAGAGATTCTCCACTTTCTGTGTATTGAAATTTCTTGCTTTGAGTTGGGTGGGTGGTGGTGGTGATGATGACGACTTTGGTTGGGAATTCCTTCATTAGTATTATTATTATTACTAACAGAAAATAGGAGGAGATGGGGATATATATATTATATACAATTGGGGTTTTTTTTATTTTTTTCTGCTTTTTCTTTTTTGGGTTGATTTATTATCATGTGATGATGATATGGATCAGTTTGAGTTTGGATTGGCCCTTGATCATTAATCCCAAGTTTGAGGCTTTTTGGTAATTTACATATGGGGAGTCTCTCTTTACTTCCTATTGCTAATGGTCTTGTTGATGATGAAGCTTTGAATTTTCAAGGAATTAGCTTCATTTTAAAGTATCATCAAAGAAGAAGAAGAGCTCATGAGGTAGCCGTGGAAAAGAAGCTAGAGAGATCATCAATATTGGAGGGAAAGTAAAACAAAGTATGAGAAAAAGGGCAAGAAAAAGAAGAAAATAAAGCTCTAGCTTTCATATTGGAGAGTTATTTGGTAGTGAAAAAGAAGAACAGGGTTGCTGGGTTGAAAGAAAGATCTGACAGACGCTTTACTTGGGGACCCGCGGAAAAACATTCTCCTCGGGGAGTGTGTCTGTGACTGTGAGCCGTGAGGAGAAGAAGGAAGAGAATCATTCATTCAAACCCGACCCACGCCCACTTTCCCCCACTACTGCTCCGTTCCGTTGTAACGTTCCCTTCCTACTTCCACTACGTTTGTGAAAGATATGGTCGCCACAGACAATCGATCTACAGAATACATATTGGTGTTGGTACTGTACATGCATTCGTTTCACTGCTGTACCGCACTTTCTCTCTGGTCTTTCTACCTGCAAAAGAAAGACTTATATACATAATACACACATCCATCATTCTAGAGAGAGAGAGAGAGAGAGAGAGAGCTAGGGCCTAGAGGTTTGTGTGGAATGGTGATGAATTATGGTGTGGGTTGGGTTGGGGTTGGTGGGTGTTAGTTCTGCAGGTTTGCCCAATTTGGAAGGAGTACCAGGACCAAGGTCTATCTACATTAGTCATGATATAAACTCTAAACAACCCTACATTGATTTATAATAGAACTTACGTATTCATGCATGTAAGTTACAAGCTACTACGTATACCAATCTATTCTTCCTATGGGCCAATTACATAAATTGGTCATTGATGTTTCTTATCATCCCAATTCCCCCCACCAAATTTTGTATGAGTACTTTTTTTTTTAACTTCTTCTTTGATATTACTCATAGAGTTTATCTCTAATTTTGTATCGCAATCATAACCAAACCTTGAGCCTTCCTTCTTTTCGAGAAGTCATCCAGATTCAAGTTGGGTCGAGAAATCGTACTTCGACAGTCTTTAAGACAAGATTGAGTGTTTCCTGCGCGTGGGCTAAAGTGTCCCACGCACATAGTCTAAATTCGACTAGTAATCGGGCATCCAAAGTTTCGTCCTCCGAGGAGGTACTAAATCCTCAATAGAGGTTGAATGGATCCCCTGGAATCCTTCAACCAAAGTCCTCAGTACTAGAGGCGTCGGCGAATCCAAGGTGAGGATCGCGACCTGGCCAAAGGGAGTAAGAGCACTTCACCAAGTGAAATCCTACAACAATCAATGGTTACTCCACATTCTGATCAACCGAAAGAAACCTTCAGCAGAAGAAGGTTATCCCAACAAGATGGAGTTTTAAGTCTTGAGAATAGAATGTTTTTGAAGGATGTCGTAACCAATTCCGCATTATGTGTATAGGTACATATTCACTTCCATGACAGGGGGGAAAAAGAAGAAACAAAAGAGATATTTTCAGTACTTTTTCTTTTCTTTCTTGTTCGTGTCTGTACAGGGACATCTTCCCTCCCATTACATCAGATCAGACTGCAGTCAAAACGATGGTTCAACCAACCTACTTACTAAAGTGAAAATTCCACAGAATGGTATGATCCATGATGCTGATGATGATGAACCATGTTTCGGCCGCCTTGTCGGATTTGCGTCGTCAGAAATCCCCATTGATCCCGAATATGCGGACTTTGTGCATGTGAGGGAACTTGGCGACTACCAGAACAAAGACAGCCAGCGTGTTGAAGAACAACATTGGATTTTGGTAGTCTGTTGTGTGCGATGCTATTAGGTACCTGCAAGATGGAAGACAGGCAACAACGAATTCGTCAGAGAAGGATCACATTCTTACGTTTGATTCTGAGCAACAGCAGTTCAATGCCGAATACATTCTAGCACAAATCCAATTTTCATAGAGAAACACGAAAATGATGAGGTCGTAGAGGACAAAATTCCATTCCGACCATCAGTGACAAAGCAAATAAGCCATGAAAATGAACCATGATGTCTTCATTCCACAGGCACTTACTGGAAACGAATAGTTCCAAGGAAACTAATTAGTGAATCAACAGTCAAAGTGATTCTGTGAACGATAGCAATTTGCTAGTTATTCAACTTCAATTCACAAGGTAGAAGGAATCCAGTTTCAAATCAATCATGCCAGAGGATTGGTTAATCAAGATATTAGAATAACCACAGCAGAAAGAATAGAACAACTTGTTTCTCTCCAAATGTTCTAACTTAACATTTTTCTCAAGCAAGTCTAACCAAATCCCATAATCTGGCGCAAAGATAGAGTAAGCGACTTAATCAATGGTTTAGAGATGGGATGAGATATGCATCTATGAATAAACGCAGATAACATCTACACCACCTGACTTCAAAACCAGGATGAGCTGTGAGATTTGGCAAGTTCATTTTTTCCCTCAGAATATTGGTTGGAAAGAAAGCAGAGGGCACTTCATAACAACAAACACAATAGCATCAAACAATAAAGACAAGTTAACTATGTTGACGTTCGTGAAATCAACAAACATAGTGAGGCTCCCTACTTCGTGTCTTAGACCTAATAAGCCATCATAAGCCAGAGAGATGGTCAGCAAAACAAATTCTAGAGTGAGTTGGGAGCGTTGGTTGGTCGTTCCCAAAAAACTAGTGGGCAGAGAAGATACTTGAAACTGGACCAGAAGCTTTCTCAAGCTCAAGCTTTTACTTTTCTAGTTAGATGCCACTTCCTGGCATTCTGTAGATACTTTTTCACCCAAACTCATTTGTGTTTCGATCTATAAGAACTCTTAATAAGATGAAGCAAGTAATATACAGTACTCACAGCACAACTGGCACAACAGTGAGAAACTTCCTGTTGCGTGTGAGTTGCTTCCCATTCTCTATTTGCTCCCACCAAGTCAGCCCATTGTAGATGCCTTGATCGTCAGCAAATGGAGTTCCCTTCTTCCAGTGAAAGCAATGGTATGTGACCTGTAAGTTTCGAAGCAAAGCGTTGACAAATAGGTACAGTCAAGCATGTTAAGAACTTAGTGTAGAACGTGCAACACAATGAGAAGCGGCACTATCCCAATTCAAGCACAATGAGAGCACGACATAACCAAAACCTAAAGACCAAAATTTTCACAATCTATATCCTTACTTGTGGATTCTAGTGTCAGGAAACAGGGGAAGGGGAGCATCCTAAGAAACCAATGAAAGCGAAGAGCAGCCACCAAGGATTCAGATTCAATAACTCCCCCTAATCCAACTCTCACACAAGCAAAGTGGATGAAAGCCCTCAAATAAAACCCTAAACATACCAACAAGTTCACCCTAAAAATTGGATCTTGTAAGCAAATTTCAGCTAAAATCTCGAAAGATTTAGACCCAAGTTTTTCAAAGGAACCCTAATGTTCCTTTCATCAAGGAAATCGCGAAACCGAGCAAAAAGTCTCCTCCTACCCAAGTAAATCTAGAACGAGAACAATCAGATCCGACGGAGGGGCAATGAAATCAACTCATCACTGATCATCCTCATCACTACCCTAGGAAGAAAAGAAAGCGTGGAAAAGAAGAGGGGAAGGGAACTAACGAAGAAATGGGCGAGATGCACGACGGTCCAAGCGGTGCCGGCAGAGCAACCGAGGAGGCAGAGAACCATGAACCAGGATGTGAAGACGATGATGATGTAGGTGGTCCAGACGCCTGGATACGTGAACCACTCGGTGTTCCGATTCAAATCCGTCGGAGGAACTGCTCTCACATACATCTTCCTTCTTCCTACTGGTGTGTGGCTGTGTTTTGGCGAAGAGGGTAATAGGGCGGGCTCCGAAGAAGAGAATTGGGGATCAAAGAAGAGAGCTTTTTTTTTCTGTTTGCTTTTCGCTCCTTCTTCTGCTTCCTTCTTTTCCCTATTTCTCAATTTTAGTGAAACCCAGAAAATCAAGTATGGCGATTGGCGATGCCGACGGAGACACACACAAAGGGAGAAAAATCGATTCGGGAGGAAAATAAAGAAATTAAATTGGAAAAAATTAAAATAAAAAATGACGACCCGGTCAATTTCTGGGATTGGTTCTATTCGTTTCTCTCCCGGTATTGGATTTGGATATTGAGATGGCGACTGTGATTTGGGGGTTGCCCTAAGCAGGAGCTTTATACTACAACACACAGCAGAATATTATGTATTAATTTATTTTTCATGTATTAATTAGTTTATGGGTGTTCTAGTAAATTGCAGAATCGAATATAAATGAATATTGTAAAATCGTATTCAAAGGTTTATGAAAAAATTAAGATATTTTGAATATTGTACATATCCGATTCTGTTTATGTATTGACGATGAAATTATAATTATTATTGATCCCATACCCGCATCCGGAAATTATAGAAGTACTAGAAGCTCAACAAATGATTCGGCCGAAGTATCATGAAGATTAAAGGCTACTTATAGCAGGATTGAGACTTGATGCATATTTTTTTAGCGGATATTTATTGTGCTAAATATTTCGGTACTAAAATTTTACAGTTATATGATATATAAAAGTTTGTTACACTTACAATTGACATTTTCGTATCTTTCCAACTATTTAATGTTCAATTATTGATATAGAATATTTTGGTAAATACAGTTTCCTCCTGTCCATGGTATATATATGTTGACAATATCATAACATGACGACTTTTTTCCGACCAAGATATTGTTATCAAAACACTTTTTACCTTAGGATCGTTATAGGATTTGTCTAATGTATTAGAAGAGAGACTTCTTTTACCTTCATATCACAATTTGACAAACATGTTGTGAAGTTGTTCTATCTTGAAGGTTCTGAATGATTATTTTAGAAGTCAAACTGTCAAACTTAGAGAAAAGACCAGTACTCTACGAGCAGTCATACAACAAAAATGGAGCTTGATTGGTTGCCAGACCGCGTTTTTTGTGATTCAACAAATCAGACTTCATAATTGGAGGTTTTGTGGCAAACAACCAAATCAATATTCCCCAAAAAACAATCATCAACGACAAGGCGTCGACAATGCTTACTTCCTCGAACCCTTCACTGCAAGAGATTCCTTCCTGTCTGTGTCTGTAATCAACACCATCGCCGACCTGGAAGGTGAGACCAAATGTCTGTCATCTTCTTTTCTTTTCTTCCCAGTTGGTTGGGGAGGTTACAACACTTATCCACCAACCTCCAATCTGTCTCTCATACAATACAACAATGCTACAATCTCAACTATTCTACGGGATCATAGTCATGTCCCGCATTTCAGTCGTCTCTATTCTACCATTGCCATTGCCAACTCTGTCCAAGCCACCTTCCACCAACCTTCTCTTCGCCGATTTGGTTCTATAGCACCAGACCTCAAATGCCTCGCTCAAGTCGGGGAACTTAACCTGTTCCCCACTCATCCAGCCCGCCAGAATCTCACCCTGATCGTTCGATGGCAGTGCCAGTATTAGAGACACGATCGCCCCTTCTATGTTCTGGCACAGATCCTCGTCCATCCTGTGTCCAAAACTCGGGTCCTGCTCAGCCTTTGCATCTAAGATCGGCTTCAGTTTTCTTATGTAAGGCAGCCACGTCCTCAACAACTGCACACGCAATGTTGGTTGCAGAATCACGGTTCCATACCCAACTGCCTCGAGTACTTTAACTGTCACTTCGATTACCTTCACTTTCAAGCCCCATACAACCGACTCGAATCTATTGTCTTCTATGATCTCAACAATAGATGCTTCAGTCCATCTCACGACGAAGTCCTTCATCATGTCCATCTTCGGGAGTATGTTGCACATCCACATGAGATCGGAGACAATATGCAACGCTTCGATCTCTGTTGTTTCTGATAAGGAAGATGACATGATGGTTTGGAACGAGGAGAAGATCTGGGCAAGGCCTGTTCTGGCAACCGTTCTCACTTCATCATCAGCTGTGATTAATGGAGTCTCCTCATCCTCTCCCAACATGTATTCAATTTGTTCTTGTGCCGAAGTTCTGAGTTCATCGCCGAAGGGAAGGCCTGACCCTTCTCCACCAGGAGATGATGTGGCGAAGCGGAGCGCGGAGAGGAAGACGTTCTTTGTAGCAGTTAGGTCCACTGGACTTATTCTGGCGACGATAGGCATGGCTATTGGGCCAAGCCTGGAGGCTACTTTGACGATTTCTTCCTCTTCACTGTCGTCCCACGGAACAGCCTCCAAGTACTGGATGCAGCTCTTTGTTGTTTCTTCCTCACAGTTGAGAGCAACAGATTCTTCGAGAACTCCGAGAGCAGATTTGACTGAGTCAAAGGCATGCATTAGAGAGCCAATCTGCAAAGAACTTGCACCTGTTTACCAGAACGACATTGGATGTCAGTAGTTGAGTGTTTGTGAGGGTATCAGGTACCTGCAAAAGAAGACATACGACAATGATTAGTGAGGGAATAAGGCACATGTTAATGTTCAATTCTGTGCTAGACAAGTCCAATATAAATTCATCATTGCAGTCCCATGTATATCGGACAAGGCTTTTCTTAACAGGAAATTTTCATCTGATCCCATCAGCCATCATGACAAAGCAAATAAGTCCCGAAAACGAATCATAATGTCTCAATCCCAAAAACACTTGTTCAAAATGCTTCTTCCCAAGGAAATGATGTGAATCAATGACCATGATACGGAATAAGAACTATGCAGTTATTCTGAAAATAGACAAACACAGTGAAGCTCCCCACTTTATGCATCATCAGCCAGAGAGACGGTGAAGAACCTAACTCAGCTCTCACTAATTTCTGTTTGATTGATCAGAAATTGAGAACATGAAGCAAGTAGTAGAAAACAGTACTCACAGCACAGCTCGCATAGTGGTGCTATAAACTTCCTATTGCATGTGAGTTGCTTTCCATTCTCTATTTGCTCCAACCTACTCAACCATTTGCAGATACCTTGGTAGTCAGCAAATGGGAATCCCTTCTTCGAGTGAAAGAAGTGGTGTATTTGTGTTACCAGCAAGTTATACATGCAGAGCATTTACAAAATGGACACTGTCAGCCATCAGAAGTTTTATGTAAAAAAGTCCAGACCAATAAAAAGCAGAGGAACCTCGGTTCATGTTATCGCCCATTTGAAGCACAATAGATTGCAACATGAATATAAACTAAGCTAAAGATCACTTCTAGAGTCTAGAAACTTCCCAACCATGGCTATCGATAGGAATCAACAAAAATCACGATCAGGATTAACAGACTGTTGCTAGTTATCAAGATACTCAGATTCAATAGCTGAGCTAGAGCCATGATCTGGGTGGGGCATATCAAACTCAATATACCAAAACCCACGAAACAATTTACAATCTACAACTCTAAGTTCTAACTGCGATTCCTCTGGAGTTATTGGAGTTCATTAAGCACAGTCTCATCCAAAACCTCATTAACTCCTTTCCTCCTCAGACCAGAAGAAATAAAGGAACAAACTTTCTTGTTGACCATTAAAAACCCACCATAACGGCATCAAAAATGAAATAATGCTTCCAGTAGTTGCTACTAACAATCACTAATCACGTTCAGTGGCAATAATTCGATTGAGATGCAAAATTAAGAAGGCCCCCTCAATTTCTAAAACTGAAATTAGCTCCGCCACAGTCACACTGATATGAACTCACCCATCACAGCTCCAACGAGCAGCAAATTCATATCATCAGAAGAAGCATCGAATTACCTCGAACAGCGGGTAGTTTGCATCAAACCGATGGAAAAGGGGATATCAGTCCAGCCCCGGCGGCGAGGGAATCAAACCCATCTAGTTTGCGACCGATCTCCACGCAAGCCGAATATTGCATATGAAAGCCATGGAATCGCCCATCTTCCTCCTCCCAACGAAAAACTTCCCCCCAATTCTCTAGTGAAGGAGCTACCGGTTCTTGAGCCCTACGAGCCGCAGGGAATGGGAGGTGAGAAGAAAAGCGAAGATGAGAGAACGAAACGAATGCGGAATGCCTCCAAAATTTGGGCCGGTGGGTGGTGGGGTTCAATTCATGTAAAGTGTAAAGTAAGAAACCATTAACCGTCGACTGGGCTCAAGCCATGGGCTTAACTAAGATTATCAAACAAAAAGCCATCAAACGGTTGGGCCGGACCGAATACACGTTTGATGGCCCAACCCCAGTGGTCCCCCTTGTAGAAACAAAAGCAGGCAGGGACAAAAAAGGAACGAAAGGAAAAGATGCTTACGTCTAATCCCATCACAGAGACAGGGTAATTGATTCCGCCTCCAGACAGGATTGCTGACGTGGCGGGAAGAGGTGACCAATCAATGCTCAAAGAATCATTGTCTCTTCTCTCCCAATGGGCCCAAAGCCCCACAGCACTACAGAGCAATGAGCCCATAAAAAGAAGTGAAGGGCCGTCTGACACATGTCCCCTTTGTGACCGGCACTGCGGTCCTTATTTGCCCAGCTCCGTGCTCCTCGAAATAACCGCCGTCAGATCATTTGCCGAAATAACCGCCGTCAGATCATTTGCCGCTCCTCGAAATAACCGCCGTCAGATCATTTGCCGCCGGACGTCCAGATCGCCGGCCACGTGTCCCGCATTCTATTCGTTAAGGTTCGGTCACCATCGAGCTAGATAGCCACAGTCACGAACAAGATTGGTTAGGAGTGTAGTTAGTAAATACTCTGTTTAATACACGAATTCGTACGTATTTTATCCGTTTAAAACTTTTGTATTCGTATTATTGTCAAGTCGTTTCATTTTTCCTCATTCATTTGATGGCTCCCGTACTAAACACGTATAAAATCAGTATAAGAGGTTTATTATCCGTATTTTACGAATTAAATTGTTAACTTTACTATTATGTATAATATATATTTATTTTTAAAATGATTAATTTTATATATTTATGACTATTAACGTACTATTAAACATAATTTTAGCTTAGAGACGAAGTAAAATACCCATACGTATTTTTCACGTAACTTTCCCGTACCGTATTTTACTAACTATGGTTAGGGGAATGTGTGTTGATCCCTTTTCCCCACTTCTCTTCGTTTTCCCATTGCACTCTGAATTATCATAACTTGGTTAGGATCATGCGATTTTCAATGGTTAAAGACGTGTTGAGGTCGTAGTCGAATTTGAATCACTGTATCCCTCTTAATCCGCTTATATTTTACTTACTTAGATTATATCATGTTAGGCCACGTGAACTGAACTTACGATCTATGCATGGGTGCAACAAGACCTTTGCCGATGAGCCGAACCTACGTTGTCATAATTGTGCATGTCGAATTCTCGAGAAAACATTTCCTAGCTATTCACCGAATAAGAAATTGAATTTTTTTGCTATTATGTATAGCATTCTCTTCAATTCTTTTCAAAAAAACCAGACTTGCGTAAATATTAGGCCAGACTCCAACTATTGATTCACAACAGTGTTTCGATCACAACAGCAGCAAAACAAACCAAAAACAAAGAATATATGTCGAGTGAAAGGAGATTTTTCTTGGGTCATAGATATTCATAGGATTCCCTTTTGCAATAATTTGAAGAAGGATTTACATGTATACGTCCAAGGAAAGATACCAAATTAATAGCACAATAACTGGAGTTATGAATTGAGATCATAATGCATAAGTGAAGGTTACGATTCGTATTGATCTTCAATATTGTCTATGCTTTCTCGTCGAAGGCATATCTGATCGATCTGCAAATTAAAGCTCTGATGATTGCCACTCATCACCATAGTGGTACCTAGCTAGCGGCCTATTGAGTTGAGGTATGTCTTTCTTTCTGTGCATAAGTCAATGCGCTCCCTTTTTTTACTGTTATTATTGTGCTGCTACGGATCGGAAAATCGCCCGAAAGCAAGAATACGAAAGTGAGAATCGAAAACAGACACACGATTTACGTGGTTCACGATGTGTGTTAGCTAGTCCACGAGCGAGAGAGAGAGAGAGAGTCAGTTTCACTATATCAAGGAGATTATAGATTACAGAGGAGATGACAAGTATTTATATACTTTTCCGTGTGGGTCTAAACCTAATCCAATCAGCTGGTAAAGGAAACGGTTACAGACCCGTCCCAAAACCAGACCAGATTTCAACCTGGTAGCGCGCGGCTGATATAGTTCGATTCAAGTTACATCAACATCGTACGTACGACTAGTTGTCTATCTCGTTAATCGTATTATTGGGTTAAAGCACCTTTTAATTTGCTGCTAAGTCAAAACTTTCAATGAATACTGTAGAGCAAAAAGGAAAGGTGAAGAGGGCTGGAATATACATATAGAGCATGGCATGGGATTGGACATGGCTTTACAGAAAGGCCAAACTGGAAAAAGCCTCTTCATCATTAGCTTCCATCTTATAATTAACCTTAATCAAAACTGTATAACCACAATCGGCCACTCAATCATATCTCTGAAACAAAAAGGAAAATTAATGTACAACATTCAGATTAACTTGTGAGAAAACATGTTGATGATCGGTTTATTTGCCTGTTAAGGCAGGCTTTGTTCTCCTTTGTTTGGGGGTTAATTATATTAATTACCAAAAAGGTGAAGAGATAAAGTTGACAAACTAAATCTTACACTTAGATTTTACTGCTTCCCACTAATTGGCAAACCAAAATGGATCGTTACGTTAACTTATCGGATGAGAGGAAGGAGGGAGCCAGATAGCTAGGGTTTTTCCTTGGCCGTTGACTTGCAACTTGCTTGTATATATGGACGGCCATGATTAAGCTTTGTGTTGAGCTCAGGAGACAGAATCATCAGAACTGAGAACAGAAACCCTACCAGGCTACCATACATAACAAGCCTTCTCCTTTCTCCTCCTTAAATTTTTTTTCTTTCTCTTTTTGTTTCTTACTTCAGAAATTTTTGCAAAATTGGGTTGCACAAACGGAGCGCAACTCGCAAGGCGTAGAAGTTCAAGGAAGACGCATGAGTTCGTCCAGTCTTGCGAGCTGCGACATGACTATGCCATTATGAAATCCCTTATCGTCGATAGATTGAAATCGAAATTATGATAGCACTGTGTAGTATCTAAGATTATGGAGTGTTGACCTAGATGATTTAACATAAGTACTACTTGTGCGATTTTCTCTGTCTAGCTAGCTAGCTATCCCTTTTTTGCTGTGCCCTTTTGCTATTTTCTTTTCAGAATGGTACTCGATGAATTGATCGATCGTTCTCTTTGACAAGGAAGGAATTCAGAAAACAGTAGCCACCCCACTAGCTAGCTAAGCACAAAAACAGTTGGTGGGACACCCCAAATCCATCGGGCCCTTTGTTTTTAGATTTCATTCAACCCTTCTATCTCTTCTTTCTCACATTGCAGAAATAGTACACTTTGATGCTCATTTATTGGACAACATTATCATATTTGTGTTATGCAAATCAAAACATGTTTTTGGGGTTTGTTTCCTAATAATCATGCTTAGCTTTTTACCACCCTGAAAGTGCCCTCTGCAACTAGCTAAGGTTAATGGGTTCCAGTACGTCAGGTGAAACGTTGAAATATTAATGCCATGCCTTTAGAGGACCTAATTTAATCAGGCGATATAATTAGCAAATGGTGTCTGCATCAGAAGCTGGACTAGTGGAAGCTAATTCAACCTAGTCGCCGAGTAGAGTAAAACTCGAACTCGACGGATTATTAAAGGGTATGGGTAAAATCTGAACCCGAATATTTGCGAGTGATGGATAGACATGATTTTCTCGCTATCCAATCTGAACTCGTCCGATTATCTGCATGCATATGTATTTTGTTTGAAAATTATCATTGTGTTTCTCAATATATTTTATATTTATTTATTATGGCAAAGAGAAATTATCATCCATGATAACCGTGGATACCCGGTCTGAGTAAGGATACTATTTTGATGTTTTATCCGATTATGTATGAGTATAGGTATTGGTAAAACCCGATCTATTTAGAATAATAACATATCCACGACTGTCCACTCCAACCCGACCTGACCCGTTGTCATCCTACCTACTCTCTAGGGCAGAAACCAGAAGGGTTTTGGATGAAATGGAAAAGATAAGGTGATCAATGGTGGAAGAAGGCGATATAGTGTATGCACATTTACAATAAGAAAAAAAAGATCATGTTGGCAGCTAGCTAGGGTTTAATAAGTCAATATTCTCACACTGATCACTCAATAAGCTCTTACAAAGGACAAAGGAAAGAAATTACAAGTTGTACATGGGGACCCATAATATAATCTAATGTCACACTTACTGGGATGCACAGAAATATGGCAAAACCAACAACATGACCTTCCTTCCTCCAACATTATTCCATATAACCATCTTCTCCCCCTAACCTTCACTGCATCATGAAGAATGATTCAATGTCCCCCTCAACTTTTATAGGCTTTGGGACCTTTAATTTGTGGGTACATGCCCTACTCTTTAGTCCTTTCCCTCCCTACCCACCATACACATATGAAATCAAAGATGGAATTGATAGGGCATAGTAGTACTGCTGGAGCCCTCATGTTAGACAGATTTTGTTTTTTTTTTTTTTTTGACAAAGGGATCACTTATATTGCTCAACTAATAAAATCGGTTACAAAGAGGGGATACCATACAACATGAGAAAACAAATCAAGAAAGAACAGCCTCAACATCCAGAGGAACACACAAACCAACGAGGAAAAGATCAAAACAAGAGAAAGCCAAGCATGATCCAACTAGACAAGGACATTCTATTCTTGAACCGCAAACCAGAGCATCTGAATCACTCTTTGCAACCTCATTTATCAGCTGCACAGTTTTGGTGCTTTTTGGATACAGGCTGCACACAACATATATGGTAAAGTGGGCAAGTTTGTAAACTGAGAAAGAGTGGAGTGATCAGCTCCTTCCTTAATTATTCCCTGCTGTTTGCTAGTCTTTATATGGTTACTACTTACTAGGTCCAGTTTGGACAGAACTTACGAGGCTGCAATCAGATTATTAGACTAAGTAAATATACATTTTGAGAGAGAGAGAGGGAAAACTGAGGAAATGATTATAGCGCATGCAAAAAGCTAAGGTAACAGCTTAATTAACTACTGCTTTCAATTCAAACCCGTCTTTAGTTTTTGGTGCATCATAATGGTAACAGCTTATCCATACATAGAAACTAATCATTAACCCAAATACCTATATGCTCTATGTACGTAGGGCTCCTCATCAAATCGTAGATCTCCTACAGGGTTTCTAATACATAACTAGATTTTCCCCTTTTTCAGTATTATATAAAATAGACAATTATTACGGCCGGGAAGCTGGTCTCTATGCAGATTGGAGATGACAACGGACCCTGTTTCACATGTTTTGGATCGAGTAATACTTGCGTGATAAGTGGTGTGGGGAGCGTGTATGAGTACTCTCTTTGACCTGATCGTCATGACTCATCTCATTATTTATTTTTTTCTCTCTCTCTAAATATACATGTAATTTTACTCAAATTATTAGGATTTTACTTTTAGTAACTCACATTTTAGCTAATAAATTTGAAATTAGGCGAGAACTCGAGTAATTTAACTATTTCTTAATTTCTTAATCAAAAAAATAATATTTCTAATATTTTTCTTTTCAATCACGTACTCATATGAGTCGCTAACACGCGCCCCATAATAAATTACTCGAACTGATCTCGACGTGTCACGAGGCATATATGGGTATCGATATTACCCTTCAGATCTGCCTCAGTGCCATTTTTAATGCCGATGAGAAGGTGATATAAGATGCAATTAGGAATGAAAATGGTGCAGGCTCGGGACGGGTTTCTTAGTACCCAGACCCGCCCCGTGGCAGGTCGGGTCCAGATCGAGTAATTTATCCCGGGTCGCGGGTCGGGGCAGGCCGACCCAATGGGTATGCAATTTATATGAAAAACACTAGAAATATTCATTATTTTTATTATAAGACCGAGAAAACAAGCAATATTATGATAAATGTAGTTAAATTATTAGAGAAATTGAGATTTTTCACTAATTTACAACTTTATTATAGATAAAATATGTTGCAATAAAAGAAAATTTAATTTGATTAAGATTACATGTAATTTAGCCAAGAACGGATCGAGAATGGGGCGGGTCAGGACAGGTCGGTTCGATGAGCGTACCCATGCCCGCCCGCCCCGCCTACAGGACGGGTCGAACTCACCCAAAACAGACCAAACAGGTCGAGTTAAAGTGGTGAGGTTAATGAGCTGTTTAAATTGAGACAGAAGGGTAGATCGGTTTAACTAGGGTGGAGTGGCTAGTTCTATATATATTGGAAGGAGCGATGAGTAGTTTGGTAGGAACCTAAGCAACATATCGAGAGGGACAACACACATTTTGATGCTAAAAACAACTTACGTTGTGGTGTGTGTGACTGTGTGTTATGAGATGATAGGGTGGATGTACTCGAACTGATCTCGACCTATTAGCTTATTGCTTATTATTGCTATCCATCAAAATTAGTGCTGATGTTAATCGACTATCCAAACATTTCTTTTGACCAATTATAATGGACCACTTGCACAAACCCACCGAATTAACAAACCTACTGCTGTTTCTCAGCTTAGCTAATGCATAGTTCTCCTTTGTCATCATCAACTTCGTCGTCATCCTAATCTCCCCATAAAAAATATCATCCTTATACTATTAGTTTAAGGATGATAGATTGGGTGGTACTGTTTAGCATGCATTTTGAAATTTGGTTACAGACAATACATTATTATCGCGATCAACGGATTTTTAATCCTATGAAAGAAACGTTACTTGTAATAACGAAAAGAACTCATATGCCAATTTCCAATGCAACTAGAGCATGGTTTTTTTTTTTTTTACGGGAACCTGAATCAATAATAAAAGATGAAGAGTTTACACCGGGCCCAAAATATCGCGGCCCAAATCCTTCTCAAGGAGGCAAAGCAAAGAAACAGGCGGGTTGTCAACCCAGACAAATTGACGGCCCCAAACTCCCAGAGAGTGAGCTAACCAGTGAGCGACTCCATTATTTCTTCGAGGAGTAAAGCTCCATTTCACCTGAGTTCCAGATAAGCTCCCGTTTACCTCAGCCAATCTCCAAATCTCACCACACCAGCTCCCCACCTCTGTTCGATCTTCCTCCTTCCTCCTTAGCTTCTGAATAAGCAATTGGCAGTCCGATTCCACAATAAGAGGGCTTAACCCTTTCCGATTTGCTTCCCTAAGACCCATAACAACAGCTCTCGCCTCAGCTTCGATAGGTCGGCAAGCCCCTTTTTCCTTCAAACCAGTAGCACCCTTGAATTCCCCCCTCCAATCCCGAAAAATGCAGCCCAGCCCGAACCCAGATTGTTGCAGAATCCCCGCGTCGGAATTAAGCTTGAAAAACCCTTCCGGCGGCGGAACCCACCTCTCCGGCCCGGCCGACCCGACACTGCTAGTGAGAGAAAGATCCATGGATCTCTGCGCATCCAGATAGGAGCTAAGCCACGCCATCGCCCGGGGAATGATTTCCTCCTCTTCCAACTTCGAATTGTTATTCAGGTGATTACACCGTTCCTTCCATAGGTACCACACTGCCGCACAAAATCGTTGAATTTTCCCTTCATCAAAGTTCTTCCAAACCTCTTTCAGCCATTCGAGACAAGATTTATCTTCTCCAATCTCGTACAAAGCTTTATCTTCCCACTCTTGCCATCTGTTTCTGATCCAGCTGCAGTTACGAAGGGCATGCATTTGGTCTTCCGGCAGGCCACAGAAAGGGCAATCCGAGCTAGCATCCTCTATCCATTCTGCAATATTACTGCCCACAGGTAAGATTTCCCTCCCCACTTTCCATAAGAAGATTCGCACTTTAGGAGGAATATTAGTTTTCCAAAATAGCTTCCAGAACTCCAAATCCTCGTTTGATGGCATATAATGTCGCGTCTGGTGTTGAAGTCGTTGTTCCCGAATTCTGTAATAGGCAATTCGAATGGAGTAGATTCCGTTATCAGAGTCCTTCCACACCATTTTGTCTTCTTTGAGAGGACAGTGGATTGGGATCTTGGAGACTAATGAAGGATTTATACGTGGGAATGAAGCTTAAATTACAAGCAAGGGTGGAAAAAGGGAAATAAATTATTTGCTGACTTCAAAATAGTATATTGTATATGTAATTCCACACATCACTGATGATGGGATTTTAAAGCTTAGTGACCTCTTTAGCTACCAATTCGGTGTATCTTATCTTACGTATTGCCATTGACTCGGCTGTGAAATTCAGTTGGATGGAATTTATTATAGATATATTAGCTAGCTTGTTACAAAGTCTTAATTTGCTTGTGCTTTCTTATGTAATTAATTAATTCGATAATTGCATTTGACAATTTCACGTGCCCTTTGGAAGCAGTATATAACTATAACATAGCAAACAACTTCCCCTATAATGGTATTTTTTTAAGGCTTTTCGTTGACAAATTGAATATTATTATATAATGGTATTATTAAGGCTTTCTGTTGACATTGATAATTTGTTTGTCATAACTTGTTGTATGGTTTGTATTATCCATGTTGTCTTGGACGGAGAAAAAAAATGGCAAATCTATTGGATCTTTCTATTAATTACATTTTAATGTAATTAAAAGAGTAGTAAATGCAGAAGGTACATCAATATTGCGTGCACTCAAGCAAATCCATTAGTCACAGAATGATAGTTGTGCGACCAACAAAAGAAGGGAAAAAAAAGCTATTTATTTCTTTCGATTTTCATTCAGCATAATGAAAGTTATCCAAATTTTATTGGATATCCCGAAGAAAATAAATTATAAAACTCAAATACAAAACTTATAACATATTAGACATATCTCATATCGACAATACATGCACAGATTTATGAGTCATGAAGAATAATTCAACATTAACCGACAAGACACATTTCGGAACGAAATGAATGAATTCTTGTAAGAACTTGGAAGTTCACGTACTTAGGATGGAGCAGTGCATAAACGATCAACCTATCGAAAATACACCAGAAATCACCCAAACTAAGAAACATGGGGATTAGACCCGAAGGCCGAAACAGACAATATCTTGGTTAGAGAAAGGGTTGAGATGTTATAAAGTACTCAATCAACGAACATGGGTTTAGTCTAGTGATAATACCACTAGTCTTATACCTGGAGATCCCATATTCGAATCTGTAAAATGGTACATAATTAAAAAAAATAAAAATAAAACATGTATCACCATTATAAAAAAAAGGTACACAATCAATAGATTTCTTATCTATTACTTATCAACAACGGATTGTAGTGAACAAGAATTTGATACCATTGCTTAATCATCTTAAATCTTGATGTCTCATGTTCCAATCTCTAGAGAAAATTCGGCATTTTATTATTTTTTTATAGTCCTAATTAGCATTTTATCTATGGGAAAGGAAATGGTAAACAAAAGCAAGAAGCTAGCATGACAGGGAATAGACGGTGAAAGAAACCAGCAAGAGAGCAACCGGAGACAGAGCGAGGAAAAGGAGAATCCAGCTGGGGCCGGTGGCCGGGAAACAGGTCGACCAAAAAGAGATTTATTTATATAAATCCAAACAAAATAAAAACGGGCAGTAAATGCTGGTTAGGGAAGATCTCAGTATTCCCATCCTTCAATATTAATTCTCCACATTGCTCAGATTCCATCGAGAAAAGAAAGCAGAAAAACACAGAGAGAGACAAAAACCTCATAGCCATAGAGAGCCAGAGAGACAAAAGCTCATTCATTTCTCTTTTCCTTCTGCTTTTCTTCCTTCTCTCCTTTCCTTTGGATAGTATAAAGAAGAAGCAAGCCATTTTACCCTCTGGCTTTTGGTGTTGTCAGTTCCTTCTTCCTTATTTCCGCATTCATTAATTCCTCTTTTTTGCTCTCGCCATAACCACAACATCACAGTCTGTTGCATCAAAAGACAAACCTCTGTTTTGCCACTTCTGGCCAACCCAATTCCTCTTTCGCCCACTCTGTTTTTCCCCCCCTCCTTTCGTTCACTTCAAGGAAACTCCTTTCCCCTCTTTGTTTCCATCTCTGTTCTTTTCCCCCCACTACATCAGTGTTTTGCTCTTTTGATGATTCTGAGGTAACCTGAGGCTCTGAGGGAGCGCTTCCTCGCCATCATTTTGGGTTGCTGTTTGGGTTATTTAATGTGCGGAGGGTGGATGGTGATGCTGTTGAGATTTTGAAAGCCAAAGCCAGGCTTTAAAAGAGAAAAGAGAGGGCGTTGGTGCGCTGATTTTGTTTTTATTTCGCTTGCTCTTTTTGGGGTGAACAATGGGTAGTGGCAAGATGGAATCTTTTGTCAAGGAGAAGCTGAAGGACCTCTGTTCCAGCAGCAATGGCTGGTCTTTGGGACTCCTCTGGCGCTTTGATCACCGCAATTCCATGTCAGTTCCTTCTCCTTCTTGTTCTTCTTGGCATGCTTGCTTCATTAACTCTCATAGTTAACCTAGTACTTGAAAAAGATGAAAGCTTTTGGTTTTTCTTTTGGTGGGTAATCTTAAACTTTGTCTACTAATGGAAGGGAAAGAGCAGAATAGTAATTTAATTTGTCCCATTTGAAAATTTGTCGCTTGGAGCAGCCAAAGGGGGGAAGAAACAAAGCTTGAAATGGGTTTAGGGGGTACTGACCTTTTTGGTTAAGCAATATAGAATACCTTAAATAAGAGGAGTTAACAAAAGTTCTCTCATCCATAAAATGATATCCAAGATCTAAATTCCTTTCTCCTTGCCGCTTTTTTCTCTTTTCATCTTGTCCTGTTTTGTCAATTTGAAGCATATTCCAGCCATTGACAATGTAACAGCATCAATCTTAACAGTAGCTACTGGTTGCATTTAACAGTAATTCTGGCAATTATGTCTGATAACTAACGTTTAGTGCTGTTTCTTATTTTGATGTATGCTTACCAGGTTGCTAAAAATGGAGGATGCCTATTATGAAGAGCAAATGAAGACAGTAGTTAAGGATTTGCTTCCCCATGTCCACATGCTTGGTGAAGGGTAAGCGAATTTGAAGAAAACTAGGCTCCAGTGTTAATAATTGCAGACAATTTGCTTGGAAATTTCAAGAATTCTACTGTAATAATAATTGCTTTATCCAGGCATAGAAAAACAGTATTTGACAGGATGATGGTGTTTTTGTTTTGATGCAGAATGGTTGGCGAGACAGCTTTTAGTGGGAAGCACAAATGGATTTCCTGTGATGCTGATGATAGTGGATGGAGTGACTCTGAGATTACCAGATTGCTGTCTTCTGGAATAAAGGTGCCTGTCAAAGAACACTACATGTGTAATATGTTCATGTATCTTGTTCTGCTTTCTAATGTTAATGAATGTTATCAATTCTTGTCTGCAGACAGTTTGCATGATCCCATTGGGTTCACAAGGGGTCATACAGCTTGGATCCGTGCATAAGGTTTGTGCATTTCACATTGATGCCAAAAACAAAAACAAAAAAAATCTTATCATGAACTTTTTCAGATGATGAATGAACAAGCAATGTACTCTTTACTTGTTGCAGATTTCTGAGAGACAAGAGTTTGTGGATCAAACCAAGAGATTGTTTAGTGACATGGAGAAAGCTGAATCTTTCGGTCCAATGACCACCAGCACTGCTTCCTCTTTGACCTACGATGCTGCTTCTTCTGATCTCAGTGACTGGTTTGCTTCCTTCTGTGCTGGAACCATCTCACCCATCCTTGGTGGAAACTGTGATGAGCTCGGAGAATTCGGTTTTACTTCATCAAACTTCACTCGGTCGCCTGCTCCAACATCAGATATTGAACAAGAAAGGATTGTTCCTTCACTTATGGACTCAAACCGTGAGCATGCTTCACCAGAGTCAACAGGCAAAATGGATTGCATCAGTACATGGAGCAGTGAAGGTTCCATTTTGACCTCACTAGAGTCACAATTGGCTTCAGAGATCGAGGTCTGTGATTTTCCATGGATGCTTTCATCTAGTGGAAATACTCCAATGTCTCATGGCAATTTGCAAGAGAGTGCAACACTTGCTCCATGTTACAATACAGGAGTGTTGATCGATGTGGACGAGTCAAGTCAAGTATATGCTGAAAGATCTGGGATTAAGAATGAGCCTTCGACTGTTATTAAGCTCGAGGAACAAGGAACCTTATGTGGGTTTCCTGAAGAGTTTAAGCAGGATGATTTCTCCACAGATTTCTCCAACCTTTTCATGTTGGAGGACCCATTTGAGTGGACTCCTTGTTCACAAAGCCAAAGCATTAATGTTATGACTCCACAAGTTGAGGCGAACGTTTCACAATCGGTAGGATTTGGTGCACCACCTTCTAGCCTGCTTGAAGATGTTTGCAGTGAACAACAAAAACCTGCAGTCTCCTATGCTGCTCAGAGTGATCTGTTCGTAGTCCTTGGTCTAAAGTTCGCTGATGGACAAGTTGGTAAAAGGGATAATTTGATGGCACCTTTGGTTAGTGGTATTCAGCCAGGTACTGGCGCAGAAGTCTCGAAGCTCAACCCAACATTAAATGGTATCTGGAAGCAGAAGGGCTTATTCTCAGAACTGGGACTTGAAGAGCTTCTAGGTGGCCATAAGAGTTCAAGCTTTGCTAGTACTAAATCCAGCATTATCGACGATGGACTATTGTCACCTAACAAGAGAAGAAAAATGGAGAATTCATCACTCAGTGTTAACCAACTTCACTTAGGGAATGTCTCCTGTTCAGCTAGCAGCAGCACAAGCATGCTGTCCGCTAGTGGTATGGACAAGACAAAGTCGCCAATGGCACAATTGATTGAAGACAGCTTCAGCAGCATCAACACTAGAGGAGGTATTCCAGGAAAAGCTAAGAAGCCAGACGATCCTGCTAATAAGTCGGGTGCCAAGAAGAGGGCTAGGCCTGGTGAGAGCACTCGGCCAAGGCCAAAAGATCGACAGCAGATCCAAGACCGCCTCAAGGAGTTGAGGGGCATAGTTCCTAATGCTGAAAAGGTATCATACTGTTTTCAGGTCTTGGACTCTTGGTATATTTTAGCAATATCAGCATGCTAAATGTTTGGAACAGAAGCTGCTAGAAGAGAAACTAATGATTCCATATAAAAATAAACCTATTGTAAAGAGTTGTTTCTTGTTAATGGAACCAAAAAAGGGTTAGAAGCTACAGAATGCTACTTATACTTTTAACAGAAGCAGCTACTGATGTATGCTTTCTTTGGTTGATATCACAGGATAGCATTGACAATTTGTTGTACAGAACCATCAAACACATGCTTTTCTTGCAGAGCGTGGCAAAATATGCAGACCAGCTTAAACAAGTTGATAAGCCAAAGGTAGTAAGTCATAATTTATGTCCAACATCCCTTGCTTCAGATAATTTTATACATGGCCAGTTACTGAGACAATTAAGGTTGAACAATTTGTACAGATTTCAGCGCGAGAAGGTGGTTGTGGAGCTACCTGGGCGTTAGAAGTTGGCGATGAAAAAGTGGTTTGTCCCGTCGTAGTTAAAGATCTAGTCCCGCCTGGACTAATGCTTGTAGAGGTTAGAGACATTACTGCAACTGCTCACTAATCTCCTTGGGATGGAAGTAAGTCGAACCGCTACTAAAGTCATTCTGTTTCTGATATATTATTTGCCAGATTCTGTGCAAGGACCAGGGATACTTTCTTGAAATAGCCGAGGCAGTGAGGGGATTCGGGTTGAACATACTGAACGGAGTGATGGAAGCTCAAGATGATAAGATATGGGCACGATTCGTGATCGAGGCGAATTCGTCCATGACAAGGGCAGATGTACTTTGGTCCCTTGTCCCACTTTTACCCCAGAATGCTAGTAGTGGGATGGACCAGAAGTTGTCAAGTAATGTTGCTGTGTCGAGAAGTTACCAGCAACCAGGGGCACTGGTTTGTCCCATTGGCTTGGCAGAGACAACTCAACGATAGCAGCAGTACTTCTTCTGGTGTAGTTGTAACACCTTGAGCAATTCATGATTCTGAGGCTGAATGCTGTGATTTAAGAGGAGATCAGTAGTTAGAATAGAGTAAGTGGTGATAAGATAGAGTAGAGTAAGATGGAAAGTAGATGAATGATACTGAATGTGAATACTTGGTTGTTGATTATAGTCACGTAGACCTTAATTACCTGACTTGGACAATATATTGTACTCGTCGCCGTCTCAAACCAAACTCGTTGCTACATCCAACTCCACCCTAAACATACTAGAACAAACTCTAGCGACGCATGATTCGAGGCAATTTACGTAATTCAACCTTGATTTTGTTCGAGCTCGCCGTTCGTTCACAGATTCTTAAAGCTAAAGCCTAAGTCGTAGTAATTTCATGGTTCTTATTGTTTCCTTGTCATGCAAAGATCACTCACCTTTCTTCCTTCTTTTTTGTTTTATATATTTTTTCAGGTTTCCGAGTGGTTGCTGGTGTAAACACACTAACCATCCACTTTCTTCCCAAATCACTATTGCAGATCTGTCATCTTTTTAAGACTAGTTTTGAAGCTGTTATTTGATGGAAAAAGTAAAGTAAGTAGTAAAGGAACTTGTCTTTGGTTTATTTAAAATGCCAGCTGAGGAAAAAGGAAGAACAAACCACAGAGCACTAAATGATTCTCTAAGTTAAAAAACTGGCTAATTAGGTAGCCGAAACTGATTGCTGTCAGCAAAACCAGATTATGTTAGGAGAATTAGTAAAACCTCAGAAAATATTAGGTATTTATGCAAGTGATCCTATTGTTAGGAAGGATAACAGATTGTGCACCATGACAAAATCTACTTGTTGCCCCAACCATTATTCACCAACCAATCTCTTGGTCTCGGGTTCGAAACTAGTAAGATATGACGATGAGCAGCAATGAGCGAAGAGGAAACGAATGAACCAAACTTGTAGAACTGTGAGAATATGACTTGGGATGGCTTAGATGGAAATGTGTAAGTAGAACAAAGGACACGAGAGCAATCATACAAGAGAAGAGACATGAAATTTATGTACGTGGTTTAACACAAGGTTTTTATAGCGTTTTTTCCTCTGTGCGGACAAATAAACATAGTGTGGAAGGGTGTCGAAAATATTCGATTCAGCTTTCCGATCAACCAATCCCTTTTTATTGAGTTACAAGTACACTAAATAGAGTGTATCCTTTTATAGCAAGGCTTAACTCTAAATAATTGGAGTTCAAACCCTACATGGAGAAGTATTCACTATTTCTAGATGCATATAGCCAAAGAAGAAGAGTATCAAAGTCTCTCTAGTATGGTAGACAATGAGGAAGGTTGGAAGTTGTCAAAACTCCACTCAGCATTTACCATCTTTGTTCATTTCTGATTTATGTTTGAAGGTACTAAGATGGTACCTACGGAATAAAACAAGAACAGGAAGTAAAAAGCCAACCTTTTTGTGATAGTTGAGTGTGCTTTTCAAATCAATGGACTTTGTGGGAAAAAGGGTTTCCATCAACAGGAGATAAGTGCTGTATCCATTCAACCCAAATGTCAAAAACTAAGTACACAAGCCAATGGAACCCTAGCCCCAAAAAACCCCTTCTCTCATTTTTCTTTTCTTCAGTGATGGAAACCTAATTGTCCCATTCATGACCTAATTAGGTGGTGGGAATCAATAGACAATAGTATATACTTGGAAGTGCAAGATCTGCAGATTCTATATTATGAAAGAACAGCTGGATTGGTATTTCAGCAGAACCACATGAATGGCAAAAACATTGTCTAATTCACCCACTAGGAAGTGAAAAATACCAGAATATTCCTGCAACTTTTGGTGAAGATCAGTGTTTAACGGTTCAGGAATTCAGCTTGTTTAGTTGAACCAATAGGGACATGCTGTTGCTTTGCCTCAATTGGCAAAAAGGAGGAAATGGTGCTTCAGAGGAATTAAGAAATATGAAAAAGAAGGGAGTTGTAGTTAGTGCAGAGCAGGGGAAATGAAGGGGTAGGTGTCCTTATAATATAGGGTGAAGGGACATAACTAATATAACCTACAGGGAAGGAATGAAGGAAGGGGGGGGTTGCTCCTCAAATGTTCTTGGGGAGGGGAGGGGAATGGTGAGGACCACAATGGCAATTTGCCAAATGCAGAAGGTGGTCCTCCATATTATCATCAGCTTATGCATAAATATCAGTAATATTTTATTATACTTAAGCAACTCTTGGGTTTCCCTACTTTTCTTATCCATAGGGGAAACAGATCAGAGAGGAAGCTGATCACATTCCCACTGAGAGTAATCATGAACAGTGCCACAATACCAAACACAAAAAAATTACTGCCTATTCTTATTCTTATCACTCATGAAAACAGTTGATTAGTGGAGTGGATTAACATGTAAGAGGTTTGTCTTCAAAGTTCCATAATTGAGTATATGTTCACTATTCGCATGGTGCAGATAGATTGGAATAGAATGTGGTGCAAAACAAGCATGTAAAAGTAAAACAATATGATCGAGAAAGAAAAAGCGTAACATAATAGAGGTGCAATGCGATCACAATGTCTCGAGCTCTTGACAACGAGAAACAAATGAACAATGATCATGAGAATATAGTATGACACCTGTGTGGCTGCGGATTTCATCTGATCATCATCAGCATTCAGCAGCAACAACACAATCTGCACAAGAAAATTGGAAATCTGTCTATAATCGTCATCACACAACTTTACCTACCATATAAAACAAAAAGAGAAAATAGGGCACGATGGAATGACCATCTAGAGCTTCTATTCCATTGGAGATTTTTCTTAAATTTCCATTTTAATGGGTAATAATGGGATGCCAATCACCTCCTTTCTGTATATAAATAGAGCAATGGTCAGCATACAATAATCGTCACCAGTCACCTTCCTTCCTCCCCTCATTTGCATGGAACTAACACCACCTTGGCAGCAAATTAACACCTTCTTGCCAAGGCACCAAAACCTCAAATACACTTGTGTTGTTATCTCAACACACATATCCCAACACCAGAAACCAATATTTACCTGATCGGAGAAGATTAACATGGAGTGGAGAATAAATGTGGGAGATGGTTCATCGAAGACATTGGCCCCAAAGGCAAGTGGTTTTGCCTCAAAACTATGGGCTGCCCTAAAGGAGTCCTTCATGGCGTTCTTTATTAGGGTTAGAGGGTTCTTCCTGAAAGCATGGAAGATAGGGGTGGACGACCCTAGGAAATTCGTCCATTGTATTAAAGCAGGAATGGCTCTCACACTGGTCTCACTCTTTTACTACATGAGACCTCTGTATGATGGTGTTGGTGGCAATGCCATGTGGGCTGTCATGACTGTTGTAGTTGTCTTCGAGAACAGCGTAGGTAAGTACCTGACACACAAAAGCAATCAACACTTGATCAATAGGATTAATGAAGTGAACAAAATCTTATTAATCTTTGTTGTGTTGTTGCAGGTGCAACAATCTATAAATGTTTGAACAGAGTATTTGCTACTTCTTTAGCTGGATTTCTTGCCTTGGGAGTCCACTGGGTTGCTAGCCAGCCTGGACAGAGATTTGAACCCATCATTACTGGTCTTGTTATCTTCTTGTTAGGTAACTAACACGCAATTAATGGTTCTGACCTCTTTCTGTTATTTTTCCTCCACTTCTTTGACACCAATCACTAACCTAATTAGCTCATGAAACTGTATGCATGCAGCCTCAGCAGCAACTTTCTCCAGGTTCATCCCAACTATAAAAGCTCGGTTCGACTATGGCTGCCTGATCTTCATCCTCACCTTCAGCATTGTGAGTATATCGGGATACCGGGTTGAACGACTGTTTGATGTGGCTCATCAAAGGATGGCCACAATCATCATCGGAACTTCCTTGGTCACCATCGTGACCATGTTCATCTGCCCCATTTGGGCCGGCCAGGAGCTCCATACACTTATCATTCGCAACATGGACAAGATTGCCAATTCCTTGGATGGTAAGTAACTCCATCTTAACTTACATCCCGTTTTTGAAAAGAGCTAGCACATCAGAATTATCACTATGCATTTTCAACCTAAGGCTCATGATCAATCCCAACTGTACATGTTTTCAGGATCTATGGACTTGTATTTTGGTCAGAACAAGGAAGAAACTGATCCTGACAAACAACTTGCCAACAAGTCGCTTGGTTACAGATGTGTACTGGGCTCCAAGGCATCTGAAGAGTCCTTTGTAAGTGACGAACCCTTGATTAAAACACACAGAAATTACGATTTTTTTTTTTCCTTTTTAAGGACGAAGAAGAAGAAATTGACCTGGTCTGCAAACTTTCCCCTATTTCTTGCAGGCGAATTTCGCGAGATGGGAGCCAGCACACGGCCAATTCAGCTTCAAGCACCCATGGAAGCAGTACCTGAAGATCGGAGCCGCCATTAGAAGCTGCGCCTACTGCATCGAGGCGCTCAACGGCTGCATCAATTCGGAGAACCAGGCTCCGGAACCAGTCAAGAATCACCTCAAGAAAGCTTGCGAGAGAGTGAGCTCGACTTGTTCGAACATCACAAGAGAGCTGGCCAAAACCATCCAAACAGCGACGAGATCGGCCGCCGTGGATTTCCTGACGAAGGAGATGAACGCCGCGGTTCGGGAGCTCCAGAATTCGCTGCAATCGCTTCCCGACGCGCTGAAGCAGGCGGATTCGGAGGATTGTGAAGCGAAATCCGGGGGGATCGTGCCTCTGATGGAAGTGATTCCGGCCGCGACATTTGCGTCTCTGCTGATTGAGATTGCTTCTAGGGTTGACATCGCGGTTGGGACGGTGAAGGAGCTGGCGGAGATGTGCGAATTCGAAGTCGGCGGCGGGAGTGGGAGTGAGAAGCCGGCGGCGGATGGGGGAATTGCGGTTGAGATGGAAACAGTGAAGGTCCTTGAGAGGGTCTGAGTTTTCTTCGGGAGTGGGGGGCAAAAAGGGAACAGTAATTAGTAACCCGAATCCTAGGATGATTAGGATTCATGTGGTCATCTTGTTCAAATGCTAAGAGTATGTTACTTGGTGTAACTCGAATCCTGGGATGATTAGGGTTCATGTGCTTTTGTTGTTAGTCGTCATTATAACTTGATCCGATTGACTCATTTCACTTACTCTTGTAACATTCTCTAATCATACTAATGTTTCAGGTTTTATGGTCTTTTATCACCCATTTAAATGATTATGATGTATGGAACCTCATAAATGACTATGATCTACATAAGTTTGTTGTTACCCGATATCAAAAGTTGATTAATGTCTCGTTTTGCTTATCCTTCTTAGTTCTCGTATTCAGAAGTACTATTGCCTAAAAATACTAGAACAAATCAATGATGATTGTTTGCTTTTCCAAATTATTAAGAAGTTTTGTACGAAGAAGGTAGTTTATTGTGCGTTTAACATCTCTGTTTCACTATGATTGTAACTTGTAAGGTTGGTAAGATCAATGTTTTTTAACACTATTTTCCTTCTATCACAGGATACTAATTCGTGCGGAAGGATGAATTAGAGGTCTTGAAGTTTAATGATGCTCTAACAATGTGTTCGTACGATTAGTTGACTTATGAGGAACCAAGGACACCACCAAATAGATAGTGTTTTTGGGAACATTATTTTATCATGCTGAAACTCAGTCTTGCATTAAATTTTCCTTTTGAACCCAAAGTTGGATGATAATGATATATAGAAGGAGCAGAACTAATGTTGAGGCACGCTTCACAGTTCGTCATCCGACTTCAATTACAATACTCCTCATTTGTCGAACTTGTACTCCTCGTTAATTTCTTCACTCTACAATTCAAACATAAATAATCAAACAAGTAGAATATTATCACTCGTCATTTTTTCTTTTTGTTTTGTGACCTAACTTACAATGATCTTGTATATTTCGTATCGAACCGTTTCCGCTTCGGAATGCTTATGGCAAAAACAAGTAGGGCTCAAGTGATACAGGCCTTCGGCCCATGGGACGCCTATTGATCCAATTTTAAGCCCAAGCTATCGACTCTTTTTTTTATTATGATTAAACCAAGCAATCGACTCTGCTAAACTAAACTTTCAAAAATTTCCTGGAATTTTCTAGGGTTCTGAAACTTCCATGGAGAGTTCCAAGTTCTGATAAACGTTTGAGACTCGTTCGGATTGGCGTTAGACCTTTAGTGATGGAGCAGCCGGTCATTACCTCGGAGGAAGGAGCGTCTAATGCCTCGCTCCTGAATCCACCTTGTCGCATAATCTGCCATGTGTGCGTCCTTGCTTCTCTTTATTCCAGTTTCCAGCTTGATTTGTATAGAAATTGCTCGTCACCATTCGTGAACTTGACTTTTGTGTTGTTCACGTCTTGCAGATGCCAGAAGCAGTTCTCGCAATACACTTGTCCACGGTGCAATTCACGATACTGTTCTCTCCAGTGCTACAAGGTAAGCTACTGCTCGAAATTGAAAGCATGAATCTCTCTTGTCCACCAGCAAAAGTTGGGTTTTCATGCTCTTGCTCGGTTTTTTGTTTCCATCAACAGTCACATAGTGTGCGGTGCACTGAATCGTTTATGCGGGAGAACGTAGTTGAGGAGCTGAAGCATTTGAAACCTGGCGATGACAGTAGGCGGAAAATGGTGGATATATTGAAACGTTTTCACTCTGATGAAGAAGAGATGCGGTCTATTGATGAGGATGAAGGTACGCTTTTCGGTTGTTTACTGGGTTCTGTTTCACTCAAATGTGTGTAGTTGCTTAGAGAAGTGGTGTACATAGGCTGTAGCCCAATGTTATGCTAAGTGTGATAGTTCTTGAAGGGGTTTTAGAAGGGTTCATGAAACAGAGAATGCAGGTTGACGCATAACTTTTTGAAACCGAACCTTCTGAAATTGAAATTGGGTACACCATGTTTGGGAAATGAAAATTGGAGATGATATTTGCAATTTTCGATAGGTTTATGCAGACCCATTTGTTAGGTTCTTACTGGATCTCTTTCGATGTCTTGCAGATTCATTTCTGTCTGAGCAGACCATTGAAAAGATGGTTTCTGGTAATGTTACTTATCCTTACTATGAAGCTAGATTATTATATCTGGATTCCTGATGTACTCCGTTGTCAAAACCTTCTAAAATTTCTCTCTCTTTTTTTTTTGGGTCTTCTATAGGAGGTCAAATTACTCTCGATGATCTCTCTGTCGAAGAGAAGAAACGATTCGAAAGAGCTTTAGCATCCGGGGAGCTTAGCAAGTTCTTCAAGCCATGGGATCCTTGGTGGTTGAAGCCTTCTGCCAGAGCCATCTCACTCAGTAAGCAAGGAACTCAACTCGTGCAACCAATTACTTATATGGATCATGAACCATCATCATCCCTTCAAGACAATGGTGCACAAGACGAGTCATCTATTGATATCCCTCATAGCCCTCAAACCCCGCTACCACCAGTAGCAAAGCTAATCACTACAGAGCCCTCTCCACTTCTAGCTATCCATCTGGTAGACATCATATATTCATACTGCTTCACATTGCGGCTCTACAATGGAGACTGGAACTCCGATGCCATGGGATCAGTGACAGTCTTGTTGAGCGTCTCTCAAGTTTTAGGCCAAGCCTCTCAGTCAGAAAATGTGATGGAATCTCTGTCTTACTGCTTGGAGCAAGCTTGCTCTCCCGAGTACAGGCACATGGGGGGTTCCCGATTCGGACTGTCCATCATTGACGACGTGATCACGCTGCTCTCGCTTGGTCGTGGTGCTCTAATATGCATGCTTGCCGACCTGGAGAGGTTGGTTCGAGCCGGGGTGAAGGAGCTGAAAGCAGAGAGACGTCGGAATTCGAGCTCAGAGATCAGGAGCAAGCTGAAGCCCGCAGAGAGGAAAGTCTACTTTATCATGTGTTGGGTGAATGAACAGGCTGATGAAGCTTGGTCTTCTCTAGCTACCATTGTTGGAACAGAGCAAGCCTCTGTCTTGGATTGTTGCAACGGTGGTCATAAGCTTGTGAAGAAATCCAAGGACAAAACTGGAGGGAAGGCTTTCATTGAAGAGATTGTATAGATGCACCTTTGTTCTTGTTGTAGCCCTCTTGCATTTTGGATTATGAAATTCTGTTGATATACCTGTGCTCAATCGGAGATTGTTGTATCACCTTAAACGGCGTCGTTAAGCATTCGATCCAGGAAAGTGGCGATATTGTAATTATGTCCAACTTCCGTGGGCTAGTAAGAGATTTTCCGTCTCTTTTGTAAAACCAATTCAGAGCATGAAGAAGGAACGCGAATTGTCTTCTTCAGACCACATCCATAAACCCGCCCGCCCCTCATTTCTCCCCTGCGGAAGATTCCAGTAGAAAGTAGCGGGAGAATTGGAATCGGCGAAGCAACTGTAGCAAGAAAGGGAAGAAGCAGACTCATCACCTGCTTCTTGAGGTCAGTTTGGATTGGATATAGAGAAAGATAAGAGCGATAATGGTCGATGTAGCCGATAAATTGGCGTATTTCCAAGCGATCACGGGCCTCGAAGATCTGGACTTGTGCACGGAGATTCTTCAGGCTCATGGATGGGACCTGGAGCTCGCGATCTCCTCTTTCACCGGCGGTGAGGCTAGCCACGACGAAACCGCCGGGGCGGCTTCCGCATCGACTGTAACTGCCACCGACACTGGTACTGTGCCCGCGGGGTCGTCGAATTCAGCTCCTCCCGAGGCGTTGGAGCGTTCCGATTCCGAAGTTGGTGCCGTCGCCGCTGCTGCTCCTGGTTTAGCATGGAAGCTCGTTACCTTGCCTATATCCGTGATTTCTGGGGGACTCGGGTTAGTCTCCGGTGCGGTAGGTCTCGGTTTTTGGGTCGCCGGTGGTATTTTGTCTTACTCGCTTGGAATGGTTGGGATAGGACCGAGTGCAGGTAGGAACGGCGGCGAGTCTTCGTCCCGGTTGGTCTCGGTATCTGCGTCGGCGAGGGAGGCCATGGATTTTGTGGCAGCGTTTGAGAGGGAGTATGGTGCTGGTGGGCCGAACTTTGTGACGGAGGGTTTCATGGATGCTCTCCAGCGGTCCAGGAACTCGTTCAAGCTGCTGTTTGTCTATTTGCACTCTCCTGATCACTCTGACAGCCCCGGATTCTGCGAGAGAACTCTCCGTTCGGAGGTTCTCTCTGAGTTCATTAACCACAATTTCGTCGCCTGGGGAGGGAGTATTAGGGCTAGTGAAGGGTTTAAGATGAGCAATAGCTTGAAGGCTTCGAGATATCCGTTCTGTGCTGTGGTTATGCCTGCTACTAATCAGAGGATAGCGTTGCTTCAGCAGGTATGTTCTATGTCCTTTGCCATGTCCAGCATTCAATTATTTGTTCTTATGTCACTTGAGGAGTTGGAAGTGCTGTGTAATAGGTCGAATTTAGTTGAAAACATTTCGCTTCCAGTTCTGTGATTGGGAGTCTCATACTCACGATTCTCGGTTCTTATTTTCAATTAGAAAGTTCTGTGAGTTGCCATCAGCAGAATTGCTTGATACATCTAGTAATGTATGCAAGAACATTTTGGTTTTGAAGTTAATGGAAGGATTTGATGGGTTTACCAGGTTACATATGTGCAATTTGATTTTCATGGACTGTCCCGACTATGTTTGCACTTAGAAGAACTGTGGATGTATATTGTATAATAGGTTGTTTTTGTTTTGGCTTTGGTAGTTGCCCCAGCTATGGGGAGAAACTGAGGCTTCTGTTGTATGTCTATTGTTAAGTTTACTCATGTGGTTTGCTATTGGATGAAGAGTTTGAATGTTTCATCCTGTTGAATTTTATAGAGCAAAGCTGTTATAGTTACCAATTTGTTCCGGTGATTTCTAATTATTCAGATGACTGTTCTTTTGTGCCAACTATTCACACACGATTACCGAGTCATCTTCTTCATTTGCAGATTGAAGGCCCAAAATCGCCTGATGAAATGCTTACACTGTTGCAAAGAGTGCTTGAAGAAAGTGCACCGGTTCTTACTGCAGCAAGGATTGAATCAGAGGAAAGAATAAGCAACATGCGGTTGAGGGAGGAGCAAGATGCTGCTTATAGGGCTGCACTTGAAGCAGATCAGGCATGTTACCTTTTCTGATTATGCGCGAACTCTTCTTTGCCTTTCGTGGTCTCGCTTCTTGATGATTTTTCTTCTTTTCCGCTTTAGGCTAGGGAACGCCAGAGGAGAGAAGAAGAAGAACGAGTTGCAAGAGAAGCTGCTGAAGCAGAGAGGAAGCTCAAAGAGGAAGAGGAAGCCCGGGAAAGAGCTGCACAAGAGGCCGCAGAAAGAGAGGCTGCTCGGGCACGAATGCGGGAAGAGAAAGCCTTAGCACTTGGGGCCGAGCCTGAGAAAGGAGCTGATGTTACCCAGGTAAGAACTACCAACCCCCTGATCCTGGAACCTTTGACCTCATTTGTGAGTGGATGTGTGATCGCTGATGTTATGCATTTTGGAGCGTCGTAATAATACTCAGTTGGGAACCTCTTCTGTGACTCTGACTAGGTTTTGGTTCGTTTCCCAACTGGAGAACGCAAAGAGAGGAGGTTTCACAGCAGTAAAACCATCCAGTCCCTTTACGACTATGTCGATTCTTTGGGTTGCTTACAAGTGGAAGATTATAACCTTGTCTCCAATTTCCCACGCACTGTTTACGGGGATGAAAAGCGACCACTGAGCTTAAAAGAAGCAGGATTGCATCCACAGGCCAGCCTTTTTGTGGAGCTCAACTAGCGGTTAACATGAAATTCTGGTTAGTAGCTTTTGACAGGATGAATCCTATTTCCAGGCCAAGCTACATAAAAGAAGCAAGCTGCTTCAGTTGTGTTACTTCTACTTGTTCCTATCTTTAACAGGAGTGGAAAACTTGGTTAGGCAGAGACAGTTCTGTGGGATATTTTGATCAGGAGAAATATATGTTTCAATTTCTCGTTTTTGTTGTAGCTAATTTTCTCTTTTTGGTATTTCTTGGAAGAAAAACAGGTATTGGTTTTTGACCAAGTAAATGATGTAAGGACATGAGACATCGAGCCAAATAATTGCTTCTTAATCAACTTTGTATGCGATAGGTCGACAGTAGAATATTTTATATATGTATTGTGGTGTAATCGTTTCATTTTGATAATCAACTAATCTTTATACCAAAAAATTTACAGTTGGATTGTTGATAGGGTTTCACAAACGCTGGAGAAAAAACGAATAGGTTTTTCTTGGAAGTTGCGGAAGTTGCGAGGCTACGACATAATTATGTTTACGAAAATTCATAACTTATGTTTGACTCGAGCTCGACTCATTAATAAGATCACAATATTTGTTCGAGTTCATGTATAATGTCATTTATGCGTAACTTTTAATTGTTCATATGTGTTATCTAATACCTGAACCATTTATGATGCATATTTTATCTTTTAGGTTGAAAATTAGACATATTTTATGGCATGTTCAAATTCTAAGCATCATATGATGTAGTGAGATATATAATCTAACAAAACCTATAAAATATCATTAGGCTAAATGGCTAATGTCAAACTAATTCATTATTCAAAACTAGCTATCACACGAGTTGAATTCAACAAGCCATCAAATCGAAACTGGCTCGCGAACTTTGCTAGCAAATCCAGGCTTAACTCAAGTTTTACCCGTTAATAAACTAGACAAATGTTGAATGAGCTTTTTCGAACTGAATGTTGAGAAAAAATTACGGCCGAGAATGGTATCTTTCCAGGCGCACCGATTATTTTCTTACAGCCTCAAAACACCACACCATATAAAATGAAATCCCTCCAGGTTGAGGGACACTTTCTTCTCCAACATTATTTTATTTCTCCTCTCTGTCTCTCCCGCCTCCATTACTGATAAAGCCGGAAAAAAAACCCTAAACCCTAGTTTCCAAACCCATATGGGCCGTCGAAAGAACAACGCCAACAACAACAGCTCCGCGAGCTTCCCAACATCCCAGCAGCCTCAGGGCTCAAAGATCCGTTTCCAGGACGCAGAGGAGGTAGAGCCGGCCATGGACAGTTCTAATCTCGACGTCTCTAATACTGTTCCCAGCGACAAAGCCATTGCCATGGATGATGACTCCATGTCCGAAGCTGACGCTACTTTTACCGGTCCCAATCACGGCGACGACGACGACCAAACCAGCGCCGATTACTACTTTGATTCTTACTCTCACTTTGGTAAACTTCCTTCAAATCCTTTTCCCCCCATTCTTTTGTGCGGGTTTTCTTGCATTAGGCTGTTGCCCTTCTTCAATAGCTAATAAAGCTTCTATCTTTTTGTGTTTTTGCAGGCATTCACGAAGTAAGTATTCGGTTCCGAGCTGTGTTTCTCAGCTAAGTTGTGGGTATATTCATAAATTAATACTCTGGCAGTCTGGTGTATCATAAGTCTACCTTGTGGTTCTCTTATCTATTCCATGAATGAATGAGTTGAAGCGATGACTAGACTGCTTTAATTTGCTTTGCTTTGCTTAATGTTACTTTGCTTGCTGCTAGTCGATATTCCAACAGCCAACTACTGTGTCTGTTGCAGGAAATGCTGAAGGATGTGGTGAGGACTAAGACATACCAAAATGTCATTTATCAGAATAAGTTTCTCTTCAAGAACAAAGTAGTGCTTGATGTTGGTGCCGGGACTGGAATTTTGTCCTTGTTCTGTGCCAAAGCTGGAGCAGCCCATGTTTATGCAGTATGTATGCCTTGCTTATTTATGTGAATTTTTGTATAGGCAAAGGCAGGGTATGTTCATTTATGTATGCTCAAGTAAAGCTAAATCCTTCTGTTGATGTCTGCACTTGTAGGTTGAGTGCTCAAACATGGCTAACATGGCGAAGGAAATTGTTGAATCTAACGGCATGTCGGATGGTGAGTCCACTCTTTCTTTACTCTGTGTCTGTGGGAAGATTTGGCTACCCGTCTTGTTATTACTAATTCAAATTTCTGTTTTGTCACTCTTCCATTGCTGCAGTCGTAACGGTTTTAAAGGGAAAGATCGAAGAGATCGAGCTCCCAGTTAAGAAAGTGGATGTAATCATTTCAGAGTGGATGGGATACTTTCTCTTGTTTGAAAACATGTTGAACACTGTGTTGTACGCACGTGATAAATGGCTTGTAAGTCTTCTCATTATATTTGCTTGCTTACAGAGATTGCTCTGTATTTCATAGTAGAGACTAGAGAGCTTTATTCTTTTGATCATTAACCACACTGGAATGTGAAATCCGTTTTTGCTGCTCCCTGAGTACATTGTGCATGTTCGAGTAATCTCATCACCTGGATAGTCATTCATCGTACAGAACAGAAGAGAGTGCTACATTGTTGTTGATATAATGTGGTCGACTTTTTGAGCTGGTTTTTGTTTAACTGAATGCCAAATTTGTAATTAGGTTAGGTCGAACTTTAACCGATACAAATAACATTGATATGGTTTTCTGATTAATCTCATTTCCAACATGCTTTTCATCAGGTCAATGATGGCATTGTGCTACCCGATAAAGCTTCCCTTTTTTTGACAGCCATTGAGGACGCAGACTACAAAGATGATAAGATTGAATGTTAGTTTTCTTCAATCCTTTAACTCTTTTGTAAAAATGACTTGTGTATCTACTTGCTCTTACTTCTCAGGGATTCGATCTTGCTCTTTTTCTCGTGGTAGCAATTCATTTGTTGTTCTTTTTCAATCAATGCATTTATTTTATTTGGGAATGTGACTTATTCGTTGCAACTGCTGCAGTTTGGAATAATGTATATGGCTTTGACATGAGCTGCATTAAGAGGCAAGCAATCGCAGAACCTTTAGTTGACACCTGTGATCAGAATCAAATTGTTACGAACTCCCAACTACTCAAGGTATTTAAGGGAAGAAGTACTGCAACTTAGTTTGATCAATCCTTTTGGGCTACTCATAGTATCTGTTTAATGTGTGTTCTCTGCCTATCACGATTGCAGACGATGGACATCTCCAAGATGACTTCTGGTGATTGCTCGTTCACTGCTCCCTTCAAGCTGGTGGCAGAGCGCAACGATTTCATCCACGCATTGGTTGCCTACTTTGATGTATCATTCACCAAATGCCATAAAATGATGGGGTTCTCCACAGGTGACCAGCTTTTCCTTTTACCCTACTTGATTCCAGTCTCGTTTCTCGCTGCTCTCTCATTTAACTGGTGAACATGCACTGCAATACTTGCAGGCCCAAGATCGAGGGCTACACATTGGAAACAGACGGTGCTGTACTTGGAAGACGTATTAACAATATGCGAAGGCGAAGTGCTCAGTGGAAGCATGACAGTTGCCCAAAACAAGAAGAATCCTAGAGACGTCGATATAACAGTCAAGTATGCATTGAATGGCAAGCGCTGTGTCGTCTCGAGAACTCAGCACTATAGGATGCGATGATGATGATGATGATGATCGAGCTCTCATCTCATCAACTGCTTTGCTTCTCGTTAGAGGATGAAGAAGAGCCAGTACTATGATTGTATTGATTTCAATCAATCAGCATGGATTGTTAAATTGTAACCTGCATCCATTCTCAAAATTTTGGCATGTATTGAATGATTTTTGGTACCTATTCGATGATTTCTGGGAAGCAACTGCGGCCGGTATGCAGTCTTTGATTCTGGATTTCGGTGAACAGAAACTGTGTTATCGACTTATCGCACTGTATTTTCTTCTCCAATTCCTAACCTCCAGACGAGAAACAACAACAGTACACACAGACACTTTTATTTTTGTTGGACCCGTTGGCCGTTGGGCTTTTTAGTTAAACTTGGGCTTGGGCCAGTAAATTGTTTTACTGGTCGGACTCGGATCTGCTTTTACCGAAAAGGAAAAGGAAACCTTTCGTTGACAACAACCTCGTGGCTTTATCTGATTGGACAGAGAGAAAGTGAAGGAGAGCATAAAAGGGGAAGTCTGTGTTTCCCGTTCCATTCCAACAACTGGCAACTACGACTTTCCCAAATTCCGCTTTCGAATAACTTTCCTTTCTCGCTTTTCGCCGGCTGCTCCTAATTAACCGCCGCGCTTTCCTTTCTTCGTTCCTTCATTCTCCACCTGCCCCGAAAATTTTCAATTTAGGGTTTCGGATTCGCTGAGCTTTTCGCCGTTCGAAGTTGGATTCAGTCGAACCTCTAGAGCCAGAAAAAAGCCAACAAACACAGAGAAAGAGAGAGAGAGGGAGCTCCTCCTTGCCTCGAAGGATGTGGATAGCGTTATGGCTGAGTCTAGGGCTTGTGTAATAACCGCGTCGAACCGGATTCAACAGAGGCAGCAGCTGTCGATCTCCGTCGCCGAATTCCAATTGCGGGGGTCGAGTATCATGATTCTTTTTGGGTTCGGGTGTCGATTCCGCTTCCAGTCGGCATTCGATTCGTACTCCGTCGCTTGTGAGGCGTTCTCTGAACATCGCCGTAGCCTGCGCCAGCTTCTCTAATAGAGGCCATCCTCCCCCTCTCCATCTTTCTCCCTTCTTCTTCTTCTTTGCTCACGTTTTCTTTGCTATTGTTCGTTTCTCCCCCCTCCTCCCCTTCTCGTCTCCTTTTGGTGTGGATCATCTTCTCATGCTTGAATTGAGTATGGGGGATTCTGGTTCGTGTGACGATGGCCTGGTTGTGGAAAAGGATCCGTCGGGTCGTTACGTTCGGGTAAGAACTCTTCTTAGCTCGAATTTAGTCTGTAGATATATATATGTTCATTATGGATCGGTAATCGAGCTTAGTTTGAACTGGTCTATTTATTGAATTGTGGTACATATTGTCTAGATGAGTTAGTATGTGGGCTCAGCTCAATATATTTTCTTAATGTTTTCCGTTTCTTTTGTTCTCAATGAACTCGGGTTCTCAATTGAGCTAAGTTATCTGTCATTGGGGTGGATGAATATTGATGCGTTGTGGGTTCAGTGTAGAAAAGATTGTTTCCTCTATTGACTATGATGCTGATATTTTCCTTTCCTTTTTTCTTAAATCTGCAGTATGATGAGATTTTGGGCAGAGGGGCATTCAAGACTGTGTAAGTTACCCGTGCTTAGCACTCTGTTTATCTATTTGTTATTCGCATTCCCTGTTTTTCAATACAAGAGAGACACATGTACTGATTTCTTCGTCTCTTATCACAGATATAAGGCATTTGATGAGGCTGACGGAATAGAAGTTGCTTGGAACCAAATGAGCATTGAAGATGCATTACAGACACCGGAACAGTTGGAGAGGCTATATTCGGAGGTTCATCTGCTGAAGTCACTGAAGCATGAAAACATCCTCAAGTCCTATCACTCTTGGGTTGATGACAAGAATAGAACTATCAACATGATTACGGAGTTGTTCACTTCTGGCAGTTTGAGGCAGTGAGTATGCTCGTCACATTTGTTTTTGTGTGTTTATGTCTGTGTTTAGCTTCCATGCATATTCTTACTGTTTCTGATCTTTTCCCCCCCTTCTTCTGATTCAGGTATCGCAAGAAGCATAAGAATGTTGAATTGAAGGCTATAAAAAACTGGGCTAGACAGATCCTTAGAGGTTTACACTATTTGCACAGTCAAAGCCCTCCTATCATACATCGTGATTTGAAATGTGACAATGTGTTTGTCAATGGGAACAATGGGCAAGTTAAAATTGGAGATCTTGGATTAGCTACTATCATGCAGCAGCCAACTGCTCGAAGTGTTATAGGTACTACATCTGTCCTCGGAGAACCATTACAAACTGGATTGGTTATGTGTAATCGTGATATTGAGTAATTGGTATAGGGATAATGGTGCTTTGGTGTGATTGCTTGATAGTTCTGCTATCAAATACTTATATCTATTTCCCATCAGGAGATTTTTTTTTCTCATTGCTTTATACTGGCAACATTGTGCAATTTGTATTACTTGAAAATTAAAGTGCAAGGAACACCCATGTGCACGTCAGTTTGATAATTATACTTATTCCTCTCTTGTGGTGCAGGTACTCCTGAATTCATGGCTCCAGAGCTCTATGATGAAGAGTACACAGAACTTGTCGACATCTATTCTTTTGGCTTGTGCATGCTCGAGATGGTTACATGTGAATACCCATACTGCGAATGCAGAAATCCTGCGCAGATATACAAGAAAGTTTCTTCAGTAAGTGTTAATTAATTGCCTGGAGCATTATATTATTTCTACTGTGGTTGGCTGTTTCATTATTGTTGTAATAAAATTATTGTTTGTTGTTTTGTTGCTGCAGGGTGTAAAGCCAGCTTCCCTTGCTAAAGTTGATAACCCTCAAGTTAAGGAGTTCATAGAGAAGTGTTTAGTCCCAGCATCTGCAAGACTGCCTGCTATTGAACTGCTAAAAGACCCATTTTTAGCAGCATCAGTCAGTACAAAGGAAGCAGTTATACCTTCTGATTCTCTGGAATTGTCAAGTCTGATTCTCGGGCAAGGCAACTCACTTCAATCAGAATCATTTCCCATGGAAATAGATATTCATAGCAAGAAGTCGTCATCAAAAACTTCTTGCATCGAAAGCATGAACGAAGCCATGCAGCTCTCAACTCTAGAAGTTGAGAGGTGCACCGAGACAACTGGGTTCAGGTTAAGAGGGGAGAAGAATGACAAGAATACGATTTCAATGACTCTCCGCATTGCTGATTCATATGGTGAGTCATATATTTGTGCAAGTTTTTTTTTATTATGGTTATATTGGTGCAAGTTTATTGCTTTTGCTTGAAACCACTACAGATCGTAATAATTATATACTAATTTGCATTGATGGGTTGTTTGAACAGGACGGGCTAGGAACATACACTTCTCCTATTTTCTGGATTCGGATACTACTCTCACAATAGCAGAGGAGATGGTTGAACAACTTGAATTGCCAAGTGAAGATGTTGCTGTGATTGCTGAGTTGATCGATAGCTTGATAATGAAGCTGCATGGTGCTGCTATGGTGCAGCAGAATGGTTCTTTCGGTAGTAACAATACTCAGCTGCTGTTCGACAAAGATCAAGAAGAGGGCCGGGCGACAACAATCATTTCCGACATCTCTAGCTCTGAGTTTTATCTCACCACAGTGTCTTCCTCGGATGATTTCATTAGCAACAACCAGCAACAACCTGTGATGTTGTCTTCTTCTCCTGACTACTACGGCCTGGGACAGGATGCAAATGAAGAGTTCATCAGCTCAGACTGTATTGGTGTGAATAATAATAATAATATGAGCTGCTTGTCCAGCATCTGCTCTCTGTCTCTTGGGGAAGAAGACAAGCAGCAGCAGCAGCAAGAAGGTGACGAGCTGCAGCTGGAACTGGCTGCAATTGATATGCAGTACAGTATGCTCTTCCAAGAACTGTCGAGGATGCGGGAGGAAGCAATGGAGAATGCGAAAATGAAGTGGATGGCCAAGAAAAAAGTAGCTAGTGTTATGTGATTATGATTTGTATTAGTTGTAGATTGCTCCTTTAGTTCTTGTTTTGGTTTGATTCTTTTTGTCCACAAATCTTTGTTTGCATCCAGTGATTGAATTTTAGTTGTGGCTGGGGCAAGTCAAAGAAATTCTTTGTTTTTTTTCCCTCCACCTTTTGTCTTTTGTGGTGGCATTTCATTGTTCGTTGAGTTACCACTTGATCATTGAATTCTACTGTCAGATTTTTCTGTGTACATAAATGGATTATTTGCCAAGTATGGCCCAATTATTCTTCAAAGAAATTTTTGTTATATAAAGTAGTTGAGTTATTCCGCAAAGTAGCAGAATTAATGGGGAAACTGATTACCCTGTACGCCTGATTATGGTGACTTGAACCAGTCAATCAATTGATTAAAGTCGCCTACTTGAGAGATTATTCATGATTACTTCAAGCAATAATGCCAATTCATTCATTATTATCATCACATGTCAACGACTTTATTAGATGAAACTATACTTTACTGTATTCTAGTAGTGCCTTAAATAATCCATTTCTTCTTCACCTTTCGCATGTTCCAAAAGCAGAAAACCCGAGGTTGGGAAGATTATTAAACAATGTAGTTGATCAGTAATTGACTCCAAAAACAGGAATAAAAAAAAGGTGCATGGAACAAATGATCAGACCGTTTCTGAATCTACAACCAACCTTCCTATCTAACTCAGAATGCATAGTTGTTGGATTTCACCAAACCTTCAAAGGATTCATGCCGAGTAAGGTAAAGAGATCGAGGGTTGAGTTCATATCCATATTTCGGACGCTGCTATTGAAATAGCTTTCTCTAATTAACCAGGTTATGAATATCACTATTGCTGGGAACTGGGAGCAGCTCACAGTTTAGATGATGAGCCAGGAAGATCTATCTAGTAGTCTGAGCAGAGCAGTACCAGCTGAAAAGACTCCCGTAGCGATCGTTCGGAGGGCAAGGAGCATCGACATGAAACAAATACACTCCCATTTTTCGGAAATGATTTCATAAAACACGACTCCACTCTTTCGAGTCACTCGTTTAAACTCATGATTTCACTCTGAAGGCCGTATGGACATAAGAGTCGAGTTCTACAAAGAAATTTGCAAAGCCTTCAAGGACCATTTCTGTTTCTAAGAGACTTGACCACTTTAGCAATGCAGTAATGCTGGAAACACTTCGTATAAAAATCGATTCCAATCCATTCATTCATTTTCCAGAATCGAAACAGGACGGTTAACATTAGGGTGGTAACTGAGGCACACAACATAAACAGGGAGGAAATCTAACAGCACATTGATTTTCATGGGAGCAGGGAAGTAAGGAAGCCAATATTTGCAATTGATGAGCTTCCTTCCTTCCTTTCTGTTCTTTCTTCTCCTCCCACTCTTCTCTTCACATAGAAAGTAACAAACACATATATAACTAGCTGATATCAGCAGCACAAGGAAGGAAGCAAGGATATATATAATACAAATGATGATTTGCTGAGAGTGGGGGACTGCTACCAATTCTCCTTCACGATTTTGGACTTCTCAAGAATGAACTTGCCTTCTTTGTACTTCTGCGTCTCTTCGTAAGCTCGTTCGTATTTCCAACCAAGCACTTCTCGGCAGTCGCTGCAGTGGACATCAGCAACCGTGTGGAGGCCAGTCATTAGCTGCCTATCTTCCTTCGCCCCGACCCCAACATTCATCGCGTGTGAGAATAGAAATGCTCGTCCATGTCTTCCCTAATAAGTAGATAAACATAATTCGACACCGCAGGTGTGTATCAGCATTCAGCAAAGCAATTAATTCAAGCATATTTCCTCTCAATGGTCCAAAACCAGGAGGAGTTGAAGAAATTGAACCTGGAAAGCCTTGGAAATGACATCATCGTGAAGGGCAACATGGTTCCTGCAATTACAGCAACTGTACAACCTTGGCCCAATCAATTCCGCCATTTCTTTTTATTCCTTGCGTTGCAGCAACACCACCCAATATACGCTGGCTCTACGATGGGTTCCCTGAAAAAAGAACCCAAATTTCTCTTCTTATTTCTTTCCCTGGGAACATACAAGGAAGTAGGAACGAAATGCAACAAAACCAACATCTTCTGTCAATCCATGGAGCTGAAAATTCCACCGAAGGAAGGATCATTCACATAAGCTTACTTCAAGATCAGTTACTAAGGTCTAAGAATACTCTTCCTTCTCAGGCAACAAAGAGATACCACCTACTACTAGAAACACAGAAAACGAAAGCAACAACTCTCGAATGAGTCCCCACGTTCAACACCCAGAAACCAGAACCCTGATTTTCAACATGACAATCCCCCAAGCATAGGAATTCAGCAGAGAAGTAAGGAGATCAGGGAATCGGCAAGGGCAAAAGGCAAAGCAAGCTGGAAACTTAAAAAAGAAAAGAAAAGATGACAAATTTCTGCGGCAAACGAATTACTTACCAATTGGGTAGTAACAGTTCGAGATTGCGAGTCCAATTGAATCAAGAAGGAGGGGGGGGGGGGGGGGGGGGGGGAAACCCTTGAAATGTTTGCGAATTAAGCTTCTCACTGATCAATCGCGTGGTCTCTTTCGACCAATAAACATAGGGAGGAGGAAGGAAGCAAAGCGAGTGGAGATTGCGAATTGGAAAACAGTGACTGTTCTTCGGGGAAAAAATCAATTCTTGTGATTGGGATTGTGTAGCAGGTAGCTGGAGGATGAAGGAAGGAGTGCGGTTTGTGTCAGAATTTGGAGGGTTACTGATCAGGAAGATGACAAGTTGGCAAGTTGCACTTGCTCTCTGACTCTGCCCTGTCCTGTTTCTGTTGTTGGGACTTGGGGTTGGGAGATAGCCTTTTCTCTATAGAAAGTTGTCAACCGGCGGATTGACTCGGATCCGGTCGAACTAGTGTGTCAAGAATTAAAGGGTCACTCGTTTTAACTCGAAAATATAAAAATAGTCATTATATTGTACTTATCCTGATAAATTATATCAAATCTCATCTACCATATGAGTAATAACATATAATATTACACCAAAGTAACATGTCGTACTTAGATCCAACATATAGTGAAAATTTACACACACTTATATAACATCAATATTCAAATGTTCAACTAAGGATTTCAAATATTGAGTTAGGTGAAAAGAAAAATCGGTAAATAGACGCATTTCGCAAAATAAATAAAAAAAAAATGATAAAATTTGACCTTCAACCCGATACTTTGTAAGTTGTAACGATGACTTGCGACCCATTTTTCTCACTAAGTCAGAATCAAAGTGGGTCGGTCGACTCGCGGGTTGACAACTTTGCTCCCAATCACACTGCTTTTGCCGGCTCGCATCACTGAAAAGCCACCCAAACCCGCCATTGTTGCTCCATTATTTCTTGGGCCGGGCTTATGGTTTATACTAGCTGGGCTGGTCTAGGCTGCCTTTGAAATGCTCTTTCGGGTTCTTGTGGACATGGGCCGCGCAACCATGGTGGGTGACCGCTTCTTGTGTTTTTTTCAGAGCCCAACAGGAGTAGTTAACTCATTTTAGTGGGCTCTCCTCTCCTCTCCCTCGGCCTGCTTATATAGCTTGCTTGGACGAGACTGGATTGTCTTTGTGTTTTCTTTTCGTTTCTCGACGTTATATAATACAAATTCAGTCAGAATGTACCTACGCATTCTCATATAAATTTCTTATAATCCAAACGGAATTTGGACATTTTCGTACAAATTCAGCGTGAATGGTGGTATTTTATATGTTGAAATGGATAGAGGGTTTATTAATGAGTTATACTTGCTTGGGATAGAATCTCCAGAAGGAAGCTGCCTTCACTTTTTTTTCTCCATATTGTTTTCATGACGAATATTAAAACTATAATAATATTATAATAATAATAATAATTATTATTATATAATGAATTGGTATTGGTATTGGGAGCAAGCAACAACTGCTATTTTTGTCTACTTATACGATGGGATAATATTGTTTGTGAACACAGGTAGAGAGACTAGAGACGCGGACGCCACGTGGGCTTTGTTCTATGATCTGTTTCTCCCTTGGCATGGCATTTATATACTCCATGTAAAATAATTCATCCCATCCAAAGGTTTACAGCAGTGTAGCAAACCTTTCATTCTCTCTCTCTCCGAAATAGGACCTTTGGAGAGCCAACTCTTGCACAAAAATGTTCCACATCCTGCTAATTTGAATGGTCAAGTTCTAAAGATATGATTCTTGTTTTCCATATCCTTGTCACACAACACATCTACTCACAATGTTCAATCCACAACGACTTAGATCGTCATATGTGTTAAGGATTCTGTTATGAAACACAAGTAATACAAAGTATATGATTTCGGTAGTAACTTCAGGGCCTCCAAACAACCTTTGTGACTTTGTGAGGAAAGTCAGGAATGTCAGGGAATCAAGGGTGTAATACATCGATTCCACATTAACCTGCAACGACTAGCTAGAAGAAGAAACCCAACAACCTATAAAAATGTTTGAGATCTAGCATTTCTTTCTCAGTCCACTCTCGGAGTCATAGTAAGTGTTATAACTTCCTTGATTTTGACACATGTTTTTACTGGATCGGAATTAAGGTAGTAGACTTTACCAAAATTTATGATCAACTCATATCTGAAATTTGAACGAACCGAACTATTGATCTCCAAAGGATCAATCTATGCTATTTTCAATCAAAACCTCCACAATTTTGAATGTCAAAGATATCTCTCTACATCTTATTATAAGCTGCAATCACATTCTTTGTCTCCCTTCATCCGTGTCTACGGTCAGTTGGAGGTCCAAACATTCTATATTACACATTTCAACTCCAATTTGAAAAAGAAAAAAAATAGCGAAACCCAAAATTTACATTGTAGAATATTGATCAACCAATAATCCGCTGCCAAATGGCATTTGACTATCCGAGCAGGTCAAATCCCACCCAGCTTCCAGTTCCACGTACGACTCGATCATGCTCATCTTACTTTTCTTCGCCTTTGGTGATTCCGTTTCCATTTCCGCTCCCGAGAACGACAACAACGACGAGGAGGAGGAGGAGGACGAAAACGACGGTGGCGTGCACGGCGGCTCCGGCGAGCCGCGCTTCTTATTACTATTGGTCACCCTAACCGGCTCGTAATCGGCTGATGAGCCGACCAGATGTGGGAAGTTGAGCTTGGCCTTGGAGCCGCGCATCCGGAAAGCGGCTCGGTCGTAAGCCAGAGCCGCGTCCTGCGGAGTCTCGTAAGTCCCGAGCCAGATCCTGGAGCCGTTCTTCTTCGGATCCCTAATCTCAGCCGCGTACTTCCCCCACGGCCGCCTCCTCACTCCCTTGTAATGCGCCTTCTTCGGCAGTACGGCTGCCGGAAACGGCGCCGTATCTACCGATTCCGACAAAATATCGGTCCAATCAGCGGCCGTGATTAGGCTGCTTAGAAAGCTCTCTGTCCCGGCAGGCGACGGCGCCGTATAGCTATCTGCAGCCGGCTCGTCGTCGTCGTCGAGGAGGTGCTTGCGGATGGATTCCAGTGCGGAGAAAGGACCGTCGAAAAGGAGAGAGAAGGCGGCTTCATCAATCTGAGTACACATTTTTTCTTGGTTTCTTTTTGGGCTGTAAATGGAAGCTTTGCTCTTCAAATGATGGAAGCTAGCTTTTCTTTCAAACTGAGATCTGTGCCGATGGACTGATGAGTGAGGTTTATATAAGTGAGCTTTCAGATTCCATTTTCCCCCGGTCGGAAGCTTCCGTTGGCCTATTTCTCCACATTTTTCTTATTGCCAATATTTAAATTGAACTGACCATATAAAAAAATATTAAATTAAGGTCTCTGAGTAAACGAGAACTGATTATGTTTTTTTTTTATAAATATTTTTGCCACATGCGAATATTTTATGTATAAACACATTTTTTTTTTTTAGAAATGTGGGTAGCCACGTGGTGACTGATGAGTAATGAATAATGACCGTAACGTATTTATATAATAGAAAATAGCAAAAGTATTGCATTGGCCAAGTTTTCATCATGCACTTTCTCTTAAATACCATGGTAGTAGAGTCTAATTCATGGAATTATGTCACACTTGTGAAAGCTCAATCTGGCTCATTGTTCTCTAGTAGTCTATGATAAGAAATGATATTAGAGTTATATCGATCCATTTATTTGACCGTGGTTGCGTATTTTATAAACTAACCAATCAAAGTTTGAAGAGATGGCTTTTATAGAGAGGCGAATGCGATATTGGTTTTGTTAGTAAATGATATATGATTTGTTATTGAACTTCTCAGAACAACTTGTGTTATTGGAATCAATTTCTTCTTGACATGATATTATAGCATTCTGTGATTGAGGGGTATTATGTTCGAATCCCGATGACCCCATATATGATTTTTTCAAGTACATGATATCTGAACCTATTCAAACTTCAAATCCTTCTAAACTAGGTAAGGATTCTTAATTATCATACCAGGATTTGAATTTCTAATATTGGTAATATTGTATTCCAATTAAGGGTTTGGTCACCCTTATACAAAAGTTGTATATTCTACTTGCTTAGGATCCTAGAAGCAAGATGCCTTTGAATTCTTTCTCCACATGTTTTTCATGATTATCGGCATCATTATATTATTATTTGGGGGATATATATTATACAATACAGAATCAATACCCATGTGATAACACGTAACCATGCATTATTCTGAATATTCTGAATATTGATATTGGGAGTAACAATATAATTGCTAATTTTGTCCATTATTGGATAAGATAATATTTACTGGGAACACAAGTACATACTAGAGAGATGCGGACGCCATGTGGCTTCTGTTCCACAATTAGTGAACACCATAAACATTTTCAAGAAATAAATTACATTGGCAAATTCAAGTCATGACAATAGTGTTGCAAGCATCCATAAATTTTTAACTTCTCATATAAAAAACTAGGTGGGGATATGATTCCATTTATGTGTATGCCTAGTTTTCTAAACATCTCTCACAAATCTATTCCACATAGGATAATTCATCTCATCCAAAAGTTTAGGAGCATTAAATCTAGGGTTAATATTTTCGTATGGCCTGAACTTTGATCAAAATAAACATCCTGGCCAATCTTTTCAATCTATAACATCATGGCCCGAACTATACACCAAAATAAACAATTTGGCCTAACCCGATGTTTGACCGTTAACTTGGACGGTCAAACGCGTTGACTAACGATCAACGCGCCACGTCACTGCCAAGTCAGAAGATCTGATAAATATTTAATTTTTTCGTTTTTTATTTTTGGTTTAACTAAGGTATTAGATCATTTTTTTTAATTTATAATAATTTAAGATTAGGGAATGTGTGGAAATTGTTAATTATTTTAAATATTTTATGCTGACTTGGCAGTGACATGGCGCGTTGACTAACGGTCAACGCGTTTGACCGTCCAAGTTAACGGTCAAAAGTCGAATCTGGCCAAATTGTTTATTTTGATGTATAGTTCGGGCCAGGATGTTATAGATCGAAAAGATTGGCCAGGATATTTATTTTGGTCAAAGTTCATGGGCTTGAGACTTAGACCATCCAATCTACTTATTGTATGTTAAATCGTCGAGGTATTTAACATATCTCTATCAAGTTCGAGTTAGCTAGGGCATCCTTCATTGGCTAAATGAGATTAATCTCATAATGATCCATCACAGCTAAATCTTTCAGCTGAAAATCGCCAGGCAGTGCCACAAATGTTCAGTAGTGGTGTTGTTCCTCCACACATCACATAATGTGTGACCTAAAATAGTTGTTTGGGATACTTGCCAGATTTGTAGGGTTGGATGGATCGAAGACGAACCATTTGCTATCTTCTGACTGTCATCACTTTCATCTATACTGTAGCGTAATTAATTGTTGAACAAAATTACAAAAATATCGAGACAAGTAGTCATAATACGTGATTGACTAACATGCACACAAATTGCTGCTCTCTTACCGTTAAATTGCCAAAAAAAAAACATCAAACATCGTTGTTCAATTTTTAAAACAATAAAACACAAGGCACAACACCAAATCTCATATTTGTCTATGGTAATTATAGAGGTTTTGAGTTGAGAGGATAAAATGTTCATAAATCATAACTACCGACTAAAAAAAAAGAAGCTAAATTTCAATGTAAAATCACGATATATCTCTACTTCGCTGCAGTCGAATTCTGTGCAATCTTGATCAATGGAAAGTCAAGTCTTATTCTTCTACTCTTTTCAATTCTCCAATATGAAAATTGGCTAAAGGGGAGGAAATTGGGAAATGATAAGACATTATTACATTATGCAATATTGATCAACCAATATTCCGCTGCAGTCAAATCCATCTTCCAGTTCCATGTACGACTCAATCATACTCATTTCATTTCTCTTCGCCGTTGGCGTTTCCGTTTCCGAGAACGACAGCCACGACGATGACGACGAAGGTGACGGCGTGCACGGCTCCGGGGAGCCGCGCTTCTTACTATTATTGGTCACTCTAACCGGCTCGTAATCGGCTGATGATCCGACCAAGTGAGGGAAGTTGAGCTTGGCCTTGGAGCCGCGCATCTGGAAAGCGGCTCGGTCGTAAGCCAGCGCCGCGTCCTGGGGAGTCTCGTAAGTCCCGAGCCAGATTCTGGAGCCGTTCTTTTTCGGGTCCCTGATCTCAGCGGCGTACTTCCCCCACGGCCGTCTCCTAACTCCCTTGTAGTGCGCCTTCTTCGGCAATACAGCCGCCGGCAACGGCGCCGTATTTACGGGCTTTGTCGTCGAGGTATCAGCTGCTGACTCCGACAAAATGTCGCTCCAATCGGTGGTTGAGAGTAGGCTGCTTAGGAAGCTCTCTGTACGGGCAGGGGACGGCGCCGTATAGCAATCTGCAGCCACCTGATCTGTCGGCGGCTCGTCGTCTAGGAGGTGCTTGCGGATGGATTCCAGTGCAGAAAAGGAACACATTTTTGGGTTTTGGTTTTGGGATGCTTTGCTCTTTTCTTCTTCGATCTCTTTCGAACTGATGAGTGACGGTTGATTTCGATGGGTATTGAGGTTTATATATATACACGTGACGGGAATCAGTTGAGTTGAGTGAGCTTTGAGCTTCCATTGTTGCTCGGAGGAAGCTTCGTTACCCTATGGCTTGTTTCTCCACATTTTTCTCATTCCCAATATAAAATTATACTCTCTCTATGAGTAGATGGATGAGTATTTTTTTTTTTATGGTTTAATTTTTTTGACCATGCGAACATTCATCATTTTATTGTATAAATACACAATTTCTTTTGGGTGAGATATAGATTCTCTTTAGAAATGGCCATGTGATGTGATGACTGATGAGTAAAGGATGATGACATAACTTAATTATTGGTGTGCTTATTTAGACTTTCATTTGGAAAAACCATTTGTTTTTTGGCAGACCGTCGATTGGATGACACACCACTTATTTTGATTCATGAGACTATAATGGGGGGGGAAAAAAAAAAAGAGTTAGTTGCTTGCTTCTACAGGTCAGCCGAAATGTAAATGCCAACCTCAATAGGACTGCTTGGTTTTGTACTATATGTCATATCGAGGTCGACCAGAGAACCCGTTGGTCGAATATTTCATTAAATAGGCTAACATCTTGGTTTGTAGGTTGACCAGATTGAATATGATGACATGCACACACTAATAGTAATAGGGTTTTGGCATGCCGGTCGACTGCCTTCTATCATATTAGTTCAACGTTATTTTTCTTTGTAAATATGGCGGGTCCCAATAAGTACATAAACTTTTTTAGTAGTGAAATCATGTTTTGTGACAGATAATGTAATAGCCAACAAGATAAGTGTATCATCGGAGTACTGGTCATTTGTCGGAACTGTTAGATTGCTTTCTCTAAATGGCAATGACTCATAAATCATCGAAGCAAAGTTTCGATAGTATTGTCATAATTATTCTTTACATATATAATTTTTTTTATAGACAAATTAAATGGTTGTTTTGCTTTCTAAACTATCAGATATCAATAACCATGTACCCATGTGATAACGCGAAAGCAAGCAATATAATTAATTTATTTTTATATTATGACTAGGTATCTGGGGTATTAACTCGAAATTTTGTCCATATTGGAATGATAATATTTATGACTGTCAACACAGGTAGAACCTAGAGATGCGGACGCCAATGCCATGTCCATGTGGCCTGTGGGTTCTGTTCTCTGATCTGTTTCCCCCTTACCATTTAACGGCAATGGTTACGGGACAATAGAATCTTACAATTATGGTAAGATATTTATTTATTTAAGCAATGAATCATAACATTTATTTATTTACACAATATATTATGCACTTCACTCTCTGTCATTGTTGCCACCTTGCACTTTGATTGGTTCTCCTTATTTGGTGGAAGGACAACTTTGACAATTTTTCAAACACTCAAGGGTCACTATTTATTATTAGACTTTTGGTTTTCTTTTTAGTAAATGCGATTAGGATTAAGGAAAAAGAAGATTTGTTTTAAGGTAAATGCTACATAATAATTATTTGAATTTTGCTCTGTGTAAATTTATTTTGTGTGGTTAAGGAAAAAATAGAGGCTATCTAAAGTTGTTTAACTGCTAAATGAGATAATGATTGCGAATTGGATTTTGAGATGATAAAGATGATATATCATCGTGGCGTGGATGTTTGGGAAGAAGTTCCTTCGGAGTAGGGTTTTTCGCATTAGGGTTTTACGTTAAACAGATAAACCAAGCATCAACCTTCAAAAGTTTTAGAAACTTAATTTCACAGTGATTTCGGCAAACATGAAGTGGAAGAAAGACGGGAAATCTTGGCAAAATACAATCAATTTATATTGTTTTAAATTCTTTTAATTTTCAAATTAGCATGTCTAATTTTTACATTAAATTTTGAAAGGTAAGATCGCATGTTTAGTAGTAGGTTAAACAATAATTCGATCCATATCATACCGACTCGATATTTTTGTCGAATTAGATCAAACAAAAAAAATCAATTTTTTTACTCTATGTAATTGCTTAAAGTCAAGATAGTTTTTATTAGAAAATTATTAAACGTAAAATATGGTCCAATGGAATAACTTAAATGCTTCTTCAACCTAACTACGTTGTTAATTACATATGAATAGTTCCATTAAAGATGAAAAAATAGTTGTATAATGATAAACCATTAATCATGAGTCATTGAAATTTTTCATTCGACAACCGCTCCGCTTTTGAAAATATAGGACATAGTCAATAAAATATTTAAAAATATGAGCATATTGTTAAAGGTTAAGTTTGAATTATGATAACTAAAGTTCAAATGATTGAATAACTTAAAAAGGTCATTTCAAGTCAAAATATTCTTTTGTTGATATTTTTCATTTTTGTCTCTTTCAAAATATAAAGTTAATACATCTGTGCTAATATTTTGGGATTTGCTTTACATAATTGTCCAAATAATCTATTTCCTTATCACATTTTTTTCTCCTCAAATTTTTGTATCTTTAAAATATTTAAATGTAATACATCTATAGTAATATTATGTACATTATTTACTTTTTAATTCAATAGATGACAATCAACAATATTTAAATTAAAATAGTAATAAAATTTTCAAAGCTTCATTTGCAAGGTAATTATTCACATATAACGAAGATAAAAATTTTTGTTGATTTTTTATTTTATTCAGTGATGTTTAAATATCTCAAGGCATGAATATAGATTCCTGATAGTTTTTCATTTCATTCATTGTCTAACTTAAACTTCTTATATTTAAGTATAAAATGAAATACAAATTCAATAAAATTATAAAGTTAACGGGCACTAAAAACCATAAACTATCAAAGTACTCTTTTGTACCACCAGTGCACAATACTAAAAATCAAACCACCTACGTTTAACTAAAAAAAAATACCCAAATGACCACAAACCGGCCAACGGGCCGGATACAACACTAGTAATTAATATAGACGTCTTATAACTTCTTAATCGATCCATTTCATGGTTCATCACAATATAATAGATGTCTTTAAACAATAAATTACATTGGTTAATTCAAAGACATAACAACGATATGGTCTTACACTCTTACTTCTTAATTGATCCGTTCCATTCCATGGAGCGGGTATGATAATTTATGCTTAGTTTTCAAAAAATGATTACAAATTTCCACACAATATAATTCACCCGTCCAAATTAAGGTTTAGCAGCACTTGATTCTCATATGTTTTTATTTTGTGGGAATATTTAACGTGACTGTGTTTAATGTTTACCAAAGTTTGTAATCAACTCGAATTTGAAATTTTCAAAGTTGAACTAACTGAATTATATATACACCTCTAAGGAATCCAACTCGACTATTTGCAACCTAACCTCAAGGTGCTCTGCTTCTCCCTGCTGCTCCGTCATTGCCATGTTCATTGCGGTAGATTTTCCAGACATTACAAAATGCCTGATATGAAAATGAAATAACGGCTTTAATACCATATACCATAAAAAAAAAAAATCATACATCAAATGTTGAACTCACGATCTCTCTACTTCTCATTATAATTAAGCTGCAATCAAAATATGTGCCACCCCTTCATCCATGATAGTACATTAGCACCGTCAACTGGAGGTCAAGTATTCTATTATTCTTTCCTAACATCAAATTTGAAAAATGACCCAAAGCCAAATTTTACAATGTGCAATATTGATCAACCAATAATCCGTTGCCAAATGGCATCTGACTGTCGGAGAAGGTCAAATCCCGTTCATCTTCCCTTTCCAGGTATGACTCGATCAAGCTCATATAATTACTTCGCTTCGCCTTTGGGGATTCCGTTTCCGAGAACGACAACAACGAGGAGGAGGAGTCCGACGAAAACGACGTCGTGCAGGGCTCCGGCGAGCAGCGCTTCTTCTTACTATTGGTCACCCTAACCGGCTCGTAATCGGCTGATGATCCCACCAAATCAGGGAAGTTGAGCTTGGCCTTGGAGCCGCGCATCTGGAAAGCGGCTCGGTCGTAAGCCAGCGCCGCGTCCTGCGGAGTCTCGTAAGTTCCGAGCCAGATTCGAGAGCCGTTCTTCTTCGGATCCCTAATCTCAGCCGCGTACTTTCCCCACGGCCGTCTCCTCACTCCCTTGTAATGCGCCTTCTTCGGCAATACGACCGCGGGTAACGGCGCCGTATTTGCTGATTCCGACAAAATGTCGGTCCAATCAGCGGCGGAGATTAGGCTGCTTAGGAAGCTCTCTGTCCGGGCCGGTGACGGCGCCGCGTAGCTATCTGCAGCCGGCTCTGTCGGCGGCGGCTCGTCGTCGTCGAGGAGGTGCTTGCGGATGGATTCCAGCGCGGAGAAAGGACCGTCGTCGAAGAAGAGAGGGAAGGGGGATTCATCAATCTGTAGAGTACACATTTTTCTGTTTCTTTCTTTTTTTTTGGGTTTTTGGCTGCGAATGGAAGCTTTGCTCTTTTCTTCGATCTTCTTTGAAACTGATCTGTGTTGATCGATTGATTGACTGATGAGTGAGGTTTTTATAAGGAACGTGGATCAGTTAAGTAGTGAGCTTTCTCAGCTTCCATTTTCCCCCCGGTTGCTGGGAGGGAGGAAGCTTCGTTACCTTGTTTCTCCACATTTTTCTCATTACCAATATTATATTGAACTCTCTCATTCAGTAGACGAGTTCTTTTTAATGGTTTTTTTTTAACCATGTGAGTATTTATGCTTAGATTGCATAAATACTTTTTTTTTTTTTAAGAAGAGGGCATGTGATGACTTATGAGTAATGAATACATAATGAGTAACATATAACTTATTTATAATTAAAAAAAAATGTAGTATGTCTATGGTGACTTTTTAGTCATTATAACTTGGGAGAAAACGACTGTTTTTTGACAAACGGGTCAATCAAAAATGATACACTCAGCTGCTTGTTGCATGAGATTATTATAGAGGAAGGAAATACAAGGGTCAATCGCTTGCTGCAATAGGTTGACTGATTTCAACGGAAATGTCTACCTCAATAGGACTTGTTTGGCTTTGTATTATATGACATATCGAGATCGACCGAAGTACCTATTGGTCGACCATTCGGTCAAAGAGGCCGGCATCTTGGTCTGCAGGTTGACCAAATTGAAGATGACATGCACACATATCAAGTGGGTTTTGCTATATCGGTCGACTGCCTTCTCATACGTACAGGGTTAGCGGGTTACCGTTAATTTTTCTTTGTAATTGTAGAGTCCCAATACAATACTGAAAGTTTTAGTCGTGTAGAGAGATGTGTCGTGCGACTGATAGGATAATGGCCAAACGGGAGACCATTTATTGGAGCGATCTACCATTATTTTCCTTTGCAATGGTGGGATCCCATCGTAGTAGGATAAGTGTGTCATCGGATCAACGATTGGTCAAAATGTTACACCATTTTCTACAAATCACAGGATTATTATTATTATTATTGTCATTATATAGATTCTTTTTTGTATAATGATGTTTTATCTTAATAAACTGAGTAGACACGTGGTTGTTTTGCTATATAAAATACTAAAATATCAATAGCCAATTAGCCATATCCTTGTGATAACACGAAAGCAAGCATTATTATATACTATATGAATTGGTATTGGGAGTAACAATTGCTAATCTTGTCTATATTATTCGTAAGATAACAAAATATTATTGCGAACACAGGTAGAGAGACTAGAGATGCCAGATGCGGGCGCCATGTCCACGTGGGTTCTGTTCTTTGATCTGTTTCTCGCTTGGCATTTAACGGCAATCGTTCATAACATAACAATAAAAATCCTACAATATTTATAGCAAGATATGTATCTATTTAAGCAATGGTTTTCAACAGAACAATAGAGTTACAATTATGGTAAGATATTTATCTATTTAAGCAACGGTTCATAACATTATAATAATTATAGACGAGGTCTATTTTCATGGTTCATCACAATATCATAGACGTCTTTAAACAATAGATTATATTGCTAATTCAAGACTACATGACAGCTGGTTGAGGGTATGATAAGTTATGATTAGTCATTAAAACAATTATTACAGATCTACTCTACATAAAGATAATTCACCCATCCAAAAGGTTTAGCAGCACTTGATTGTCATCTGTTTTCATTCGGTATAGGGTTTACCAAAATCTGTAATCACTAATCAGTTCTGATTAGGAGTAGGAAATTTTCTTAGTTGAGCTTTTGTGTAACGAGACAAGCAGTTCCCAGCTAGATTAGATAGTGGGAGATAGTTGAAGGAAACCTTATCGAATCGGGAAATTTGAGATCATCTTCAATTTTGCATGAACCGAACTATACATACAACCCTAATGAACTCCAACTTCATTATTTGCACCAAAAAAACTCAAAGGTGCTCTAAATCTTATCTCCCTACTCCACCATTAATTTCTACAATGTGCAATACTGATCAACCAATAATCCGCTGCCAAATGGCATCTGACTATCAGAGAAGGTCAAACCCCATTGTGACTCGATCATGCTCATACAATTACTTCGTTTCACCTTTGGAGATCCCATTTCCGCTTCCGAGAACGACAACAACGAGGAAGAAGAAAACGAGGGCGTGCTCGGCTCCGGCGAGCCGCGCTTCTTCTTCTTACTATTGGTCACCCTGACCGGCTCGTAATCAGCCGATCCCACAAGATGCGGGAAGTTGAGCTTGGCTTTCGAGCCGCGCATCTCGAAAGCGGCTCGATCGTAAGCCAGCGCCGCGTCCTGCGGAGTCTCGTAAGTCCCGAGCCAGATCCTGGAGCCGTTCTTCTTCGGATCCCTAATTTCAGCCGCGTATTTCCCCCACGGCCGTCTCCTCACTCCCTTGTAGTTCGCCTTCTTCGGCAATGCTGCCCCTGGCAACGGCGTCGTATCAGTTGCTGCCTCCGAGAAAATGTCACTCCAATCGGTTGTTGAGATTAGGTTGCTGAGGAAGCTCTCTGTTCCAGCAGGCGACGGCGTCGTATAGCTATCTGCAGCCGGCTCCGTCGGCGGCTCGTCGTCGTCGTCGAGGAGGTGCTTGCGGATGGATTCCAGTGCGGAGAAAGGACCATCGAAGAAGAGAGGGAAGGGGGATTCATCAATCTGATTATACATTTTTCTTTCCTTTTATTATTTTTGGGTTTGGCTGCAAAATGGAAGCTTTGGTCTTTTCTTCGATCGTTTTGGAATCTGTTGAGTGTCGATTGATTGATTGATGGGTACTGAGGTTTATATACTTGACGGAAATCAGTTGAGTTTTGAGTGAGCTTCCATTTTCGTTGCTGGGAGGAAGCTTCATTGTTTTCTCCACATTTTCCTCATCATCAAAAGGGGTATTGCTTATAAATATATTTGTTTATAGTAGCCATGTGATGACTGATGAGTAATGAATACTGACATAAGTATTTTATATTAAAAAAAGAAAATGGTGTGCTGTTCAACCACCATTAATTTATTATTATCTGTTAATCACTATGTATTTTGTCTGTTACGGTTAATTACTAGGAAATATAAATTGGAACATGTGGAGATGGGAAAGAATCATTCTCTGAGCTTCATAGACTATGTTTTTAAGGATTCCTGGTCAAGTTTTCGCCATATATGTTTTTTTTTCCTTTCAAGCACCATGATTGAGAGAGCCTAATACATGCCCAATCTAGTTCAATTTCATATATGATATTAGAGTCATGTTGATTAATTTGAGCGTGATAGCCTAACTATTACATAAATTAACGAATCAAAAATACCGAACAAATAACTGATATAGTGAGACGAAATATCGATTTTATACTTGATTGAAGTGTCAAGAAGCATAACATCAAAATATGCTACTAATATAGAGTGTACGATGTCTGAAAAATGTGTGAGACCATTATAAGAAATTCTTATGATATTTCATACTAATCATATACCCCCGACTACTGTGCGTATATACGGAGCTCAACTCTCCAAAATTATGTGCTCAAATTTTTACGAGTTAATTTTAAAACATTTTATCGATAAATATTAAATAATCACGACTTGAACAAAAGTTTTTTTTGATTAAGGTGAAAATTGTATTAAAAAGGAACTAAGAAATGTACAAAGGGAAATACAGGGGAAGGGAAGGGCGGGAAAACAAAATCAATACTATATATTTGTTTGAACAAAAAAAAAAAAAATCAACGAACTCTATATATTTGCCATGTAATATTTGATCGAAGTGTAACGAGACAGTGAAGTATGAACATATATCCACTGTGCGCAAAAAAAAAACAAAAAAAGAATTTTTTAGTCAATCAATGAACATAATATGCGCCGGGAGCAAAAAGAATTTTCTTGTTTGATTAAAACAAAGGAGCCCGTCTAGGGTTGCCTTTCCTCCGGCGCGATGGCTTTCTCAAACTTCCCGACGATGACGCCGCCGTCAACTCTCTCGCCGCCCTTTCTTCTTCAGTCTCTTCTCCACCACCGTCCGCCTCCGACGCTGTTCTCGTTAGCACTGACGCCGCCCTTTCTTCTCCAGTCTCATCTTCTCCGTCGCCCGCCTCCAACGCCGTTTTCGTTATTACTGATCCTTCCTCCATTTCAGTGTACCCAGCGCTTGTTTCCTTATACGGCATTGGAAGAATCCCATCCTCTGGCAATGACGGCGCCGTTTTCCTTTTCGGTGTACAAGATGCACCTGATGTTACCTGGAAGAATCATTAATCGATAAACCCCCACTTAGATATGGTCAATATGATGATTATTACTCTGTTTTTTGGGCTGAAAATGTCACCATAAACAAGGTTGGGTTCAAGGTTAAAACGAAATAACGAATGCTTTTTGAAAGAAGACCACAAGGAGGAAAGATAATCAAGTAGTAAAGGGTGGGCAGCGATTCGTTCATAAACGACTAAATCGAACAGAATCAATGTTTAAAATGGATTCGAATAGGGGTCCAATTTCGACAATTTTCTTGAGCTACAAGAAAGAATGTATCGAATCGATGTTTGTATCGGACCGAATCAAACAGAATACCGTTTTGATCCCATCCAAATCATCCCAATCTTTTTCCGCAACAAACTCTTCCCCTAGATAAAATTCGGAAAACAGAGGATCCCCTGCCCACATATTCTGAAAAACTCCCATTTTCAAAAAATTATGTGGGACAAAACCATTAATCTAAGCACCATGTAAGTATCTAATCAGATTTTCTCCAATGTATCAAAGTAAAGAAATTTTAAGTGTTTGGGGTTGATCAGTAAATTCAATTTTTAGATAGGTGGGAGGGAAAAGAGGGGAATTTTTACCTTGCAGGCAATGGAGCAGTAACGATTATGCTTGTCGTTCATGGATTTCCCGCAAACCTCACAGGGTCGCCCAGATTTGGTTTTGGTTAATGGGTTTGCATCTCCATGGACTGGATTCTTGGTTGATGGCTTTGGATTCAAATGCACCGATTGCTCCCCGTTTATCTTGTACGTCTGATTGATAGCAGAAATTCCATTACACATTTGGTCATCTCCTCGGAATCAATGGCGGAAAGGCATACTTCCGAATAAAAAACAAGAACAGGGAAGAAGAGAATTTGGACTGAATTTCAACCAAACAAAGAAAACAGGGCAAGAATTTGACTGTACAGTCGAGTGGGGGACTGATCGAAACCAGCCAAACCCACGAATCCGTCATGGATTGATTCTGGGTGATCGGGGAAATCAGCCAAGTAGCAAAAGTATACCTGGATTCGTGAACAGTCGAAGTACTTCTTGGTTTCGGAGACGTAAACGACGTTTTGATGGCTGTTCTTGTAAATCGTGAGATGGCGGTTGGAGCAGGAATGGGATTCCAAGCAATACTTGCAGAATACGCCGTGGCAATCCAAACAGAAAAATTTCCTCTCGTTCTTCCACAGCTTCTCATGGATAGCGCAGACGTCGAATAACTCAGTCGTCAGTAGGGCTTCCACCCACTGCTTCTCTTTCTCGTCTCTGTTCCTTTTGCGTCCCGCCTAATTCCCCCAACCCAAGAACGAAAGAAACAAGAACCCATCGTCAAATTGGTTGTTAGAAGGAAACCCAGAATGCTGAAACTCGAAAAAACAGAGCTTTCCCCCCAAAATTTCGTAACAGAGAAGAATTTCGCAATTTGTGAAGTTTCGGGGATTACCATTTCTTCCCGCGAAGTAAGCAAGCGTAAGGAGGAGTGGGATCTTGGTGGGTTTCAATGGAGGAATTTGGGGGTTTAGGCAGAAAGAGAGAATATACTTTAGTAGTGAGCAAGGGAGCGGTCAGTTCTTGAAACAGAGAGCTTTTGAAGGGAATGTGGGGAATGTGAACGATCAGTGAAGGAAATAGATAAAACGAAGAGGAGGAAATCTTGGTAATCTTTTCGTAAATGGTAGAAGGGAATGAATTGAAGAAAAATTTATATAGAGGAAAGGAAAATCTCTGTTGCAGTGTGCTGCGGAAAATTGACAGAGAGAGGGGAAATGGAGTTCCAGACGGCGGGAACTGGGATATGAATATTCCACATATTTCCCCTTTTTTTCCCCGTTGAAAAGGGAATGTTAAATAGTGTATTAGAGGGATAATTGAACTTATTAATCATTTCTCACCCTAAGCTCAATGTTAGCTTACTAGCTATCTTCCTTCACAGAACCTTATTAGCTATTTCCCCTTTCTTCTCCAAATCAACCGAGAACCCTTCTCCGCCTTAGCCGTCTTCTCGTCCTCCTTTCCCGCCCGCCTAAGATTTCCTCCCCGCCGTCGCCTCGCCGTTCTCTCCCTATTTCGCCTTCGTCGCCGTTCTCCTGTTCGCAGCGTTGTTTCTGACCTCCTATCCGCCGTCGATCTCCGCCGTCGCCGTCTCGTGTCGTCCTCCTCATCTCTGCAACGTAGGTGTGTTAATTTGTAATGAAGTAATCGATCTGGTTTTAATGGTACTACATTGATGATTACACATGATTGTTGTCAGAAACCAGGTTGACTACTTGTGACTTGTGAGCTTGTTGGTGGATTTTAGAATTAGCTTTGGATGTGTAATTCTACTGAATCAAAAGCACAGCAAGGACCCATGGTTTGCATACAGTATTGGGTTTTGCTGAAAAGAGAAACTTGCTGAAACTATGATGTGTTATTAACTTATTATTTTGCAGTTTCTGGTAAAGGAGTGAATTGGGTTTGCAAGTTTTTGGTTCCAACAAAATTGGCGTTTGATTTGTCTACTTATCATCAGTGACTGCAGGAGTTAGGGATACATAGAAGCCATCTCCAAAATAGGGGAAAGAATACAACTTCTAAAGGCATTGCCATTTTTCAAATGAAGGAGTTACATTAGCTAGCCAATTCCACATTGCAATTGCTTTGCTTTTGTTTGGCGAGTTGTATTGAACATTTGATTTCCCTTTGCAGACTGTCCTTTTCTGATAAGCAACCATCCATTGGCCTTCTGCATTCCCACTGTCTCTCTCGACACTTTTTTGCTGTGTGAGTGAGTGTCTAGCAATGCCTGCAAATATGGTCTCACGAGCCTCTCTCATTCAATCCAAACCCTCCCTGTCCTTCAACACACAGAACAGTCTTAATCTCCCTCAGTCCTCTGTGTCATCAAGTGAGGTCCTTTTCTTCTTTTGCTGCATTCAATTTTCTCGGCATTTGCCGTTTATGGCATTTCTTGATGTTGCTTTAGCAGATGTCGGTTTTGTTGGCACCAGGAGAAATGGGTTAGCCATCAGATGTTCGGTGGCGTTCCCTGAAGCTGCTTCAAGATTTGTCGATTCAAGTAGGAAGGGGACTAAAAGCCCTGTCGAAATTATGACAGTTTCACTTATAATCTTTGCCAGGTTTGCTTCTTTTTCTAGCCACATTGCTGAATTAAGATAACTGCAGTTGCTGAATTTGAGTTGGTTGAGTTCTGTCTACTGATCTGTTTGTGGGCTGTGGATTAATTTCTTCTTAAATCGTTTCGAAAAATTTGTGTACTTGATCATAGTAATAGCCATCTTTGGGTTGCATTGAAGGAAAATTTCGTTTCTTAGTAAGGTTTGGCTTGATTTGGTTCCAGTACCAACAATTGGTTAATATGCTTTGGTGTAGACGTCTCTTTTATCACTCATATTTTGCTCATTCCTATATCCCCTGTTCTTTTTTGCACACAACCTATATTTAACTGTTCTAATCCAAAATATGTAATGTCTTGTCGTAAAGTATATGGCAGAGCTGGGATGCGAATTTGAGGTTTATCGGAATGACGAATTAACTGTGGAGGAGTTGAAAAGGTATACATTTTATGTTTGTAATATGATCATATATCTTGTGAGATGTGTATGTTATGCTTTTTGACGGCATCTGCAACATTTTCTGCCTTTTAACAAGAAAAATCCTAGAGGTCTGCTGATATCCCCAGGACCAGGTCAGCGTGCTGCATGAGTGGCCAGGGCCAACTGTATTGACATTGTTAGACATACAGCCAAACTGAAAAGGGAAAATTGTACTTAACTGATTTGTAATTCTCTTCATAGGAATCTCCAAGGATTCTGGAATATGTTTGCAAGACGGTTTTGGAGCTCGGACCAATCGTACCCTTGTTTTGTGTGTGTATGGGTTTACAGTGCTTTGGCGAGGCATTTGGTGGTGAGTCTTGTTAACCATTCTGAAGTGTTGCTGCTTGTACTGTTATTTTTTCGGTGGCTTATTTTAAGAATGTCAATGCCTCTACATTCTCATACTATGCTTCATTAATTTGATAATTTGTTATTTATGCAGGGAAGATTGTGCGTTCTCCCTTCGGGTCCATGCATGGGAAAAGCTCCCCGGTGTACTATGACGAGAAAGGCAAAGGCTTGTTTACTGGGTTGCCAAAGCATGTAACTTTACCACTATAGCTGTGCATGCATCTGTTTGTTGGTTGTTTTCTGTTCCCTCCCAAGCTAACCTTCCAGACTTTTTGGCATCCATTGATTTTGTCTGAGTCCCAGAGTGTTTCTGGTATTTTCAAGTACAATATTATGGGTGAGATGGTTATACAGAAAAACTTAAATATGAAGTCAGTTCTTGATTGTTCTTCTTAAGCTTCAGTTAAAGCCAGCATGACAATTGGCAAACTAAGAACATTTAGCTGGATCATGTTTAGTCTACACCATTGGGGAGAAAAGGAGCCAACGAGTCTGCTTCATATGTCTGTCTGGACTACAAGCGTGTGCATTTAGCGCTTAACTGTGCACTCATGTTGTATGTCTACTGTATTGTCATCATCTTTTACCCCTTGCCCTCATCAAATATTATTGAGCATTTATCATGAGTTTCTCTTTTCTCTTACTCATTAGCTTACTGAAAGTTGGCATGGATTTACTATATTGTCTATGTCTCTAAACTCGTTCCTTTTATTATGAATTTGTGCATGGCACTTAGGTTGTAGATCAATATTGAACATCTATCAGATGTGTGCTGAATGTTGCACCAAACACACTTGATAGAAGTTTGTTTGCTTTCAGTTTGGTTTCGAGTATATGAATTATGGACAAATGTAGGTTGTGGTGCCTTTCTACTCTTGTTGAAGAAATGCACCTCTTTACATTTTTTTCTTTGTGGATTTTCTGCAGCCCTTTCAAAGCTGGTAGATATCACAGCCTAGTTATTGACTGAGATATGTTCCCGATTGATGAACTTGAGATCGCAGCTTGGACCGAGGACGGGTTAATCATGGCTGCACGTCAACGAAAGCACAAGTATCTGCAGGTGAGATTTATGTGCTTTGATGTCACTATGATGCATCATTGCCCTTCACCCTGAAGTCTTATGGTTCTGTTGATGCTTGGAAATCTTTCTACTTCTGATTGCTTGAACACGGTTTAGTTTAACTCTACAGTTAACAGTTTCACTTGAAAACATCTTTCTTTCCCCACGACCTCGAACCGAGTTTTTTTCCCCCGTGGGTGGAAACGTTGCAGGGGGTGCAGTTTCATCCAGAGAGCATCATAACCTCAGAAGGCAAGATCATCGTTCAGAATTTTCTCAAGATGATAGAGGAGAAGGAAGCTGAGTCAACAAACTAGCGATGCATTGCTACTATCCATATGCTGAAGTGCAGAACTGCACTGGGAAGCACCAGATTAGGTCGTTTGCAGAAGCTTTTGTTGTTCTAGTTTATAGTGGGCACCTACTTTTAGTATGGTTTTTTGTTTAAGATGAACGTGAAAAAAGGATGAAAATGAAAGCTGAATGTCAGAACATTATTATTGTCACAACTCACAAGATCTTTTTCGTGCCCTTTCCTTATTGTTTTCTGGGCATGGCACAAGTCTTGTGCCCATTTCCCATTGTAGATTATAAACGTCACTGCATCATGATGCCTTACCACCTTCATATGAGCCCAATAACTTGTTCACCTCCATTGATAAAAGTCCATTTCAGGGGAATCGATTAAACTATACAGAGCTGCTGGGAATTGGAATAGATAACCTGGAAAACTACCCCACTTGATCGACATGTTCTTCTCTGGAAAATTAAACAGCCAAAGGAGATGAATGACAGAGAGAGCTGCAGAAGGGTGTCGGCACAAAAGATGAGGAATAGCTGGCAAACCTGAATACACAGTTGTGATTTGTGAACTGAATTTAATAAATGCAACTGGGAAGGTGCATGTCACGCCATCAGGGGGAATGGGGGATGCTGCTGTGTGTTGTCTTCTTTTTGTTTTTGCTTCCCATCTTTTCATTCCAAAGTCTGCAACTTTTCCTAGATAAAGGCTACTGGGTTTGTTCCCACTGCCCGCTTTTCTTCGAAAGCACCAAATAACACTTTCACTTTTACCCTCACAGAATCCTCTGTTTTGTCTCCAGAACCCAAAAAAAATATGTATATTGACCAGTAAAATTGCACAATAGGAAAAAAAATAATAATGATATAGCAACAATCAATCAATGCTCGCTCAACTGCACCATCTGGGCAGTTTAACTAATTCACAGGATTCCCCTGACCATAACTCCAGAGACCAACGATCCAACAATGGCAGACAAGATGACTGAGAATCTGGCTCCCACTACAGAAGAAGATGAAGTAGAAGGGGCGACTGGGATCGAGCCGAATGCGATTGGGGAAGAGGGAGCAGTGTCAGCCAAGGCACCGCCGGGCCCATAATTAGGAGCATAAGCAGAGGCCGATGAACCGTTGCCAACTTTGATATAAAGCTTCTGCTTCTTCTCACAGTGCCCTGGCTCCCCGCTGGTGAAGTACAAGTCTGCCTCCTCGGTGATGTTGAACAAAGAGTTGCCGTTGTTCATGTACAAGATCGGATCTTTCAGGTTGCAGGAGTCGAAGTTTTGTGGTGTGACTTGGATCACTGAGTCTTGGCTTGGTGGGTACAGAAACACTGCAAACAATGAGAGGAAAATAAGATAGCTTGAAACACAAACAAATGGGGACTGGGGAAGGGAATTACAGAAGGAAGGGAACTTACAGAGAGAATCTCCAATCCTTACTGAATGATACTTGGACCAGTAAGAATAGACTTTGGGGTTTGCTGCAGAGGGAATTCCCCAAGAGGATAAATCTCCGACCTTGAATGTGTAACCTGAGACTTGGGATTGAAGCAAGGCAAGAAGCTGGCAGAGACAGAGAGCCATGAACAGGGGACTTCTTAGATTGGCCATCTTGATCTTGCCTGTCTGCAGAAGCTTGGAGGGGGTTTCTCAAATTTAATTGGAAGTAAGGGAGGGAAACAGTGGTATAGCACTGTAGAGGGTGGGGTTGAAGTTATTATAATATGTTTGATTGGTTGTATTATTATTGTATCAGTTGACAGATTGGAGGAGCAGAAAAGAACAAATAATGCAGCTGATAATAATGGGCACATGGGGATTCTCTGTGTGTGTAATGAAGATGCTTGCAAGGTTGCTACGAGGTTGAAGGGACTAGGAGGTGGTGGTGGGATGTTTCTTCTGCACATTGGCAAGAGTTGGGGGTTGATTCCCATTTCTGGCCACCACATGTGCAGTTGCAGAAACTAGAAAGAAAGGCAATGGATCTGTAATTAACTTGTTTCTTGAAATTTGAAAACCTCTGCAAATATGAAATGTAGACTTTTAGGAAACTAGTGAGAATCCATTTTGCTGGTAAGTTACCAATGAGCTTCTACCCTAACAATGTCAATTTGAGAATCGTAAATCCGAAGTGTCGAGTTCGAATAGAAGAGGAGAAGGAAAGAAGATAGGAAGTTTGCAACTAATAGTGTATTGATGTATGACACCAAATATGCTATGGGACATCAACTCTTATGTGGAAGTAGTACATACAGCAACGAATAATATGATATACTTCCAAGAGATTTTAAGTGTATGTTTTAACCCAAAACAAAAATTAAGGCCAATAATCAAGCTCTAATGAAAAGTAGTCCAAAAAGCCTCTTAACATTGGCTGTTAAACCAAAGGTTCGTTCTCCCTACTATACTCTCGAGCAGCAGAAAGATAAAAGATTGTGGAAAGCAGTACTATCCCACCCTAGTTTTACAGAGGCTGTTGCTGCAGAAAAAAAACAAGCATCTAAGTTGGTTTTTACTCTAAGAACCCTTCTATACTTCTATTACCCACTTTCTTCACTTGACCGTCATCATGTCTTCTAACGTCCTTTCAAAATTCTTCTGTCAGTATGTAGTGGGACTGAATCCATCCTTTTCTTATTGATCTAGTTTGCAAACCGGCGAAGCAAGCGAGGAAGCGGCAACGATTTTTGAGGGTGGTGTTAACGAGTACTCTTGCTTACAATTTCCAAAAGAATCTCAAAACGCTTCCACGAATCCAATCAAGCGTTTAATGGCTCTTCCTCTGTACCCAACTCCCTCATTGCTGTCCAATCTTGTGATTCTGCAATCAAACAGACCAAATTGAGCAATATCAACAAGATGTGTACAAATGAAAAGCTAACCCTGAAGACGGATTAAAGGACATTATTGTAGGATTTTAATTCGAAATGGAAGTTTGAAATTGCACTCATCAGATGCAATATGACAGTTCAAGTGTATCTGTTTAGGAGATCAGATGTGAACATTTATAAGTCGGTAAATATGCTAGATTTTACCGCCCCCGAGACGAATGGGAAGTAAACTAAGATATAAGCTTACTTGATTTTTGAAGCTCGGCAATGAACATCAGCCTACGTTGTAGAAGAGAAGCCACAAAGAGGAAGATAGAGCACATGCCAAACATGACAATGATTGGGAATGCATCAACCTGCACACATTTGAAGACACAAAAAAGTTCAAAAGAGGGAGCAGCAACTATATATATCTCTAGTGAAGGACATATGGATAAACCATTAGTGTACAATTATTGCAACTAGGACGGATAATCGATTTTGAGAACATAACGGGGGAAGATTGTAAAAGAAACTCACATTGTACAGCACAACGCAAACGAAAATGTTCAGAGGAATTCGGAAGAAATTCATGATTGTGCTCCTGGCCTCCTCTGGGATGTATTGGGATCTCATTTTCATGATGGAGGGCCAGAATATACCCACACAAGCCTCAAAAGCACAAAAACCCATAAGCTGGATGCACCCAGAAAAGGAGATTCCTCCACCCTTGACTCCAGTAGGTACCACCAAGAACTGTTCACAATCCACAATCAATCGTAAAGTTGTATTTTTACAAGGAACAGAAGAGTGATAGAAAGAGAGGGATGAAACAACATACACTTGTTATGACAGGAAGCATAAGGGCAGCTGCAGAGATTAAGAAAACTATCTGCATATAGCTCTCAGCTTTTGGGGATGAACGAGCAAGCAGGCGGGAGGCAACTGAACTTCCCAACATTGAAGCGAGCATGAATGTTGCAAAAATGAAACCATGTGGAATGTCCTCACCGCTCGGGCTCAGAGCAGGAGTCCACAAGAACACAAAGGTGTACATTGATCCTTCAAATAGGGACTGGATGGCGCCCAACAACGCAATCTTCTCATCTGATTCACGCACAGGATAACAGAGTAAGCATGAATGCAAAAAAAAATCCAATGAGCAAGGAAGGTGTCCCCTTTCTGATAAGCAACTAATTTTCTCTTAGGAGTTGCCATGGCATAACATTTGCACAACTCAGTGAAGTAACTTGAAAAACAGAGACCCTTTAAAGAACATAGAATATTGATCCGAAAAACAATGGATTGGCACAATTCCAATTTCCGAATACAGACGGCAGCTACAAAACCTTCTCAGGATAAACAGTAAGCATTGAGACAGAAAGGTCTCCTCTTTCCAATAAGCTTCTACTTTTCTCCTAGGAGTTGCCACAGCATAGCATTTACATAACTCAGTGATGTAACTTAACAGATAAATTTTTAGAGAGTAAAGATCATTCACCCAAAAAAACAATGGATTTACAAAATTTCCTAACCCAGACGGCACCTAGAAAACGACACTGAGATAATGGAGAATTTGTTCAGTCAGATTATGGTCTCACCAGAAGCAATGGCTACAGCAGCAGCTTTGAATTGTGACAACAAATCCTTGCCTTCAGAAGCGTCTCCATAATTTTCTGGCCAAGAAGACATGATAACCGCCATTCCAATTGCAAGAAAGCATGCTGCAGCATCGAAGGGAGCAACAGGACCAAGTGCCAGGGTATCAACTAGTACATTTCCAAACAATCCAGATAGAATAGCAACTAAACCATTGCCAAGAAATATGGCCTTGGAGAATGTAACGGAGAGCCACTGTTGATCAAATCCTCTCTGAAGATCCAAAGGTAGACAAGGTAAGAACACGATAACAACTATCAGAAGAAATCTCAACATATGATGCATATCACAGAATGTGCAGGGTGAATCCAGTCAACCAGTTAATGTCAAGCGACCTCTTGGTTCGCTCAAGAAACTTTGTTATCTTTTGTTTAAGGTAGACAATACTCGATCGTTTCCACTAAATTTACTCCCACTCAAAGTTTCCAAATTAAAGTTGCAGCATAATTGAACACAGCTAACAGTCTTTGGAATATTTGAAAATTATGAAGCAAAACCATCAAGGGCGAACAAGGTCTCAAAACCCATGACAAGAATAATTCCATCCAAGTACAAAGTACAGCGCATGTAGAACATACTAAGTTAGAAATTCCTTATCGAAAAGGACTCCCATGAGAGCAACAAATTCAAGTCGCAAAGCAGAGGAAATGAATATAGCACCTTAAAGTGTTCAGCAACTAGCCAAGACTCGAAGGCTGAAAAAAGCAGAGAAGTAGCAATTCCTCCCAGTACACGACCAAGCATTAAAACCTTGTAATGAGGAGAATGTTTGGTGATGCAACTCAAGATGTAAGTTATGCAGTAAGTGACACACGCCCTCTTGCGGCCCCTGAATAATGCAGAGTAGCACACACGTTAGCAGGTAGCACATTTGTACTGCTTGTTATCCCCACAAACTGAATTCAATTCAAAATCAGGCACAAAATGAAAAATAGTAACGGGATCTTACTGCTTGTCAGCAAGAGAACCAACAATCGTCCCGAAGAGCATGGAGGATCCAAACCCAGCAATGAAGAGTTGGCCGATATCTCCCTTCCCATAGCCATACTGACTGTACAAGTAGTAGACGTACGGACCCTGCAACCAATCTCCAGCTGTTCTCGCCACAGATTCCAAAATCCACCCAATCAATAACAAATTATCAGTCGAAGAATCCACAGATCGAGTGACATTTCAGTTCCAACTAACACAAATCGACGTCAATTCAAACAAATCGACTCTAACATCACTTCAAGCACGTCAAATCACAACATTCCTCATCAAACGTAAGACCCCGGATCAGGTGGTGGGAAAATGGACGAATCAAAGCTGGTTCGTAAAATCCAGATCTCAAGATTAGCTCGCTTCTTGAAAAGGAAACCTAAACGAAACAAGGAACCCCATACGCGCGCAGATCGAACGTAGAGAAGAAAGGCACATTATGCATGCGAGCAATAACCAGAGGGAGGAGGATAATGTCGAAGTGAAGAGATGGAGAGAGATGCGCACCCATCATGAGAGAGTAGACGACGAGGTAGTTGTTCTTGAAGGAATTGAAAGCAGTGGGGGTGTTGACCCGATCTTTGTTGCTTTTGCTGAATTCCAGCACGGCCACGACGGCGGCGAGGCCTCCGAAGACCAGGAAGTAGAAGATCTCCATCGCTCCGTTGTGTGGGATCGGAGATCGGGAGTGGAGACGACGACGAAGAAGAAGAAGAAGAAGAAGAAGGGGTTAGATAAAAATGAAAGGAAGGAATAACTACTTCTCTTATACTGCTGCCACTTTCGGCCACTCGCCTCGCCAACGATCTAACTCCCCATCCGCTCTCAGCTCGAGCCAAAAAAATAATAATGTAAAAATGAAAATTACTGAAATGAACAGTTTCAACCCTGGGCCCACGCTGTTGGGCTCGTTCGCTGTTTTAACCCTGGGCCCATGCATGGACTTGTAATTATGGACTATGAAGTGCAATCTAATCTTACTAGTTACTTACTATGTGGTCGTAACTCGGGATAGTTGGATTTACGCGATGGTAATTCTTATTTCATGGATTCGAGTATATGAGTGCTTCATTGCTTCCTCACTACTCCATGTCCTACTTCGTCGCTTCACTTAGAGAGGCCGCCCTTTTGGTTAAATTTGGTATAAATACGCCTAATCGTTTAGCTAGTACTTGTTACTTGTTAGTATGGTCCAACAAAATGTAATAAGAAAATCAAACTACCACGATTTCATATCCGATCTAATCGAATCCCCATGGAAGTAGAACCAATGCTAAAGCTATGGGGATTGAACTAGAGCGTTAAAGTGGCAAGTGGATCGGGGAAGCATAAAGAAAAGCCCCACCGACACCAAATCACCAATGCACATTTATTTTATTTGATTGATTTCCGATTTTACGGCCTCCTTGAACTTGTTAACAAACCAAACGGCACCGTCCCTGAATAGACCCACATCCATGGCCCTACACACCATGTGGTATCACTAGGAATGGCAATGGGCAGGTCCGGGGCGGGTTTCTTGGTACCTAGACCCGCCCCGTGGCAGGTCGGGTCCAGGTCGGGTAATTTATCACGGGTCACGGGTTAGGGCAGGTCGACCCAATGGGTAAGCAATTAGTATGAAAAATATTAGAAATGTTCGTTATTTTTATTATAAGACCATGGAAAAAAACAATATTATGATAAATATAGTTAAATTATTGGAGAAATTGAGGTTTTCACTAATTTACAACTTTATTATAGCTAAAATTTGATTTAATAAAAGGAAAATCCTAAGTAATTTGACTAAAATTATGTGTAATTTAGGCAAGAACGGGTCGAGAATGGGGCGGGTCAGGGCAGGTCGGGTCTATGAGAGTACCCATGCCCGCCCCGCCCCAAAACAGGTCAAACAGGTCGGGTAAAACGGGTCAGGTCGAAATTGCCATCCCTAGGTATCATCTGATCCGCATCTCCATTGGCCCATGCCCACAGAAAACACGCAAAGGTAAGGCCCAGTCCCTTTATTCCTGATCCGGCCCAGCAAGGCCTCGTCTCCTTCCACCATAGGTGGGCTGGGTCCGTCAAATAGCCCATGTCCGAGCTAAGGTTCAGCGGGCCCATCAACACACAGGATTTTGCTTTCAAATTTGTTACGCAGCCTCACTCTTTATATCTTTTTTCATTCGTTCTTCCAAAGGTTGCGAAATTTGAATTGCTTTCGAAATAAATACGAGATCCAAACGAAGGTCTGATGACACATGACAGTGAAAGGAATATAGAAGGCTGTAATTGTATCAAAGTTTGAAATGGAAATATCGGATCAATTGTCTCTGTAAGGAAGGCTGGTACCGATGGTAATATCAAAATTTAGAGCTTGAGGGCAGCTTTAGCCATGGCAAGGGCGCCTTCATAGCTTTGATTCCCTCCAATGAAGCCGCTCATGTGGACGAAAACACAAGCAGGGATTCCGCATTCCTTGCAGAGATCTTCATCTCTCAGCCCCCGCCATTGAGCTGGGAGAGGTTTTCGGCTCTCGAAGCTGTCTGGAGACACCGCCACGGCTTGAATTCGCCAGCTTTTGCTCCGTTCATCCTGGTAGAGAACATATTTGATTGAAGGTTCGATCTTCATCTCCTCCTCGAGCTCAAACAGGTGAAGCTTCCACTGTCGACAACCAAACCCATCTTTCGATCAGGAAAAGGTAAACAATAAATGTGGTTTGATCTTTTGCACTGTTAGTTCTAGCATAGATGATACTTACAGGGCAAAATCTGGTTAGAACCATGATTTCTCCGCTAGGATCAACGTCAAACCTGGCTGCAAGACATCCCAGAACTACTGATCGTGCTGGTAACCATGACCTTGCATGGAAACGAACACTCTGCAAAAACAAAGAGTTGCACAGCAGTCATAAGAATCTAGGTCGATATGAAGAAGAGCCCTTTATTTCCATAAACTCGGCATTGCTCAAAAGCAAATAAACTGGGGTAATAAAAGGAAGTGGGAAGTTGTTTTTGTGAAATCAAGTGAGTGGAAACTCACTTCTAAGAACTCGCTGCCGGCCAGAGCCATTGCTCTTTGGAAAGCCTCGTTCTCCTTCTCGGAGGATTGATCTGGATCAGTCCAGTCAAGGTTTAACCTCCCGACTCTTGAAGACAAGTGCGTATTGTTCACGTATCTAGGCGGTTTGTCAGTGTCATACCGGTTGATTCCATTATCAACAGCATCAATTGCCTGCCAATGAACAGACAACAAGAGTTGCATAAATGAAGAGTGAATGAGATAAGACCAACCAAACCATGAGAGAACAAGGGAAATTAATGAGAACTATTTTAACTGGTTTTGCTTTGGAGAACTAACCTCCATAAAGCTTTTGTAAACAGCTAGGAACAAACAGAGAACATCTGGGTGATCTTCATCAACTTGTAGCTCCTTGGCTATAATCTCCTTTCCGAAATGCTATGAGGGAATAGATACCAAGCTTAGCAAATCAGATGTAACAGCTAAAAATGCTCAAAAAGAGAATCCCTTGAGAAACCTCCTCTGCTGGAAAAACAATGAGATCCAGTTCATACCTTGTAAACAAGTCCAGCACTACTGAGTTTGGTGGAGAAGCCGTATCCAAACACCTCCAGGAAGCCCTTCTGATGGTGATCATACCTATCACGACTTGGGTCATAAACACCACCAACATCAAGCACAGCATCAAGAGTCTCCAACACCTACAAAATTCAAAGCTAGTTCATCCATCACAATGTTCGATCTAAAAGCCAGCAAGCAACAAAGTGAAACAGCAGATTCACCCATAAACCAACCAAATCAAGGACTGGAAATCCAGCATAACCCTTTTGATGCTAATCAGAAAAAGTTCTCAACTTGAGCTATTATGCTATATATTAGAGATCCTCCTAGATCTAAAAGCCAGCTATAATATGAAATACTAAAAACTTCATCACCCCATTGAATTGCACTAAAGAATTTCTGCATTTACTTGAAACCTAGTAGTAACGAAACTAAAGGCGAACTAGCCATCCAGCTTCAGAAGCAACCTAAAAAACTTCAACGAAGGTCTCCTTTCAATGATGAATGGCAAGCAAGAGAAATTAGAACCTGCGGGTCGCGAGTGCGGACGATTTCAGCGTTGGCGAACTTATCGGTGAGGCGAATCATGAAGCAGCCGAGGGCCTCGTCGCAGTGAAAGCTTCCATTGTGAGTGCCGACGCGCTTGACCGGAGCGTGGTTAGGGGAAGCAGCAGTGGAATAAGGCGGCGAAGACACCCTCGGCGGAGTAGCCATGGCGAGGAATTGGAGATCCCGAGGTCGAACAAGGGTTTTGGAGAAGTTGAAGAAATTGGAAGAGGAGGAAACGAAGAAGAGCTTCTGCTTAAACCCTGCAGTTAATGCCAACATAGCTCTCTTGACCAAAGAGTAAAAATCATGGTTGTCACGCCGGCCGGCGTGCCAGTGGTTCAACCTGGTTCAACCTGTACCGGTCATAAAACCGGCATGACAGCACCGGTATGACCGGCATGATCGATATACGAATCTCCAAATAAAATGATCTTATTTTAGTGAATTTAATTGATAAAAAGTAATTTATTATTTATTTTATGTGTTAAAAAGTTAAATGTTGATGTTTATTTGTTGGATTAAAGTACAAATATTTAGATATTGACGTTAAATGTCGTGTTTGAATATGATAATATATAAATTATTTATAATATTAACCGGCATGAACCGGCACAAACCGGTATGTACCACCGGTTGAACCATTCCACTTGCTAAACCGGCACACTGGCATAAACCGGTTTGACAACCTTGGTAAAAATTAACAAAATGAAAAAGCCGCCTCCTTTCGTAATCTCCTCGTTTCGCATTCTTTTTATTATCCTCCCAAGGAACAGAAGAAACGTTTCGGTTTTCACTTTTCAGGGTCATCAATCCCACAAGTGAACAATATCTTCTCCATCTCTGCTTGCTTCCCCTGAAGACTGGGGAAAACAATGGCGGCCAAGCAAGCTGTGCAATCGTACTATCATCCAGTCATTTCAAGAACGAGCACGGCCAAGCCCATTTTTTCATTATTGGGCAACAAATTCCCATCGTCGCCACCTCTCTTCTCTCGAGCCAGTTCTTCGTTTCCCAATAGATCGACCGTCGCGAAATGCAGCGGCGACGGCGATAAATTGAAGGATGCGCTCAGCGGCATGGTGGGCAAGCAAGTTGAGCAACTGCTGGGGAGAGAAGAGAACAAGGCGTTGCTGGATGAGCTGGAGAAGGCTTCGGAGAGAGTGGAGATAGCAAGAAGAGAGCTTGCCGAGATAGAAAGACAAGAGCTTGAAGCTAAGCAAGTTAGGGAGTATGTCAAACAGCTCGAAATCAGAGCTGGCGAGGTCTGATCATGTCTTCTCCCCGCTCTTTCAATTGCTTTCTCTGAGGATAATACTTCAACCTTTTTCATGTGGATAACAGATAGAAGAATGTCTGCAAGAGATCTCCGCAGCCAAATCCATGGTGGAAGAAGCAGAGAGATCACTCTCAGCTGGTTCACAGAGTGAAGCAAGTGAGAAAGATAAAGAGAGGATCGAGTCCGTAAAGGCAGCTGGAGTATGTGCACTTGTTGGGACACTTGCAGGGCTCCCTGTTTCTTTGACACAAGCGACTAGCTACGAGCAGCTGTTGCTTCCATTGGCAGTCACCTTCTTGAGCTGTGCATTGTTTGGAGTAACATTCCGATATGTGGTGCGAAGGGATTTGGATGATTCCCACCTCAAGACAGGGGCCATTGCTGCATTTGGCTTCGTGAAAGGTAATCAACATTTTCTTTCTTTAATTGTTGACTGAATGCAGAAAGGTTGGAGCTTTTGAGTTGAAAGTGGAATTCTGGAATCACAGGACTTGGCAGGCTTTCTGGAGGAGCGCCATTGGAACTCAATCCAGCAAGCATCTTGTCTCATGGTATCGATGGTGCGGTTTATGTATCACAGAGCCTTTTGGTTTTTGGCTTTGCTGCTGTTAGTCTGGATTACTGCTTCAAGGTTGGGATTATCAGTCCCTTTCCCTTGAATGAATCTCCTTCAGAAACCAATGCAGAGTAAGCTCAAAGCTCCAAGCGTCTGTGAAACTGCTAGCTTGTGTTGAGACCCACAGATGGAGAATATAGCAAGTTTTCTTGTGATGGAGAAAGAGAATTGACTGTATGTAGAAAATCAATCTGCCATTTACTAACTAGATGTTCAAACATATGTATCCATCCATGGGTAGAGACAATCAGGAGTACTGTTGCAGTTACAAGAAGTTAGTGCTGATTCGGAACACTGTAACATGTTCTTGAACTAGTCCCAATCACCGCGGGAGTCATCACGCTTCTTCTTCGTAGGATCGCGCTTCTTACCAAAATCAGATGGCAGGTTTCTATACCCTTTCCTCCCCTGCAATCATGGTTCAGGACCCAACTTTAATATATGAAATTACGGCATAGCAAGAAAACCTTCAATGGAATAGCATGAAAATGCAGAGCAGCCATAGTAACAGACCTTGGGTATTCTCTCGTCTTCCACGATATCATCATCTGGCCTTTCCTTTGTGAATGAAAGAAGCTTTGAAGCTTCATTGAACAACTGAAATCCTTGAATATCTCCATTCTTAATACTTGTTTCCAGCTGCCAAAAGAGAACCCAACCAGCAGAAGATATGAACAGGAATGCCAGTAGGATCAAGGCAATTGCTTGTTTCCCTAAGTTCCTCCGATTTGATCGATTGATCTTCTACAGTTCTACTGACGTCCAACAAACAGTCGAAAGCTCAAAATGCAGACTAAAAGAACAGATGGCGATTCAGTACCTGAACATGAATGACGCCGAGAAAAATACTAGCAATTGGCAGCCAGGAATCCTCCGGTGAGAGTGAAAGATTATATCTGTCAAGATTTATGCACAATTTCAACCAAAAAACCCTACTACCATCAACCAAATCAGCTGCTAAAGCGAAGATAAATGAAGAACCTGAGGTATGGACCGAGGTAGGCAAGGGCGTAGACTGCATATCGGCGCTTCCCAGTGTCAATCCACGCGAACACCCAACTCTAAAGATCGTAAAGAACAGCATTAGATTCCTGATACGAGACGAGCAAATTGGGGGAAATAGAGAAAGGGAATTGCTTTTTCCTCGAAACGAACCAGCCAATTGAAGTAAGGAACGAAGCTAATGATCCCCATAACCGTCAATCGAGTATCAGTAGTATCCATTCCGGAATCAGATTCTTCATCGGCAGCAGGGTAGGGGCTGGACAATAGCAGCGAGCTCAGCATACAGGCGCCGATCGCCGCCGCGTACGGCGCATCCTGTGACAGCTCCGCCCTGCATATCAACACTCCTCTTCCTTCGCCGGTTCCACAGATCCTCTGCTTCAGCTGCGGCCAGTAAGAAAGTCCGATAATCAACAGATTCAGAAGAAGCAAACGGAAGTGAGGAAGATGTTAGGTGAATTACGCCGGAGGGAGCTTTTGAGCGGCGGAGTAGAGGGCGGCGGTTGCACGGTGAAGGAAGAGAGGTGGAAGGTAAATTCGGAGCGAAACTAGAAGAGCGCAGGTTTGCTGGGGAAGGAGGAAGGAGACGGTTGAAGGTAAAGGTGACCACCATTGACGCAGGTGGATTGAGAATGTTCTCCGAAGTGAATCTGATCTCTGACCAACCCCCGAAAGTTTCGAACTTCGTACTTTTCGGGGAAAGAGCTGCACTGCAGCGGACAGCGGTAGCTGGCTGACTAAGTTCGTCACCAAGAGTGCCGAGTATGCGAACCGGAAACTCGGAACAAACGCAGAAGAACACGGGCTCAGTTAGTCAGTTGGGCCTCTATTTGGCATTTGGGCTTTCTGTCAAATCTGTGCACAAGCAGATGCCTAAACCACTCTTCCAAATTAGAATGGATGAAATAAAGTAGTGATATCGGTATACATTACTACATAACAATCTCAAATAGTTACAAATTTGCAAACCTCAGAAACCTAACATCTGTACAGTCTTTGGTGCATTACAGCTTGTGTATAGAAATAAACAAGACCATAGGTAGAGTGCAAAAGATCCTGCATAGGACGGCCTTCATGAAGCTATACAAAACAACGAAACGATAGTAACTCGGAGTAACAATAGGGTATCTGCTAGTCATATGATGATACCATACATATGTTATGTGCATTCTAGGAAGATCATCTACTGCTTTGATGCATATAACTGTATGATAAACATTAGGTTGAGCTACTGGCTCAACGGACTCGGAAACTGTTGATATAAAATTGAATGAATGGCATCTAGATCTGCCCAATATGTAGCTGCTGCTGCTGCTGCTACTACTACTTCTCCGTTGATTTGGCCCCCTCTGGTGATTGGATTGGAACAATTTACCGCTGTAAATCTCGCTCGTGAACAACATTGGATGGATCAATGGCTTCATGGTATGCCCAGTAGCTCGATATAGTTACCTTCCTTTTACCTCCATCCAGTGTACAGAAAAATGAATGGCAAATGCTTTTTTGTTATCAGCATGCGTCATTTACAGCTCTTCCCTGCATTTACAAAGTTTCATTGTACAAACAAAGCTTTTCAGCTTTCTCGCACTGCTTCCCTCCCATCCGATTTTAGCTGCCGTTGCAACTGCGAAAGGGGAAAGAGAAAAGCGCACCCAAGATATTCATTTATTGCATATTCACTTGTTGCAGTTAACAAGTCAAAGGAGCCAAATTTTGGGTCAACTCACTTGCTCATATTTTAGCTTTTCAGCATTCAGTTCATCAGACAAACCAGACATCCTGAAATTGTGAAGCCAAATCTCTATCTTATAAACTCATATAGGGAACCGAGCGAGACAACAGATAATGCGGGATCTTTTAAATTATCAAACCTCGAGTGAAGGTCGGAGATCTTTAGCAACAACAACCGTTCTCTTTCAGAAGCAGCTGCATCAACCTGTTTGCATCAAATAGCAAAGCGTATAAATGCAAAATAAGTTACCATAACATGAAATGAATTGGGCCAAGAGTCATTCTATAGAAAAGAAAAAGGCAAGAAACCAGTGAAGTTTCTGAAATTATAATACATTATTTTCTGAATAACAGGAAAATTTTGTGCTGAGACCAGCATAGGAAAAGTATGACAGAGGAACATTATAGGTAAAAATTGCATAAAGGGTCAAGTCTACTGCTTCCCAGTTTTCTTCGTCCAAAGCAAATCTATTGTGTACAAGCATCAGGCAAAACACTAAACTAAATACGCCGCATCCCACAACAAAATTTAAGAAGTCGACTGGTGCTCAAGCCTAGATGAAAGCTCACAACATGACCACATATAACTACCAAGATGAAGAATCACGTGTATAAAGCAGAAGTTTTTAGGTAAACACATAACCAATGAACGACATCACAAGAACATGCTTACAGTGCCATTATTCTCTGCACATCGAGGCAATGGAGGCAACTTGCCATTTTGTACGGCTGCCAGAAAAAGAGAGCTTGATTTAGTTGCTGATCATACAGGATGGCAGCAGATAGATACATTAACAAACAACTTACCATCCGATCCCTCTGCTGGTTGCAAGCTAGTCAGCAAATTGAGGATGAGATCCTGGCATCATGAAAATATCAAATAAAAATTAACAGTTAATAGTTTATGCACAAGGTGAACAACCTAGTATAGAAAGTAAACATTCCCGTCTCAATATAAACCATGGTTTTCTATCATTTACCTGTTGCATCGAGTTCTGCTGAAAAAGATTCTGGAGGTGAGTCATGAGTTGTGGTACAGGTAAATTGCTGCCGCCACTAATCTCTTTTTGTGCCTGGACCACAGGCTAAGGAAAAAAAAACCTCAGTAGATATTATGACTAAAAAACAGTCAATGAGATGTTCAATTAACTGCCCCACGCAAGGTTGCAAAAATACAAACCATTGGTTTGGCCTCGAGTATCCAATCACCCACACTAGCAGACTTTCTCAGTGGTGATGTCTGAAAATTTGTACAAAGAAAAACAAAACAACTGAGATGCACACTGCAACATGTATATGACAAGGCAAATTGAGATAAGAGTAGGAGATTGCTGACCCACCTGCGAGGATCGACGTTGAACTGTACTTAAAGGAACATCCTAAGCCACAATCTTAAGTTAGTGATAGCCATATGAAAAACAAACATTCATTAAGACTTGAACATACCTTTGCAAGGTCCAAATTTTCTGATGTTACAGAGAACCGCCCTTTGATTTGTACCAGATTGGCCTTAGTCTTATCATCTAGAGAATCTCGAAATCCTATCATTACAGTAATAATAATTTGTTTAGAGCCCTATGATAATGAGCAAGTTAAAAGTCGGTTTGTAGATTGTATTTGTTCAACATCCTTCCAGAAGACCATACCTCCAGATGACTTACTTGGAGCTGACAAACTATTTGCAGAAGCTCGATTTGGGAGCATTAAAGGACCACTAAAGCTTGGAGCTTTTCTCGTGACTTTTTCATTTGCTGGCTGAATTTCGCTCTCAAACCTATTGGCAAGAGGCAAGAGTCTGAGTGAGTCAAGCTTGGAGCTATAAGTGGAGACATGCAGACCATATTTAAAGTTTCAGATAAGACATCTCCATTTTTTTTCCATGAAAGACAAAAGAAAAATGCTTGGATTATTTAAAGGACCAAGGGCCAGAGCTCGTGAGTTAACCAGTCAGAAGGTGGGGAAGCATCACTATTCATGAAGAAGCATCTCAAAATGATGTTGCAATGCATTACTGTAAGTGCCTGAAGAACAAGTGACAAAGTACCAGACCAACCTTTCTGAAGTACGACCCCTTTCTGACGAATGACTGAATGCATTGCCAGGCATGAGTGGCCCACTATGATTTTGGCGACTTTTGATTGATTTAGCCTTGGACTGCGCAGTGTCATTTTCTGAGGTCGATGCTTTCGACTCGGGGCTTGAGCCATTTCTGTTGCTCCAAAGTTTATCCTGGTAGGCTGCTTCTACTATATCACTTTCCAGAGACTTGCCCTTCTGGTTCAAGCTCTCAGCTCGCAATGCTTCAGTTGTAGAACCCAACTGTGAAATTTCACTAGTGGAATAATGCTTCACCAGTCGAGGCTGGCCATTGGCTAAAGCCTAATCATAGCAAACAAAATGATGGTAAGAAAATTAAGCAGCAACACAATAGCTGAGCAATTGAAGACATTGGTAAAAGCTGGAAGCTATTGATATACAGTGACAACCTTATCCCATCCATCTGATTTCAAGCTTTCGTCTTCATATTTGGTCTCAAACATATCGTCATCATCTCTAACCTATCAGAACATTGGTGGAACTTGGTTCAGAGTTAATGTTAAACGTCAACCAAGAGGAGATACAATTCTTATAGCATCTTAGAAATATAGAAGAAGAAAAAAATAGCATTAGATTACCATTGATGCTTGGGCCTTCAAATCCTCAATATCGAAGTGCCAGGCACTAACTCCTCGCTGGTACTCGCTCTGATGGGAACAAGGCAAAACCATAACCAAAAGATCAGGGGGGAAACATATAAATGAATCAATTTCGATCCTAAAATAGCTTTCAGTTCGACATCTCCCTAATTCTCAACAAATGGTACTAAGGAAAGACATTGATATCCTCAAACCCTACGGTTAACAACTTCAGCCTAAAAGAAGCTGTCATAATCCACATGAATCAACAAACCACTCAAGGAAGATCACAATTGGCCTCATGAAACAGTAAAAGAAAAGAAGGCTTCACAAACAGCTTAATTAACATAAAAGAGCCATCAAGCATTAAAACTAGAATCAGCTGCATTTGGAAATAGTTTGCACCTGCGATAAAGCTTCTTGGTCACCTGAAGGCATTCTTTTTAGAGCTAGTTGTGCAGCATCCTTAAGCTGAGACATTTCAGCAACGTTAATCATACCTCTTTCTAGCTGAATAAGACACCAATGCAGAATTACAACAATACAACTATTCACCTGAAGGGCTTTTACACGATTCCAAAGTGGGGGCAAGTCTGCAAACAATTTCTTCACAGATAGTTCCGGGGGTTTAGCATGCTTGAAAAATGAGTGTTTCATTAACTTCTCTGCAGTCGGCCTCTTTGTTTGATCTTTTACCAGGCACATAGCAACCATTTCTTTAAAAGACTGATGACAACTGGAAGTCCTCCAATTAGAATCCTCAGATATGAATAAGTTACGAGAAATATAGCCAGGAAATCTAAAGCAGCAGTGGCAATCGAAATTATTCATGTAAATGCAATCTCAGAAATGAATTTAGCCAGAAAGATTGCAATACCTTGGAGAACTTTTTATCACGATCATAATCAAGTCCTGGAGGAGCATTCTGTATGGTCATTAGAAGCACCTACCACGACACAGAAAACATTTGAAAGATGATTGGTTCAAATGAGAAGGCATCCATATCAGGCTGTGCCTCTCAATCCTGTCAAGTCACAGTGATCAAAAGTACCTTCATTGGTGGATATTTTGAGAAAGGTGCATGGCCATGAGCTAACTCCAATGCCGTAATACCAAAGGACCATATATCAGCCCTGTGCAAGAGAACAGTCAACAGATAATCCTTTGTCAGTTGTTCTTACTTTCAGCAACGCTGCCTTTCTTCTAGTTTTCATTTTGATTTGAAATTGGTGTATAGGTGCATTTACTCAACTTAAGAGGCGCGAGTGTTCATTCTGTTGGGATCAGGGAACCATTACTCTTTTTAAGGAATTTGCATAAATGAGTACTTAATATCAGTTTGCATGTTCAGATGTGGCCTATCTAAGGTGGTCCAGGTATTCTCATTGGACCACTGAAAGATTGAGCAATTATCTAGCAAGATTACTGGTGAGAAGGATACAGGGACATCCTACAGCTAGTAACGATGTTCCTTCTCTTGAAAGTTCAGGCATAATCTTTATATGATATCTGAAGAACTTCATTGAGTAATCAAATCAACTTTAACAGGTGCATTTCAGAAGGTAGTAAACTCACTTTGAATTATATCCACTTCCTGGCTGCAACACTTCAGGTGCCATCCTGAAATGGTAAACAAATGCAAGAACATGAATTAATTTAGCAGTCAATTACAGGAGAACGTCTCCATAAATGTATCAGACTTACCAGCAAGGAGTTCCAACAAAAGTATTTCTAGCACGTTGCCTATCCCCAGTATCAAACATACATGCTGACACACCAAAATCAGCTAATTTTACTACTCCATTGGTATCCAATAGTATGTTCCCAGCCTGAAAGTACAGCAGATATAAAGGGTGGGATTCAATAATAAACTAGAAGATGAACGTAAGAAGGACAAGTGATCCATTGAGCTAGTGAACAATACTTTTGATTTTGAACTTACTGACCTTGACATCACGATGAATGTGCCCTTGGCGATGTAGGTACTCTAAGGCCTTAAGAGTTTCTTTCAGAATTGAACCGATAGCAGCTTCTTCAAATCCATCAGGATATGCTATCTTCATGAGGTGCAAACAGGACCCCTCAGCCATAAATGGCATGATCACCCAGAGATTCCGGTCAACGACAAATGAACAAAAAGCTTTAATAACATTTGGATGGTCTATCAGACTCATGGTTTGAGCTTCTCTCCGTATGTCATCCTAAAAGGAAAATGTCAAAGAGAAAGCAACTTCAGAGAACAGCATAGAATATCAATAAAACCTTGATCTTATAGGAAACTAATGCATGTGAAAAGACGACAATAGGGAAATTCAAATACGTATCATTTTTTGACGTATAGAAGAAAGGGGTTTTACATTGATCAAGAATTCAAATGCAGTAACTGGGAAGCATTGATAGACATGATTGTGGCTAGGTAATCATCAATCCTTAACCCCCTCCTTCTCTAGCACTCCCAAAACAGAAATAAAGTAAAAAGTGTAAAATTTCTTTCAATTTCTGACGGGCTATTCAATAAGTATTTGTAGGTGGATGTTTCTACCTCCAACGAGTTTGTCATCGACCACTTTGGATGAAGCCATTTAAAGTTCAACCTTCCAAGCCTAACAAATTATCCATAATCATTGGCAACCGAGAACCATGGTATTTGATCCAATATTTACCAAAACATGCTATGTTTCAATTTCAGAGGCCAAAAACCACACTGGGTATTCCACATTATCCATAACCAAGCTAACAACATTATGGACGAGTCAGGTTACAGAAATCTGAATCATACTATCTCTACCCACTTCGCATAAAGTTCAACCATAAAACCTTCAATCTCGACAGGTTGAAAGAGTTCTAAGAATTTGCAACAACAAAAAAGAAGAAAAAGATACATTCCACAAGTCGAGCAGGGCAGTGAACAACTCCAGGCTCCAAATCTAATCAGACTATCAATTATCAAGAACTAAAACACGAATTCAATTCGTCCCTTCTAGTACCCATGCTGTGTCTTCTAAAATCCAAACAGTCAAATCAAGTCAAACGCTTAGACAAACAAACGGAAAACCCCAACGCTCCAAATTCGTCAATCAAATACAATCCATTCAAACAACTAAGTCGATTCGGATCAAAGCAAAACAAATCAAGCCAATAGGGAACCACTAACCAGGTTGCTATTGCATCGATCGAGATCCAAGCACTTGACAGCAATGACTTCGTTGGTTGGTAGAAAGATCGCTCTGTAAACGGTAGCACTGGCGCCATGACCGATCTCTTCCAGAAGCTTATAGTCTTTAGAATTGGCAGAGAACGTCCGCTGACTACCTCCCATCCCTACCATGCCTCCCGGACAAAGGAAGCGGCGAAAGAGTGGCTCGCAAATCGGGATTCGCAGCCCCCCGCGGAAGGTAATAGAAGAAGGTGTTGACTTAGTTTGAGGCGGAAGCTAGCAGGAAACGGGGTGATTGCCGATTAGAGGAAAGGTCGTTGAAAGAGCAATCCGTTGACCGCCATGGGAATGGAAGGAAGGGATGATAAATGATGATAGATTGGAGAGGGACTTGAGTGTTTGAGAGACTCGGGGAAGGAGAAAGAAAGAAAGAAAGAAAGAAAGAGAGGGAGAGAGAGAAAGGACAGGCAGTGGGACGGAGGGAGATGTGCTGACGTGGCGAACTTGGGCTATGTATTCCAAATCGAGACACGTGGATGTACCAAACTGACGGCTTTCTTTTCTTCAGTTTCTTTTTCTTTTTATTTACGTTCTTTTTATTATGCTCTTTTTTTTTTAGCAGTGAAGATGAATTTTAACTTATTCGTAAGCAAATACAAAAGAGAATAAGTTATAAAAATAAGAACAAGAATTATTTTCATATTTCCTGGAAAAAAAATCAAATATATCTGGCAGAAAAAAAACACATCAACAGTATAATTTATAGCTGAAAAGTAAAACTGCAACCCCATTCAAATTTTCTTGCGCATAGAGTGATTTTAGGAGTCTGACGTGGCAGGGTGGTTACGCGGGATTAAATTAAAAATCCCCGCCTGACAGGAGAGATAAGAAACCGTCGGTTCCCACTACTTTTTTTGCGGTTGAAATCATCTTCCATTTTCTCCGGGGTCATCTACGTTTTGCTTTCTCCTTCCCGCAGCACGGCAAGATATCCATTTATCAGCGGACAATTTTGGGAACAGGGACTGACGCTTGCTGCTCAGCGGAGGAAGGCATTGACGGCCCGCTGATGTGGAGTTTACCGTGCCGAGATTCTGCAGTTTGGAACGAGCGGCGAACACCTGATTGAGCGAGGAAGACCTGCGGCTAATTGACGGTGAATTCCCCAGCCAACCGGCGAATCGAAGGTGAGTCATGATTTGTGGTATTTGTTTACCCCCACTGATTCGAACAATCGGATTTGGTAGTTATGCGGTGAATGATTCTCCAGCCAACCGCCGATTTGAAGGGGAGGCGAGATTGTTTCGGTTAGTTTGCTCCTGCTGCTTCTCTCAATCCGGATTAGGTAGTTCTGCGTTGAACCCTTGCCAGCCAACCGACGATTTGAAGGGGAGTCAGTAATTTTTTCTGTTTGTTTTGCCCGGTTGCTTCGCGCTGTCAGATTTGTTAGTCTGATATATATGCGTTTTGGGGAAGCCAGCAATTCCTCTATTCGCAATTGGATTTGGTAGTCTGATCTGCATATTATCTATTACTGTTTCCATCATTTACTTCGCTTATCTTTAGTTTTATCTGATTGAGTTTCCATGTGTACCCAGCTAAATTGATAGGCCAACCCTTCTTGTACCTCCTGTGTCCGTATCGCAGCTTAGAAGGAGACCACGTCTTCGGCGAATTCGGCGACTACAAGCCCCTCGAAGCTAAGGAAAACAGGGGAAACCAGGGGAGCCGAGTTCCAAAGAAGGCATAAATAATTGAGCTCTGGTTTAGATCCCAGCTGCAACTGGTAGGTTTCTCGCCCTCTTTCATTGATATTCCATTTCAGTCTCCTTTCTGTTCCGGATATTTAGTTCTAAATTTGGGTTTAGCCCATCGTACTTGATAGATTTGGTTCATCATCTTCTCCAATTCTTTTCTGATCGGAGAGACGACGACGGAACTAAATTATGATTACTGAGAGTGAACCATACAAGAAGAAAACGAGCTTTGTATTCGCATAAGGAGAAAAGGCGAGGGATGGGTTAGCGGCGGCGGTGGGTTTCTGACTCTCTTTAGTTAATATTCACTTTCTGACTTCTTATTTAGTGTGTTGATTTTTGGGTCTACGTTATGATTTTCCCTTACTATACTACATGGATTTGGTTCATCATTTTTGCCCTTTCTTTCAGATTAAAGGAACGACAACGGGAACTCGATGATGGCAGGAGAAAGTGGAAAATGAGCGTTGGGTTTGCAGAGGAAAGAATAAGGATGATTAAGTTAGCGGAGTAGAAAGAAGGCAAAGTCAGGTAGTTCAAGTTTGGCGACTTCCTTTCAGTTTGATTGGGTGTTTGTGATAAGTCTTAGTTTGGTCAACATATGAGGACTTTCATGAATACAAAAAAGGCTAAGAGGAAGAAGAAGAAGAAGAAGAAGAAGAAGAAGCAACAGCAGAGAATTAATTTTCCCTGGTCAAATCCCCTGGTCGCAGTTTACAAAGACATAGAAGGCAAAGAGAACGGCAGTGGAAGGAGGAATAAGAAGACGCACAAAATCGAAAAGGTGAAGAACTCTATTACGATTGTGAAGGAATAACGAAATCGACATGGTGGTGACCTTCTCTCTTTGCTTCTGTTTTTTTTTTTTTTTTGTTTAATTTTTTGTGATTTATTCGCAGGTTAATGAGCTTATGCCAGTTTTGGGTACTTACCTTCCAAATAGCACATTAGGAAGCTTTCACTTGCCGAGTTCAACTTATTAATCAAGTGCTTGCCATCAATGGTGGTTTGGATGTGTTTGGCTCCATTTTATATCTTCCAGACCTTGCGGTTTGTACCTCAAATAGCTTTCGGATTATTGAGTTCTTACGTTGCTATTATGTTTACCTTCGCGATATGCATGATCACATAGAAATGGCCTTATTATCCGAGTTCTTATGCAGTGGCTGGGTACATTGATGTGGTCATTTCAGAAACGACAACTAACATGTAAGAGTAGTCACCTTCTTAATCAACAAGGTGCGCTACGAACTAAAGTCATGTGCTATGCTAATTGTTTGTATTGGTGTTCAGGGAAGAGTGCATCCGGAAGGGAAGATTACATCGTCATCAGTTCTGTCAAAATAAAGCGACCATAAACAAGACATGCCTTCTGCAGAACATAATGATGAGTGCTCCAATTTTCAACGGTTTATATATTTGTTTCCAGTTCTTTTATGTGTGTATGTCTTCTACGCCCGATGATTATGATTCGTTGATCCCTTTTTTCCTTTCAAGAGGAAGAGCATATATGCAACAAAAAGGACCAACAAAAATGATATAATCAAACACGATTGGCGATTCTCATGATGATGAGATTTGTGCTCTTTATGAACGAGCTTTCTCTTGGTACTTTTTTCTCCCTTGAATCTCTCATTTTTATAGCTGATGTTGTGTTATATCATGTTACACAGTCAATCACAAATCGTGTTTGGTTTCTAAAATTAGAATGAATCCAGGTTTGTGTTGCATAGGGACTGTAACTTGTGATTACCTTTCATATTCATCTAAAAGTTTAATTTTTTATTTGTTATATTGGTATTGTTTTCAGGTATGGTTGGTATTTTAATTTGATTTTGGATAGTCATAGGATAATTGTCAGTTCCAACCAGTACATGGATACTCACCTAAAATCAATTAGGTGATTTTCCCCATGTATTCGTTCCTACCCATTCACGATTCTGATTTTATAATTTTCCATTTTATAGGTTCCATTTGTTGCTATAGGTGTTTCCTACGAACTGAAGTATAGAGAAAAAAGTATATGTTCATGAATTTGAGATGCACGAGGGTGTTTGGTTTAGCCAATGCCCATGGATTTCGTAACCAAAGGTAGTATTCTGATTACTACCTTTGCTGCTTCTCTGTTTGTTGTCGCTTCAAACCTCCACTTATCATCTTACATATCATGGCAAGTTCTACGGCATAGGAATTGTGTCTCTTCATTTTACCAGTTTTTCCTTTAGATAGATGTGCTTTAGTAAGATGTTTTGTGTTCTGCACTTTTATTCAGAATTTTGTAGTAGGGTAGAATCAAGCGAAGACAAATACTTGCAGTAGGATTTATATAGAACGTCTATGTAAAAAATACATGTATTGCACTTGAGATCTTAATTAATACAGTTGGGTCATATATTTAATCCGTTTGTTTTATCTTCTTCGACACTGTACTTTTTAAGCTGTGATGTAAAACTTGCATGAAATTGACTTGCAATGAATGTCTGGATTTAGCAAGTGGCAATCTATTAACTTTGTACTCTTGGATGTGCCCTTTTGAATTTGTTAGTGTCCGGGACCTGCTTTTTCATATGACGATATAATCAGATAGCAAACTTTTCAATTCCTTACTTTGTTGTGGTCATGCTTTGATCCTTGATTGACCCAGGCTCATGAAAATCATCCTAAATCATATTAGCTATCTTGATGATATCGGATTGCTGCTGCATCTATTGTTTTTTAAAGTAAAGATTGGATTTTGCTTATATATGTTAAACTATAATCTATAGATGTTATTATGGGAAGGAGATGATGTTTCTCTGTATATGACCAATTATCTGACCAATTTGGTTGCAGAAAAATTGCTTGAAGCAATAAGACAGGAAGATTGGTTACTCATATAGACAAAGAACATAAAAAGAGTAATTGCATACCGAGTGAAAGGGATTTGGATATCTCTGCACAAAGAAAAGTCGGTATCACTTATTGGTTATTCATTTGATATTAAGTTCACTGTTTTTTTTGTAGTTAAAATCTTATCAGCATCGAATAGTTAATTCTTAGATATTTTGTTTTTATGGTAGTGTGCTCTAATCCATTCCATTAGGCTGAGACTGTTTTGATTTGAGTTGACCTGAAGGAATCAGTAGCGAGCTTCCAATTGGGGTTAATGATTTTGAGATACTGAGCATTATTGATTGAGTCAATGTTCATAGATGCCTTAACCTAAGGTTTTTGTGTGATTCTAGCCTATGTTCTTTTCAGCTGCTGCTTCTTCTGTAAGTTCTTACACAACACATTTAGTATTTCTAAAATGTTGATCCCAAAAAAGTTAAGAAAAAGAACACTGAAATGCTTGATAATTTGTCTTTGATGGCAGACTATAGTTTCCAAATCATCTTCTTCTATCACGTAAGTTAAGGGGTTGCATCGAGGGATTTATTAAGACACATGCATAGTTTAGTATAGGTGTGGAAGTTGTAGGAACATAGATCTATGTTGTGATGGTCCTCAAAGGGAGGGGAAGGAGTTGTTAAGGGGTTGCATCGAGAAGAAGATGATTTGGAAATATGACCGTCATTTTTCCATCTAAGGGGAAGTTAAGGGGAAGTTTTGATACCAACATATTAGACACATGCATGATTTGTACATATTAGATGTCCTCAAAGGGAGGGGAAGGATTTATTAAGACATTCGCTATCAATATTTGTTTAAGGTTGAATACCATCAAATTGCGGACACTACGAAGTAAGCTTCATTTATCTACGGTAGACATCTAATATGTGGGTAGCGAATGTCTTCTGGGATTAAGAAATATGACCGTCATTTTTTGCTTCTTTAATCACGTAAGTTAAGGGGTTGCATCGAGGGATTTATTAAGACACATGCATAGTTTTGATAGCAAGTACTTATTGTGTGATATTATCTAAACGGAGTTCCCAATAAATAAAGGGTGCTAAGGCTATAAATGTAGTGCATTAGCTAAAGTGCTCTTTGAATTGAATCATTATTTGAGAATTAAAAAGTACCCAAATAATGAAAATATGAAATCATCTAGATAATGACATAAATGAAGGGAAGGAAATAATAACTATAAAATGAACCAATTAGAGGATAATCGCTTTGCATATATGTATGTGTTAAAATATTTTGCAATTTGTCTTCGGTGGGTGGGGTTCTTGGTTAAGTTGTCGTTTTGAGATCATGAATTGTTGTGTGTGCTCTTGATTAGTTCCCCGTCATATTTTGCTAATGCATTCTTTGGTAACGCTGCTATATTTTTTAAAATTAGAAGCAAGAACAATTAGTGAAAGTTTAAACATTCCTAATGCTAGCATATACTAATTACTTGAAGCCCCCTTTCTTTTCTTCATGTAGTTGTTGTTGATGGTGAAAGCCGTTGTTTTAATAGATGACTCGGGCTAGGATTTCATTACAAGATGGATGGGGACAAGACAATTTGTTTTCAATGCAACATCAGATAATAGTACGAAAATAGCTTACCATGCATCCTCATTCTCACACGGCATTGTTTATGTTGGTGATAACATATTCTTAAAACAACAGCTACTTCGATGACTATGTTCTGTGCTAATATGGATGATTGCTAAGTGGGTTATTAATGTTTACTTCCTGATCCGTTGGACATTTAATAACTCGCTTTTGTGCATATACCTTATAACTATGCCACATGCTAGCTCATTTTGTTATGGGTTGTTAATTGCAAGGACCAACATAGGCGAAAAGATAATTGTGACCAGATCACATACAGATTTCTCATATTGGGAATCGCGTTTTAATCAATAAACCATGAGATTGCCAGAGAATCTTGAAGATGGCATGTTTTTAATCAACTACTAATAATGTATTGTATGTTGGCTAATATGGCACCATGATAATTCTTCCCAGGTTTGTTGTTTGGATGGTTTTACTGTTTTCTTTACTTTTATGTCTTTCCCATCGGTCTCTTTGAATGCTCGATTTACAAATCTAATTTATGGATGTCACTCATTCCAAATTAATGGGGACCAACAAATTTCAAATTCGATAGCAAAACTTTTCATCCTTGACCTTTGATTTGATTAGAGTTTTAGCACCTACTTCCAAATTTAGGAGTTAGACAAATCTCGCATGTGTTGAATTTAGATACCAAATACATAACTGAAATATATGATCCAAACGATGTTCACATTTGTTATTGAATATCAAATTGGTTTTCTTTCTTTATGAAGTCATGAATCTTTTTTCATAAAATCCCATTTTCACGACAAATGATTGTATATTTGAATCAACAATTTTTTTATTTAATAAAATTTCAAATAAATACTTCAAATATTTGAGATTTTGGTCAATATAATAGCTTGGACTATCCTTTTACGTCATTGTCAACTCTTAAAACCACAAATATTTTTCGTGAATCATATAAAATTAAAGATCCCAAATCAAGTAAATCATAAATATTGATAAAATAAATTATACGAAATAGAATGAAATTGATCTGACCAACGGGTCGGGTAAAAGCTAGTACATAAATAAGGATGCAAGTAGGTGTATTAGCTGGTTCTGATTAATAGAATTTGCTGGATTTGTGTATAATACAATTATCCATCAAATTGATACAATCCAACCACAACGATTGCAAAAGTATCAAACACTTGAACAAAACCGAATCGATATTTCTAATACGATTTCAGCATCGTGTAAACAGTCATTTACACGATGGAATTCGTTACAAGGTCACTAAGAATGGACGTTCATCTTTCACTAGTAAGGCTACAAACAAGCAATTAACCAATACTGAAAGAGTATCTCTAACTAGGTAATAATAATATATGGGGAGAAAAATAGTGTTGCTGTGTGTGCGTCAAACTGCTCGAGGTTCGTAACATAGCTAGGTCGACGAACATTTGTCATGTACATGGTCGTCCAATTCCATCACCCAACAGAGGAAAAGACGAAGTTGCTGTGTCCCCAAATAAATAAAATGTTTCTAAGTAACTAATTTGTATGGAAATATCACATCTCCATCGATCCACGTCCATGGCAGGGCCAGGCAAAGACTGATAGTTTGACCCGGCCACCACCCATGATACGATAAGATAAGCTAAGCTATACATAGCTGTTACATTTTCCACACCATGTCCCCAAGTGTGTGTAGTGT